TGGAAGAGGAACACCAAGAGCGTGCATCGGCCACTAAAGTCTCCATCTCTCAGCGTCTATCGGAAGCTAAGGGAACTGCCGAGATCCTCGCCGTTGTGGAAGATGAATTTTGCACCAAGCTTGAGCGCTTACTCCAAGCCGAGGCCGGTTCTGTCAAAACGTCACAGTCGCTGCTCGGCCTCGGCGTAGACTCTCTTGTTGCTGCGGAGATCAGATCGTGGTTTCTCAAGGAACTTGAAGTCGATACTCCTGTGTTAGAGATCCTTAACACTGCATCAATCACTGAGCTTTGCTCTACTGTCGTCTCTCACTTACCAACTATTTCCGGAGAGGTCGAGCCCAAGACTGAAGTCACCAAACAGGTATAATTGATGCCATACCCTGTTCCTATTTTTCCTGAATCTAACTTTTCCAGGCCATCAAGACTCTCAATGTTGTGGAGACGTCAACGGCGGTTTCTTCAGCTCTGCCCACTGAGAACGAGCCTTTCACCATTCGCAACAGCCCAAACTCAACCCAGGTTACCAGCGAAGCTGGTGTTGACGAGGATACATCTATTCATTCAAAGTTCGATCGCGCTGGCCCTTTGTCCTTCGCTCAAGAACGCTTGTGGTTCCTTCAACAGTTCCTCCGAGACCATAGCACATACAACGTCACCATGCACTATCACATCAGTGGTCCTCTCCGACTGCATGACCTGGAAAGGGCCTTCCAACAGGTGATCCATCGTCATGAGTCCCTCCGTACATCGTTCTTCATCGATCCCGACACTGATCTGCCGACACAAGCAGTGCTCAAGGATTCTAGCTTTAAGCTAGAGCAGAAGCACAACTCAACTGCCAAGATCGAGTACAAGGCCATGCAAGAGATGTCATATGACCTGGAGAATGGCAAAGTCACCAAAGCCGTTATTTTACCAGACTCTGACGGCGAGTTCGACCTTATCTTCGGCTTTCATCACATCGCACTCGATGGCTACAGCGCTCAGATCATGGTTCGTGACCTAGCCATAGCCTACGCTGGTCAGACCCTTCCAAGCAAGCAGCAAGACTACCTTGACTTCGCTATTGCTCAGAAGGCAGCTAAAGTCCCAGATACTACTCTCGCTTACTGGAGGTCCGAATTCAGGGAGCTTCCACCGACCCTATCTGTCTTCGATTTTGCCGAGACGAAGACACGCACTCCCCTTACGGACTACACGACGCGAGCACTTGAGAGAACTATATCTATTGATCAGGGCAGAAGCATCAAGGCTGTTGCTAAGTCCCTTGACGTCACACCGTTCCACATTCATCTTGCTGCCCTCCAGGTTGTCATCTCTGATCTCGCTTCGGCCAAGGATCTGTGCATTGGTATCACTGATGCCAACAAGAACGATGCTACGCATATCGATACTGTTGGGTTCTTTGTCAATCTTTTACCTCTGCGACTGAAAATATCGCCCTCACAGACTCTGGCGGAGGTGGTCGCCAACGCCAAGTCCAAGGCCAATAGCGCTCTTTCGCACTCCGACATCCCCTTCGACGTACTTCTTGATGAGGTCAAGCTTCCTCGCTCCACAACCCACAGCCCTCTCTTCCAGGTCATCCTGAACTACAAGATGGGCTCTACCCAGAAGGTCCCATTGGCGGATTGTCAAGCCCAGCTTGTGGCATTCAAGGATGCGAGCAACCCTTACGACCTGACCGTTGACATTGACACCTACCATGATGGATCCGCTTCTATCAGCGTCAAGACACAAGAGTATCTCTATTCTGAAAGCGAGTTGAGCTTTATTCTTGACAGTTACCTACAGACCCTAGCTCTCTTTGCCTCAGAACCTTCTCGGACCATAGATCAGATCTGCAGGCCTACAGCCGAGCAGATTGACAAGGCATTGACCCTTGGCAGAGGTGAAAGGATCCCATCTCCTCGACTCGAGACGCTGTGCCACTACTTTGAGGAATGCGTTGTCAAACAGCCTGACGATACTGCCCTCGTCACAGATAAGGGGCAAGCTCTCACATGGTGTCAACTGAAGGCTTTGGTCAACCAGATTGCTATGACCCTCGTTGAAGCAGGGGCTAAGCAGGATTCACGGGTGGGTGTATACTGCGAGCCCAGCATGTACATCCTCCCCATTCTGATGGCCATTGCTGAAGTCGGCGGTGTATACGTACCTCTCGATGCCCAGAACCCAATCAAGCGTCTCCAACTGATGGTTGACGATTGTCAACCCGATGTGATTGTCATTGATGACTCAACTACAACAACAGCGCGTGGACTAGAGACGAGTGCCATAGTGATCAACGTGAACACTATCAAGACTGACCCTTCCAACACCTTTCATCTGGACAACCGAGCGAGAGGGAATGGGATGGGCTACATCTTCTACACAAGCGGTACAACGGGTGTTCCAAAAGCCGTAGCTTTGACTCATACCAGTCTTGTACACCACTTTGACGGTTTCATCCACTACAACAACCTGAGCAAGTGTCGCATGCTTCAACAGGCACCTCTTGGCTTTGATATGTCGCTTACGCAGATGACTCTCGCCATCATGCTCGGAGGAACTCTGATCGTTGCATCCAGTGAGACTCGCAAGGACCCTATGCAACTTGCGCAGTTAATGCTGGCTGAGAAAGTCACTCACACTTTCATGACGCCTACACTTGCATTATCGGTCATTCACCATGGCTGTGAATACTTGAGACAATGCGTCAACTGGGAACATGCGTCTCTCGCTGGGGAAGCAATGACAACCCGTGTTACTCGTGAGTTCAAGAGACTCGGCTTGAGAAACCTTGAGCTTCTCAATGGTTACGGCCCCACCGAGATTACTATTATCGCGACCTGTGGTTCAAATGAGCTCGGTGATACTCTGCACGATACTCACTATCCAAGCATCGGGCGTACTTTGCCCAATTATTCCTGCTACATCTTGGATGAGAACATGCAGCCTGTTCGTTCTGGACTCGCTGGCGAACTGGTGATCGGAGGTGCTGGTGTTGCCATTGGATACCTCAACAGACAGGATCTTACAGAAGTAAAGTTCCTTCGTGATCCTTTCTCACCAGCCGAAGATATTGCTCGCGGATGGACTCGAATGTACCGTACAGGCGACAAGGCCAGGTTTTTGTCGGACGGGCGTCTTTGCTTCCTTGGACGTATCGCTGGTGACTCACAGATCAAGCTTCGAGGTTTCAGAATTGAGCTCGAAGATATTGCCAGCACTATCGTCAGGGCCTCTGATGGAAAAATCCCTGAAGCGGCTGTTTCACTTCGTGGTGAAGGAGACAGTGCATATCTTGTTGCCTTCGTCATCCTTTCCCAGTTCAACAGTCCATCAGATGAGAACGGCTATCTAAAGCAGCTTCTGGAGGAGCTATCCCTTCCTCGATACATGAAACCCGCCAGAATAATCTCCATTGACCAGCTTCCCATGAACGCTTCTGGCAAGTTGGATCAATATGCTCTCGACGCTCTCCCTGTTCCTCATGAAGAGGACATAGTTGATAAGCCCCTCACTGAGACTCAAGAGAGGCTCAAGCTAGGTTGGCTCAAGGCCCTGCCGTTTGTTGATGCGGCTATTGGCCCAGAAACAGACTTCTTCTCTGCAGGGGGCAACTCCCTGCGAATCGTCAGTTTGAGGGAGTACATCACACGCGAATTCGGAGTTACCGTCTCTGTCTTTGATCTCTTCCAGGCGAGCACTCTTGGAGAGATGGCTGCGAAGATCGATGGCTCTACGACTCAAGGACCTACTACAATGCCAATTGATTGGAAGGAAGAGATTCGTATTGACGATGACTTGAGCGTTGTTGGAGCCCAAGAGCCACTCCCTTCCGAGACGACAAATGGTCTTCAGGTCGCCCTCACTGGTGCAACTGGATTCTTGGGTGTTTCGATCCTCAAGACTCTGCTCAAGGATAAGGGTGTATCCAAGGTCCACTGCCTTGCTGTTCGGTCCTCCTTCAACACGAGTGATCCAGTGTTCTCATCTTCGCGAGTCGCATGCTACCCGGGAGATCTATCCTTGCCACGACTCGGTCTATCTCAAGAGCAGTTTGATCAACTTGCCAAGACAGTGGAACGAATCATTCATAACGGCGCTGATGTTTCTTTCCTTAAGACATATCAGTCCTTGAAGCGATCAAATGTATCGTCGTCTAGGGAGCTAGCACGAATGGCGATTACGCGAAGGATTCCAGTGCACTTCGTCTCAACTGGTGGTGTTGTGCAACTTACTGGCCAAGACGGTCTTGATGAGGTTTCCGTTGCAGACTCTCTGCCTCCTACTGATGGCTCACTTGGCTACGTTGCTTCGAAATGGGCTTCGGAAGTTATACTAGAGAAGTATGCCGCCCAATACAACCTTCCGGTCTGGATCCATCGTCCATCCAATATCACGGGCCCAAATGCTCCGAAGGCGGATCTTATGCAGAACATCTTCCATTACTCTGTCAAGACAGCGTCGCTTCCTGACTTGGCTTCGTGGAGTGGTTGCTTTGACTTTGTTCCCGTGGACGTTGTGGCTGCCGGCATTGCTGGTTCCATCTACGAGGCTCAGGATACAATAGCGTACAGGCATTACTGCGGTAGGGAGAAGATCTCTGTGGAGGATCTGCCGTCGTACCTTGAAGCGAAACACGGCAAGATTGAGACGATTAGTGTTGAAGAGTGGTTAGAGCGTTCGAAGGCTGCAGGGTTAAATGAGGTTACTGCGGCCTTAGTTGAGAAGACGTTGAGCGGAGGGGGAATTGTTCCTTGGCTTCGAAAAGAAGCGAACTAGAAGGACGTCTTCGGAGTCACGAACAAATTACATTGTAGGAGTTTAGAGTTACATTAATGTCAATAAGTGATGTTAGAAACGCAGTTACGCCTCTGTCTAGAATCAATAGGAGGTGGATTTCGTTCTTAAGTCTAAGTCTAAGGCTGCAGATGCAGGTAATCACGGTCGTCGTCCTGTTTGATCAAGAAAGACAGGTTTAATCAGCGATGGGAGTAAACTCCTGGCCTCTCTAGTCCGCCTGACGTGCTTCAGCTCTTTTCGCAGCGTACAGCAACCCCATCCCCAGAATCATACTCGACCCTCCCCAAATCTGGGCCGCTAAATAACTCCCGCCCGTAGCTTGCATCAATTTCCCAGCCAAAGGCGACCCTGTCAGCGCCGCAAAACTAATAATCGAGAAGATCATTCCGATTCTCGTTCCGGCTTTACTCAAATCCGGTGTCAAGCTCGCACAGCATGAAGGGAAGAGACTCTGTATCGCAGCGCCGAAGTAGCCAAATATGCTGACCCAGATGAACATTCCCGTGAGGGAGGATACTTGTGACCAGAGATAGAGACATAGTGAGGCAGAGAAGATTGTGGGTATGAAGACAGGGATCGCGCCGAAGAGACGGTCGGCGAGAAAGGCGGATATCATGCGACCTGGGATGCCGACTGCGTTGATGACAATGAGGATTAGGAATGAGTCTGATGCTGAGCCAGAGAGTTTGTCGGTTGTGTATTGGCGAGCCTGAAACCATCAGCAATTGTCACAAGATCAATTGAGAGAAGACTTACATAATTGTAGGAGATCCAGGTCGGCCACAAGGTAAAGAACATCGCTGCCGCAAAGAGGACATATGCTGGCTCCCTGAACGCAGCCCATTCAACAAGTGGCCCAGCCTTTCTCGCCTTGAGTCTTGTTTTCGCAATGATCATTATAATCATCGACGACACAGCAACTACCAATCCCATGACTCTCACCGTCCAGCGAAACCCGATCTTGGGAAGAAGTTGCTGCGCAATCAGCGGGAACACAATTCCTCCTGTACCAGCGCCGCATGCACCAGCGGATATAGCAATAGTCTTCTTGGTAGTGAAATACGTTGACATATTTGCTATCGTCGGTGCGAAAATGATGCCATTACCAAGACCTTGGCAGATTCCCTGGGCGAGAAGGACTTGCCAGTACGATGATGCAATACTCGTCATGAAGATGGCTAGTATTTGGAGGAAGAGACCGACTGCGAGGGCAGTACGGTAATATCCTGCGTCGAAAGCTCGGCCGGAGAATGTGCCGATGAAGAAAATGAGACAGACTTCTAAGCTGCCGATCCAAGAGATTGTCGAGGGCGGGAGAGAGAATTCGGATTCATAGTAGGGTTGGAAGATGCCGAAGCTGATGAGGTAGCCCCATGAGTTGAAAGCGACGAGATGGCCTGTCACGACTTGCAGCCAGGCTTGTAAGCCGCCATCTGGAGGTTGACCTGGGTCATCTGTTGTGCAATCCTGGTTCTCTTCATCGCCTTGGCTTGGTGTTGAAGCAGTGTCGTCTTGAGGCTTTTCGTCACTGAGAGGCTCATCGCGGAGCGTGGGACAGACACTATCTGAGGTGTCGACAGCCATTTTGACTTAGAGTAACTAAATTGGCCATGGCGAGGAGTGGTGAAGGATGTGATGGAGCTTTTGTATTAGTGATGCTGGGGTCGGGGTTGAGGCGGAAATGTTTGCGGCCCGCGGGGTTCATCCTCCGATGGAGCAGATCTTCCCGGCATATGGATACTCGGCCGGACGGTTGTAGGGAAGATGATTGGAGGGGGATGGACAAATTACTGCGAATTATGGTTTTGTAAGACGTGATATGGATGATTGTTTATAAATCAGTATTTTGCTTTGGCCTGTAAATAAAACGGCGTGTGTTCATAAATGCTGTTGCTGCTTCGACTAGGCAGGTATCGTGAAGCAAATTCCATGATCAACCTATTTCCATTGGACCGAGGTTCAGCAAAGACTTCTCGTAAAGGCGTACACCATTATCATTCTTAGAGCATGCGATATTCATCATTGGCATAGATCAGATTCAATTGAGCCACAAGAGCATAGAAAATAGTCGATCTCGTGCAGTTCAATGACGGCACTGCATCTACTGGTGTCTCAGTATTTATGTCAGCTCCAACGTTACCACTCAATTCTGTAACAAACCCCAACCACCTCAGCCCTAATAGTTACACATGCGACTCATTCAGGCGAGATCGGCGTAACTTGCCGCGGTTTGGCTTAATAATGACACATATCTCAGTCTCTGATGGTGGATTTTGGTGGTTATGTCGGTAATATCGGCAACGTAGGAAATGCCGGGAGCTAAGGAAATAACGGGAACAGGGGCCGTCTTGACAGAATATATTCCCCATAACTTTAAAGGAATTATACTTACAGTAAATACATAATCTAAGAATTATAAAGATATCAAGTTAATAGATAGTAAGTGTTGTGGATTAATAATGTACTACTGAACTGTTTATAAGTCTAGTATTAATACCCAAAAAGGGAAAAACTAACTAGTCCATGTTAAAGCAGTAGCATCATGAGGTGTTGTTGCGGTCATATGCCGGCTAGGTACCGGCATCCAATGAATGCCTCTAAAATTTCACCACCATGAAATCCTAAAACCAACATCACCACCCCTCCTCAGCATGTCCGCAACGCCATGGATATGCCGAACCTGCACAAGAGTATTAACACGTGCTCACATGCGCCAATTCGTGCGCTTCGCAACCAATGGTTTGACCTCCCTCTCAATCTGAATCTCCCCCCGCTAACCTAACCATCACAGATGCCTCACCACTGCTCGCACCCGCCCTCCTCCAGCGCGCCCAGTCCCTCACAACCGAACATGACGACCTCCAAAAGACCCTCAATAACTCCTTCGATTCTTCCATAGCGAAACGTGTCGGCGAATTGTCCCGTGTGGCTGAAGCGCTGAAAGCATGGCAGACCTCTCAAGCTTCCGTTGCCGAATTGACCTCCATGCTCGACGACCCCGACCAAGACGCCGATCTCGCTGCCATCGCCCGCGATGAGCTCTCTTCCGAAACAGGGAAGCTTGAATCCCTCGCCCGCAGACTCTCAGCAAGCTTGACACCCCGTCATCCCTTCGCAGATTTCCCCTGCATGCTGGAATTTCGCCCTGGGCCAGGCGGTCTTGAAGGACGCTACTTTATGGATACACTATTCAAGATGTACAAAGCGCTGTGCATGCGCCGCGGTTATCGCCACACGGTAGTAAAGTACGAATTCGCCGATACCGCAGGAGACTCCTCCTCATCCGCCGGCGAAAACCCCCTCCAAGAAGCCATTCTCGAAGTCCACGACCAAGGCGCCTTCGACATCTTCCGCAGTGAAGCAGGCATGCACCGCGTCCAACGCATTCCCAGCACCGAGACCAAAGGCCGCGTGCACACCAGCGCCGTGGCAGTCTGGGTGCTCCCCTCGTTCCCCGAGAACGGCGCTGCAAACATCGACTTTGACGATCCAGAGAGTGATTTCTACGTCAATCCACAAGAGGTCAAGATTGAGACGATGCGAGCTAGAGGTGCGGGAGGACAACACGTTAATAAGACCGAGTCTGCTATTAGGATGACGCATTTGCCTACCGGTACTACTGTGTCGATGCAGGATCATCGGTCCCAGCAGCGTAATCGTGAAGAGGCGTGGAAATTGCTGCGTTCGCGAATTGCTGATCAGCGACGAGAAGCTCGTGAAGAAGAAGCGTCAAATCTGAGAAATAGCGTTCTGTCAAAAACACAGATCACACGAGGTGATAAGATCCGAACATACAACTACAACCAGGACCGATGTACCGACCATCGGGCAGGCGTTGACGTGCACGACCTACCGAATGTGCTCGAGGGCGGTGAAAAGCTAGATCGAATCATGGACGGCGCAAAAGATTGGCTTGTGAACAAGGACATTGAACTCCTCATGGCCGAGGAAGAAGCCAAAGAGAAGCACAATGGCAAGAAATAGATGTACAACACTGTAGCATAGACATTGTATTATCATGTACAGAACCCGCTGTAGGGAACCCAAAACTGCTGAATAGATGACGATATCCGAGCTTCATATCTTCGTGCCATTATACGTATCAAGAACCGAACCAAACTCCAGCATGCATCCTACGAGGATACTGCGGTCCCAGCTAACTCCATGCATCAAAGTCCATTTCACATTAATCCCCCAAGGACAATCTTTCCGATACTAGCCACCTCCGTCTTGACATGACTTCGACTTTGTTCTTCAAAGTCCCGTACTATGCCTTGCACGATGATCTTGCGCACTCGTGAATCCGCTTTTGTGAAGAGTTCAGCGACAGGTGCAGAACACTCTCTAGGTGACGGTACCAACGCCAGAAATCTCGTGTAGCAATCAATCAACACATCGCACAGCGTCGCAAACGTCTCGAAGTAATCAGGGTCAAACGGCAGCGATGGCGTGAGGAGAAAGGTATACTCCTCTCCAGGAAGAAGATCTGTTTCAGAAGCTGCAAAGTTCATCACTGATAGTGCAGGACCACCGGCTGCGGGGAGAGAAGCCATTTCGTCGACCATGGGGTGCATGTCAGCTGCTGATGTCGAGCGACGAGATTTACCGCCTGGACGACGGAACATGCTTGGCAGACGGGCGCGGGTGAGCGATGTAGCTGTTGATGACTCGCCGTGGAGTTGTTGGAAGGAGTCGAATTCGGAGAGGAGGGAGTTTAGACTTCGGAGGAATTCGATCGAGGTGGAGGAGTACAGGTCGACGATTGTCGGGAGGGAGAGGCCGAGGAGGAGATGGTTCGTTGCTTTGCGACCAAGCTTTCGAGCGTCCAGCGAGGGCATGCGGCTGAGGTCCGTCTTTTCGAAGAGATATGTCTTGAACCAATAAATCCGTCCCTCATGTCTATACCACCGTTAGCTCTCACCCAAACCGCTCTGCTCAAGGTCCAACATACGCTTTCCGCAGATACTCCAACGTCGCGATGCGCTTATTCGCAAGCTCCGTAACATGGTGATGCATGATCCCCGCCTCATTCTGCTGCCACATTCCCGACGTCCCAACCGCCCCATTCGGCATTATCCCAATCGGCGTATTCGGCACGATGCCCCCATGAAGGGTCGTCGACCCCGTCGCACTCCGAGTCAACATCTGCACTTCCACCGGCGCCGCACTTTCCACACCGTCTGGTCTCGGCGCTACCTTTGCAGCAGCAGAGAGAGCGTAATCCGGCAGCGCAGGAGGCGCCGCGGCATCCGTGACGAAAGCGTTAGGCCCGTTGCCAAACGAACTCCCGCGTCTACTCGACAGCGACGCCTTTCGCGAGAACGAGGCTTTGCGGTCTTTGGGGAGGATGCTTGTGTTCAAGGGATCAACGGCGTGGCCGTCGCGCGTGGTAGGACGAGAAGCAGCGTTGGAGAAGATGGATGTCGAGAAAATGGGCGTGCCCGTGTTATTTGGTGTTTTGGGAGGCATGTTCTGTGAGGATCTGGCCCTGGGGGGCGTACGGTAAGGTTGCGTTTGTGGTTGTTCTCTAGCCGTGCGTTAAAGGAGGGCGAGGGGTGTGATGATCGGCAGTCGAAGGAGCCAACAGATGGCGTTTTCGCCCAGAGCCGCACGCGGATTGCAGCGTCGCAGTGAATTCACGGCGGGGGGCGTTTGAGGGTGTTTCGATTCGCTGGACCATACGCCTGCAGGCGCTCAGCGCCGCTTTTTTCGCTTCGTTTGATCGATTATCTCTTCGTGAATCTCAATATCGGATCGCCGTGCTCATCAGTCACTTTGAAGACAAAAAATAATGGTTAAAGGGTGTATCGCTGGAAGTTTGAACCCCTGGTGCCGAATGTGGATTGGGGGGGAATTGCTTTTGGAATGGAAGGAAAATAAAAGATCCATGGCCTCGCACGCGGACGCATGGGTAAGGTAACCTGGAAGGGTTCAGATTGAAGATCCGCTAAACCCCCTCCAGCGAAAACCGGAATAAACCACCATTCTTGGCAAGACGCGCATAGAGAATCGGTTTCGTGATTTTAATTGAGAGGAATAAGGGCCGATTGAAGATGATCATTTGCACAGGTTTGATGTGTTGCAGCAAGACTAGGGACGTTGTTAATGTTGGCCGGTAGCTATGCGCGTAACAGGCATTGAACTTTGGTCTTGACAAATACTCGGAGGGGTATGGTACGGGGTTTTGCTTAGCTGGCCATTGAATAAGAGCCATTGAATAGGAGCCATTGGATAAGGAGTAGGAGTTCTTCACTGTTCTCGTCGATTTTTAGAGAATGCAAGCCAATCACAGGACCGCATACAGCCATCGTGTAAAGCATTGCCCTACCCTGCAGGACTAAGATCGCATTCATCGCGACGGGGAGTGAGCTTTGTAAACAATACTATGTGAGACATGTCTGACGAGCATGGTTCATTCCCTAGCTCGCTTAGCACCAAATGATTATGCAAACCACTCTTGCATGATGCTGTTGATGGAAAGCATTTCTGTTCATTGCTTGTCTTCTCAGAAGCTCCAGCGTGGGATAGGGCCAAAAGATCTCAGTGAGCGCAATTCCCCACTATGAACTGGGCGTAACATAATTTGATCTTGTTTCTTTGGGAAGAATAGACCTGATACCAAAAATTGTCCACGGTCAGCCAGCCCTTGCACAGCGTACAAATTTCCAGGTCTCGATTTAAGCTCAGCACGGCACGCTAACGCCGTGACGTCTTTGTGAAACCTCAAGACCCCTCATTGCTCACTCACCTCAGAGCGCCATCGCACCCATCCTCGATGGGAGCAACAACGCATGCATACCAGATAACCATCCAGAATGACAACTATTCATATCTTACGCCATGGCCAAGCTCTACACAAGTAATCCACCCTCCATCCCATCCCTCACCTCGCTGACAACCCAGCGTCGAGAGAGGCTATCCCCACCGCGACCCTCCCCTAACAGATCTAGGCACACGTCAAGCCCGCAACGTCCAACAAACCATAACAATCCAACCAGATCTAATAATCGTATCACCTATGACGCGAACAATACAGACAATGTACATCGTCTTCCGGTATCTCCTCCACAGCACCAAAACTCCAGTCCAAGTATGGCCCGACCTCCGCGAGGCCCACGACGCAACCTGCAACAAGGGAATTTCACGGAAAGAATTAGCAGACACGTTTCCAAACCTTGACTTTTCAGCTTGTCCGGAGAAGTGGGACTTTCCGCCGCATACCCCGGATGATGCAACGGTACGAGCCGAAAGAGTTCGGCGGCGGTTGAAAGATGTTGCTAGGACCGGGGGCTATAAAAACATCATGCTCGTCACGCATCGAGGCATTGCTGCATTTCTGGTGCAGGGCGATAGATTCAGTGTTTGCGGTAAGAGTACCATTGCAGTCTGAGATCCGAGCTGATGATGTAGAACACCGGTCATATCGCTTCGCCACGAGTGAAGAAGTCGACAATGCGAGGCATGGAGTTAACGTAGATACCGGCCTTGAGCAAGATTTTGGCCCAACAGTGCTGATACCAGCTGAGAAGCCGAAAACTCGCCAAGACAAGTCAAGCTGACGGGTAATCACTATCAATAGATGTATAGCCCCCGGCTTGAAAACATCATCTCTGGGCTTGGCCGATCAAGAGGATTGCGGAGAATACAACCTTGGGCTACAGTGCTGACCTCGTCTCACTAAGCAAAAATAACGATCAACTGGAAATATTGCTAGAAGAGTCCAGTGGGCCACGTCAACATAAGCGGATTACCACCCATCCTTTCGCAATCACCGAGCCCACTTTCGCATTGGATCCCATCACTTCTCGCAATTTGGGGTCCATGACTACCCCAAGTAAGCCGGAACAAACCCATAAAATCTCCCAGCGTTTCAAAACAAAACCTAATTGGACAAACAAGTGCCAGTGCCGGAGCTATCCAGAAAACTATCGATAGTTTAACTAAAATAAAGAAGCGCTACAGCCAAGCCTCACGAGTATATCTACAGACACCAACCCTCATCTCTGCATCAGTGGCGGTGTAATGCATCCTGCAACTCCACGCTTACAGCTATTTACGTTATACCGTAAGCCAAGCCACTGCAAGGCTGGCCAGTAGAAACATCTCTGCTGATTACTTTCAACGCGCTGTGGAGATGGGATGAGAAAATGTCAGCACTAGTAGGGCTGAGCTCGGCATCACGGCAGTTTAAATAATCTCCCAATCCCAAATCCAAGGCCAAATAGAAAAGAGAAAAAAGTATTCAGTGCTTATTTCTCTTTCTTTTGTTTCTCGGAGAATTTTATTTACTGAGAAATCATGGCCTTCGTACGACCGCTGCTGTACGTTGCCCTCGGGCTTCTCATGGTGGTTTCCATCATCGAGCTCTCCTTCATCTCAAGTATGGTCGGTTGGCTCCACGGTAACGCCAGCGGAACCTTTTCCTTCGAGTACCGCGGCACAAGACATGATCTCAAAGGCGAGCCTGCAAACTTGATCGTTGATCAGGGACATACCAGCAACGGCGCAGCGGGAACATCATTCGTCCTCATCGGCTGCGGAGGAATTCTCGCTTTGATTCTTCGCAACAGACAGAACCCTGGAAAATTCAGTCGATTCTTGTATAACACGTGGCTGGTGTTCAACGTCCTCAGTTTACTCCTCATCCTCACGGCTCTTATTTACACCTTTGTTGTTACGAATAATCATAACGGACAACGTATCAACCCTGGTGTTGCGGCGGGTCTTGACGATGATGAGAAATACCCTCTACAGTCATGGACACCTCAGAATTGGTTCTCAGCATTCCTGAAACTCGACCTCACCAACTCGAATGAGAGAAACGACATTGAACATCACTTGCGTCTCATGCGAGGCTGGCAGTACAACCTTATTCCCTTCTTCATCATTCACCTTGCTGAGACCGGCCTTGCACTATGGGACGCTATGCTTCGACGAAAGGAACCTGCACCAGCCTATGCGCCACCCAAGCACACCGTTTAAGTCATTTTCATATACGAAAAGGATCGGTATCCTTGCAGGGATGGGAAATTATTTTATTGGGTACATAAAGGAAGAAATATTGCATCTTACCTCGGCATAAAATGTATAGGGGTCCAGTCTTAATGATATAATAATAACATAAATAATCTACTCACCTGCTTCATTCGTGATAGGGGCCAGTTAGATAACTCAATTGTGATTACAAATCCTGTACAGAGGACACGAAGGGCGTGCAAATCTGTCACTAGGGCGCCTAGCGGGGCCTTATCTCAACACCATAAAAGCCATCTCCAACCTCAAGATACTCGCCCTTGTCAAATCATCCAGAAATCAGATCAAAATGGCTTATTCACTCTTCATCGGAAACAAACGCTACTCCTCTTGGTCAATGCGACCCTGGGTTCTCCTCAAAGCCCTCGAGGTCCCCTTCGACGAGAAACTGAACCTCTTCAAACCCGGTCTTCGGCAACCTGACTTCCTCGCATTTTCACCAAGTGGAAAAGTCCCTTGTCTTCATGATGGGGAAACATCAATCGTTGTTTGGGACTCGCTAGCTATCTGCGAGTACATCGCTGAGAAGTACCCCGCTGCTTGGCCAACCGACGCAGCAGCACGCGCTTTTGCTCGTTGTGCCGCTGCGGAAATGCACTCTGGCTTCGACGCCATTCGCGATGAGTGTTCTATGAACGTTGGATTGAGAATTGAGCTTGGAACACCGAGTGAAGCACTTCAGAGGGATATCAACCGTTTCAATGAGCTTTTTAAAGAGGGGTTAGATAAGTTTGGTGGACCGTGGTTGGCGGGTGATAAGTTCACCATTGTGGATGCCATGTATGCTCCTATTGCTTCAAGGGTGAAGACCTATGGTATTGAGCTGGATGGTGCGGCAAAGGAGTACGCTGATCGGTTGTTTGAGCATGAGGCTGTGCAGGCGTGGATTCAGGGCGGTATCAAGAAGACGAGCAGAGAGCCTTTTCATGAGGAGGATTGTGTGAGAGGCCGAAAGGTTCTTAAGGACTTGACCAAAGAGTAAAGTGTAGATTCAGCGTTGGAAAGGTACTGTTGGCTAAGATAATGGCTATATAATCGAGAAAACCAAACGCATTTGGGAATATGATGGACTCAATAAGTTTCCCAGTATTTAGTTTGCCCCGGAGGAAGTTCCCGCGAAGCTCAGATATGCCATCTTGGTAAGAAAGCGAAACTTCTTTCCCCAAATTATGAATGCACCCGCGAATACAGTGATAATAAACGACAGGAAACAAACCAGGATAAAGGTATCTTGCACACCCATGCTGTCAATCCAAGGTTGAATACCAAAGGTCATGGCACAGCCAATGATGTTTCTGATCAAGATAACAGTCGTGATAGCTTCACCGTCAACCTCCTTGTAGCAGTCAACCACATATGCCATCGTAAGCGCGGCTGCAACAGTCAATCCAAAGCCAACGAGCCCCATGCCGACAACGGGACCGATCCAAGGTAACGAATTAGCTGCGCCGACGCCGTAAAGTAGGAGGCCACCTGACATTAGGAATGCCATGGGGATGAAAACCCAGAGACGGAACTCTGGCTCGAGCCAGCCGCGATTTCGGCGTGTGAGAAATAGGACAAGCTTGTCGTTAAAAGGACCCGCCATCAAGGCTCTGATGGAAGGTTAGCATGCAAGCAGTGCTGTTTTGTGAAGGAAGCTTACCCGAAGAGACCTCCAATAAGAGGGGATAGCCAGATCAGACCCAACGCCTCATTGCTCATGTTATAGGGTGATGAGCCCAAGATGGAAGCTGTAGTGGTTCCTAAGACGGTAATCCATGATACGCAAGCCCCGTACTCGAGACCGCTCTGCATCAGGTAAGTATATCGTCAGTTTGAGGGAGGAATGCTTCCGCTTACCCAAACAATGGCTGGAAACCAAGCTAGTTGCAGAGGTCGATAGACCTGCCAGACAAACTGTCCCCAAGTTCCTGGAAGAACAACCCAAGGGCGGTACTGAAGACGAAACGAATCTGTCTCCAGGACTTGGCCAACTCTGTAAACACTACCATTAGTGAGTGCGGAATGCAGTTGCTTTTCTCCTTTATCATCGTGCTGGATGGCCTCCAAAACAGACTCTTGGGCTACATGCTCTGGATCTTGAGGTAGCTCCGAATCTCTGGGGAAGTTGCTTTCTTCCAGAGTAAAGAAGATAGCAACAAAGAGTATACCACACAAGATAGCACCCCACCAATATACCCAACGCCAACCGAGAGTTTCGATCATGTACCCAGAGCAAATTGGACCGACTGACGAGCCTGCTGATAAACCGAAGGCGTAAATACCCAAGGCGAAACCTCGTTCATGAGCAAAGAAGATATCGGCGATCGAGATGGGAACGAGAGCTTCGTATGGTGCACGGCCTAGTCCAAAGAGGACGTGAGCGCCGATGAAGTCACCAGAGTTTCTTGCAGTTGCAAGCCAGATATGGCAGCCTATCACTACAGCCAGACTGGGAAGGTATGCAATGCGCCGACCAAACTCTGCCAGACATTAGCAAGCGTACTACTTAGGCCAGGACGATTCTCGATACTCACTATGAGAAAGAGGCGTGAAAAAGACATTTCCAACTCCAAGCATTAGTAGCGTCAAAGCAGTACCAATGTTGAGTTGGTTGATCGATGTCCCAAGCGCATCTTGAATATCGACATAAACAGAACTTTCCCAGTTGCCGAGGGCAGTCATGACAGTGCTGTATATGACGAGTAAGAACAGATGATATCTCTTCCGCCAGACGGACCACCGAAGTGGATCACCCAGATTGTCAGATGGAGTGGGAACAAGGATAATGTCTCCAACTTCATTGGTGCTGTGGGATGGTCGAGTAACGAGGTAGACTGTTCCAGGGACGACTTCGTAGTCGGAATGGGAAGGGCGGACCTCCTCCATGATGATTCAGAAGGAGTTGTTGGAGATATTTTTGATGAGTTTGATGCTGAAGCCATTGCTTAAGACGACGAGGTGACTTTATAGATTTTGTCAACTCGACTACCGATAAGGAGTTCAGCAATAATGGCCAACCTGTCGATGACAATGCCGGTTGTCCATAGTGGCTGGAAAACCTGGGGATTGAGCCAAGCCCAAAGAGGTCTTCCGATGCACTAAAGCCTAAGACTAGAAGCGATAACGGCCTCGGATGATCTGATGACGAGCAGATCAATCATCCAGAAGAGGAAAGAAAAGTTGGAAATGCGAGAGAGGTTATGGCGATTTGAGTTTCGAGCGAGACTAATCTCCATTAGGTCTTCCGACAGACTAAAACTGATCCTTGTCTTCCTGTTGACCAATGATTTGGCTGGGGTTTCATCTCGCACTCCAATACCCGGAAGTATATCTGTAGGCCAAGGAGATGAGCTAGACTGTATTGGCTCTCACGACAAGCTAATGCAGCTTCTTTTGGTCTGACTTCAATAGAAGAGAGCGGAAAACATGCTATAAATTCCGAAATGCGTTATCTCCCTTCAATTCTGGATGGACTACACATTGCTCAGCATTCTTCACTCCTAGCCTTTCACCATGACGCTTCTATCAAAGCCAAGCATCTCAATGGAAGATGTACGAAACACCATCGACACTTACATCAAGGGCCTTTCAGATAATCTCTATATTCTGAACAAGCAGGTAAGACTCTGCTAGTATTCACTATTCAATATAGGCTAATATCTTCACCCAGATCCACGACGAACCAGAAATCGCTTTCCAAGAATTCAAAGCTCAAACTCATATTTCCGATTTCCTTGAACGACAAGGCCATGCCGTTCAACGAGGCGCTTATAATCTACCTACATCCCTCGAGTCTATATACGGCTCCAAAGGCCGATGCGTCAACTTTAACGCGGAGTATGATGCCCTTCCCGGCCTTGGACATGCTTGTGGTCACAACTTGATCGCTACAGCTAGCATTGCTGCATATCTCGCTTTGACACATACTTTGAACAAGTATGGCGTTGATGGGAGAGCGCAATTACTTGGTACGCCTGCTGAGGAGGATGGCGGAGGGAAGATTTTGCTCCTTAATGCCAGGGCTTACGAGAAGGCTGACCTATCTTTGATGATGTAAGTTGCGATCATCATCGTGCTTTTGACCCTCTAACGACTAGCAGTCACCCTTTCGTAGAAGACCAATTCCGTCCAAATGGTACAATTGGATCTGCTGGCCAAAGCAGCATCGCAATAGTCGACTTGATCGCCGAATTTCGCGGCACAAGTGCTCACGCCTCCGGAAACCCATGGGATGGAGTCAACGCTCTTGACGCCCTGGTAGCTTCATACAACAACATCTCGATGTTACGACAGCAGATAAAGCCAGATGAGCGTATCCACGGATGCATTCTTCAGGCGCCGAAGATCACGAATGCGATACCAGAGTACACAAAGGTCAAGTTCTCGATTCGAAGTCCAAAGATGAACTCTTTGAAGAACCTGAGCCAGCGAGTGCGGAAATGCCTTGAGGCAGGAGGGTTGGCTACGGGCTGTGAGGTCGAGATCACGGAAGATTTGGCGTATGCTGATCTCTGGGTGAACGATCCTCTCTGCTCCCTATTCAAGGGCCACATGGACAGTCTTGGAATCTCGTTATCACAAGGCAGTCAACAAGATAACATAGGTGGGTCGACTGATATGGGGAACGTCAGTCAAGCCATCCCTGGTCTACATGGGATTATCGGGATACAGGCTCCACCGGGCACTTTTCCTCATAACTATGCTTTTGAAGAAGCTGCTGGTACTAAGGAAGCACATTTGAGAATACTGGGGGCTGCGAAGGGTATGGCTCTGACTGCGTGGTCTGCTATTGTCGATGATAAGGTGTTTGCTGAGATTCAGGATCATTTTGAGAAGATGAACTTGAGTCTATGAATAGAGCAAGTAGTTTCCAGTGAGACATGATTTTTCAATTTACCACGCCTTCTAACAATTATATTCATACAAAATGAGTGTACTGTTCATACAGAGTAGCCTCCCTTTCCCTACAGAATCACTGTTTTGAGCAGAGACTCTTCAAACAGGATATCAAGCCCCAACGAGAAAGTCTCCTCTGTATCAGCCACTGCAGGGCTCTGTTCTGTCAAAACTCCAGCAACAGGCGCAAAACCATCAAGATGTCGTGGTCCCCATGCACGCGAAAGAAACTCCACGACAGATCTCACTGCCCTGCCACCGGCAAAGTGATTCATCGCCTCAATCTGGAGTACGATGAGGTCTTGACTTTTGGTCGTTGTCGTACCGGTGCCGAGAACAGTGATCGCCCAAAGCAGGCTTGTAAAGTCAGACCGTACCCTGGCGAGGTGATGAAGTGCTGTTTCGCAAAGGCCTACCACTGAAGGGTCTTCAGCACGTAGACATGGGTTCTCGATTTTGGTGATTAGTAGTTCGATGGCCAGTGAGTAGATACTCCTAATGTGGAAACTCTCAGCATTATGGTTGGCACTTGAGACTTCCTGATCGGCGACCGTTGCTACCTTTTTGATGTGGCCCAATCCGACTTGGCACTCGTTCAGTCTGCTCCTCAGCTCTCGCAGTCTGGCCTGCATATCATTTGGCGCCACGCTGAGCCGATGATGTAAAAGATGAGAGACTTTGAACAAGATATCGAAAAGCTCAATTGGCAGCCATGCAGATAGTCCTGCTTTTACGAAGCCCCGAAAGTTGGCGTCCGATTCTAGAACGGGTGATCTTGACCATAGGGTTATGATCTTGGAAAGATCATGGTAATTGCGTAGGTAGCTTGGGCGAAAGACACTATTGATGGCGACATGATAGACCAACGTCTCTAGAATCAGAGCTTGGTGGGTGTTTTGAGGCGGTTGGTCAAGTGCTAGGCATAAAGGTGCTGTGACCGATAGATAGGTCAGAGAGTCGGTAGTAGAGTTTTCGAATCTCTATATATTGATCAGCTTTGGTAGAAGTGGTGGAAGTGGTGTGCTCACCTCAAATACATGCAGTAAGAGTAAAGTCGCAATATTGGAGTCCTGAGTAAGACTCTCCTCACTCCGAGTACTCAGGCGAAGCTGCTTCAGGGCGTCGCTGTGTTGCTGCAGGGCGTGTATACGCCAGCTAGGCTGAAGCTGCGAAATAATGATAGCCGAACACGCGATCCAAGCATGCAGCATACTGCGGGAATTAGCCAAGGCTTCAAAACCCTGAGCTAGCATTGAAAACTCTCGGCCTTGATCTAGTCTCGACGTGGCCTGGTCGAGGACCTCGAGCAGGCCCGTCATTGAGCATGAGGGCAAGCCTTGGAAGCATTCGTTGAAGGCCCCTGTGTTGCTGATGTGTATCGGAGACGACAGGCGGCTTCCGTTTCGTAGGATTAATTCGTCACCGAGAGATTCTGGCGTGCTGGTCTCATCATTAGAGTCCCCATCCAACCGAGGACTCAGACTGCTCTCGCCAGCCCGGGCAAGTAGCTTCTGGTTGCGGCGCTCACCATGACTGCGCCAACTACATGAAACTCTACGGCTCGAACAGCTACCACAAGTTGGGCGGCATTCATCGCATTTCTTCCGTCGACTTCGGCCTGAGAGCAGAGTCAGTGATTTTGCCACTATGATGGGACGACAAGCTTACATGGGATGCAGCCGCCTGGGGACCGGCGATGCTTCACGCGATTCTCTGCATGAACCCAACCTCCTGAGTAAAGTTCAAACTGCGCAAACATCGGCCAGTTGTCGTTGGATCACGGGAATGTGAAAGGCGAATGGTGGATAGATATCTTAATCCGGGATTGCGGGGTTTAGGCGATGCGTTGGCCTATGCCATGTCGGGATAGTTCCAGAATCTGATGTTAAAAGAAACCAGCTTAAGTAAGAGGAATATAAGTTCTTACTTTTGAAGTTATAAATAATAATTTCCTTCATTAAATGCTCATAGGAAAGGGGTATAAAAGTGAAATAATAGAATTAAACTCTCACATCTTGTTTCAGCATGTTAATAAAATAACATTCGTAGAGGCTGTACACGTACATTGTTGCAGATAGCGCGAATAATAACAGTTATAGCTCCGAAAGACCCATATAAACTGATGCCAGAGGCCATTGGCTAGGTATTTGGCAAGTATGAGTGAGGATTAACACCGGTTCGGTTCGGGTCGTTGATGATATTAGGTTCACAGTCGAAGAACCTCGGCAACCTTTCTCAACTATTTAATCCTCGCTGTGTCCCAGAGGGTTGGAAAATATTGCACCTGGAATTCACTGCTTAATAAAAACCTGGCATTTCTAAGTAACCACGCCGCTCGGAATTCTGAAGATGACCCTTAAATACGACCCTGAGTTTGAAGCCGTACACGATGCATTTGGAAAAATGTTCAAGCTTGAGCCTTTATCTTTAGATGATATCGAGGGCTCTGCTAGAAGACGTGAAGCGTCCATGCAAGCCTTTATCCCGAAACAGGTGGTTCATCCAGACGTGGAGCAAGCCACTCACCTAATCGATACTTCTGACGGCCATACTATTACAGTCGTCAGCTTTAGAAAAAGAGACTCCCAATCGAGCCCTGGGTCAGCCCTTCTTCATTTCCACGGAGGGGGCATGATAATGGGATCAGCCGAGGGGGGAGCAATGATATTGTCAGCCCTGGTCATGGAAACTTCTATCCCCGTCTTTAGTGTCAATTATCGACTTGCTCCTGAATTCAAGGGCCCCATTCCTGCCCAAGATGGCTACGCCGCCTTGCTTTGGCTGCAGAACAGAGCAGATGAGTTCAACGTGGACCCGGCAAGAATTGCCCTCCTTGGCTATAGCGGAGGTGGAGGTGTTGCTGCAGGCGTGGGTTTGATCGCCCGTGACCGAGACCTACAGCCTCCCCTAGCCAAGCAGATTCTGATCTACCCGATGCTTGACGACCGCAATCTGGTGGAGAATGAGGGTCTGAAGCCTTTAGCTACCTGGACGTTCGAAGAGAATAAGGTAGGGTGGACGGGGCTTCTTGGAGGTCAAGCAGGAAAACCAGACGCCCTAGTTTCTCAATACGCGGCTCCTGCTCGAGCAACAAATACGGCCAATCTACCGCCGACCTATCTTGATACTGGGGATCTTGACATATTCCGCGATGAGGTCGTCACGTATGCTGCGAGACTGCTTGAGCAGAACGTTCCTGTTGAGCTCCATGTTTATCCCGGCGTGCCTCATGCGTTTGAGTTGATTGCACCCAATATCGGAGTGTCAAAAAGGGCTGTCGAGAACAGGCGGAGGGCCATGACAGACTTTTAAGGCTATCCCTCACATAGCCTTTTTGAACCAGTTGAAGAAGCAGATGCGGCATCTTTTTGGGCTGGGGATGCGTAATAGGCGACGAGGTCGTAATAAATGAAGATTTAGCATGTGCAGATCTGTATGGTTCCGGGTATCATAGATCTAAGGGCTCAATATAGCGAAGTTAAATGCTACCCGAAATGAATGATAACTTCTACCTCAGTCAAACACTGAAAACTGCAAGATAACCAACAAAAGCGGAGATCATATCATGCCGAAACCCTAATCAGTTATTGAGTTCCCGATTCAGGTAGAATTCACGAGCTACAGCGTGTCCTCAGAGGTGGCTCGTTGGTTTTCTGGCTTAGAGTGGAAAGGGTGTTAATAAATAATGACAAAGTTGTGCCTCAATGTCATTCTTTAGAGTATCATCTTTGCAGTTCCGTTTTCAGTCCTCCATAGAGATCAGTCCATATCGAATGGGGTTCGGCCCGTGAGCATAGGCTAGGAAGTGCCAAGTTCCTCCAGTAAATGGTCTGTTGTGTCAAGGATGCACATGTTCATCCCTGGTAGAGTTAACCTCCACCGAGAACAGCTATCGGTGAATAGTTCCAGAGTTACCCTGGAGAGCCAATGAGTGAAGCAATAACTCGAGAGCTCTCCTCACTCTGGCTCACGGATAAGAGGATTGGCAGTTGAGTCACTGGGAAAATAATTTTGAGCTGGTGAGCATAGGTGTCTGAAAGTCTGGCCTTAGTCCCCAGTCAAATTCGTCCTTGTTTCTCAATCTTGGAACTTAGGAAGGACGCAGAATATTGGCATAAAGCATCGGAATATCAGCGTCATCTGGCAGCTGGGTAAAACTCACTCTGGTCTGTATTCATCGCGACGATCCGGCTCCCCGAATTTGAATGCTATCGTCGAAATGGTATTGTCGCCTAGTTTACGCTTACAGAGGCTTGAAACTCTTGACGCTTGGACTGTAGGATTGAGAAGTGTTGTTCAGTCATGTGGCTATTGAGTTGCCAATGAAGTTTGGACATAGGATTGATATAAGTTGGATGAGCCAAACTTGGCCTTACTCATATCTGAATGTAGGTCTCTCTTTCCATGGACCCCAAGCGACAATAGACGACTCCTTGGAGTATTCTGGAAAGGCTTTGGAGACCTCTTCCACTCGTGGTGGAAGTCTACATTACATCTCGTGACTCCAAGACTATTTCAACTGCCTCAGCTGCCTTGTCGTAAGTCTCTTGCGCCCTGCCGTCCTCAATAGAGAATAGGTTGCTAGGTTATATCAAGGTCAACGGTCTGCCTGGGGTCCTTTTTGTGCTGTCTGGGTGAAGGTGGTAGGAGACAGTGTGAAGGACGCCGAGATTTCTTCAGAGAACATCTATGACATTGAGATCACTAATGACGAAGGAGGCATGGCACGTCAGTTGACCCGGGCTCGATGTATTGTCGCCAAAGCTCACAAATGGATGACAGCAATTCCAAGGAAGGACGGTAACAGATGAAGGCCAAAACGTCATGACATTGCTGCGGCTGTGAGAACATTATGAGCAGGAAATCTAGGTCAAAGCAGGGCCATTACTGCCAGACTTTTCAATCGGCATGATCAATATGCATGCGAGTCCAGCGAGAATAATAAACGTGAGCCATAGACGTGATGGAGATAGCCAAAGGGACTTTGATGATGTCGACGTTCGCAAAGTATGAAATAAGGGCGGCGGCGGCTCCATCTTGTTCATAATGGAGATTTTCTTTTTGGTCAAACGCAAAACAAGCTTTGCAACGGCCACGGCAGCGCTAACGGTAGCGGTAGCGGTAGCGGTAGCGGTAACGATAAGGGCAACGATACCGAGCAATAATATGATACGTAAGGTAAGGATGTTCCTGTCCACAAGCCGTGGCCCAACGCGGGTTCGTTTGGACTTTCGCGGCCTTGATCATGCGGACGACAAATAAATTCGCGTGCGATAATCAAGCAAAAACAACAGCGGGCGAGTGGCACTGTTGCCAGGTACTGTATTGTGCCTACTTGATAACACGGACTGATAGTCAGGGCTGGCCGCCATGTCACTCCACACTAACTCCCACTTCTATTAGGTACGTATTATATTGGTTATTTTAATATAGAGAAAAACATAACCTAAGATAGAACTAGAACTATTGATTCCACTCCTAACTCTAATAGCTCGGGTTAGTTATTATAGATATATAGTATCTAAAGTATCTCCCTTTTATGATATATAAAATCCTTACTTTATTAACTTCTTTATCTTAAAGCCTAACGATTAAGATATCATTTCTTTATTAATAAGTAAATTATATCTGCATTACTGATATATGGGGCTGTAAGTCTGACTTAATTCTTGATGCATATAGCTTTAAACTTAAACACTATAAGACGAGTTTTATAAACAAACAGTTTGAAATTGTCTATATTGTTTGCGAGAAATACTGACCTGAGAATAAGAGCTTTTATCTCCAAAAAGGTCGGCGCGTTAAAAGCAGTCTTTCCCTTGTTTAATGTTTCTTACCAACGATGAATAAGAAGTTTAAATAGACTGCCACAGCTACTAGTGCCCTTAAATCGACAGGACTTATCGGGACGGTTGATCTATAGCTGGCACTTTTGCTCGAACAGGAAGCATTTTATGTTTGGTCAATAGAGACAAACGGGCCTATCGATCTTTTCTGTAGTTAGGTTGTTTCTCGTATTATCAAGTGCTTCGACAGGTTATGTAACAAAAGAGAAAAGGAGTCATTGCCGTATAAGTTTCATCAGTAATTCGGCAAGTTTATTACGCGCAAGCTATCAATGTTTGCCATTACAGGCATCTGACTCTCAAAGTTGGGCTCTTTGTCCTACCAAACTTGACACCTCGCACGTGACAGGGTGTTGCCTGATTCAATTGCTCAACCAACGATCTTGAGGCCCCATCTTCCACTCGCTTCGTCAACCGCCATCTTTCTAATCCTTTCTGAACCTCATAGTCAAGAAGTGCGCTTAACATGTCTCCCTCCTCTAGTCAAAGTACTAGCGATGCATCAATCGGCTCTAATGAGTCCTGTCGGTTTGAGACGGTCCAGATTAGCGACACGGAAGAGCCTGGATTGTATCGAAAAGGTGGCTTCCACCCAGTTCATATCGGCGATCACGTTGATAGCGGTCGGTACCGGGTTGTCCATAAGCTTGGCCATGGCGGTTTCTCCGTCGTATGGCTAGCTTACGACTCCTTGGAGTCTATCTGGGTGGCCATCAAGATTGTGGCAGCTTCAGACTCCTCTATGATGGAAGTTAAAGCAGTCATGTACCATAAAATCATTTCCAGCATGAATGACGAGAGATTCATTACCTATAAGCGCTTCTTTCACATCGAAGGGCCCAATGGCCGCCATCTATGTCTAGTCCTACCACCTTGTGGTCCTTCTTGCAACACCATGTCCCAATACCTACAGAGCAGGATTCATCCCTGGCTGGCGCGTCGCGTGTCTTCCCAAGCTACAAAAGCTATCGCAGGATCTTCATTCTCAAGGTCTTTGTCACGGAGGTACGCCGCGTTTCTGCTTTCTTCTTTCACGTCCCTGATTTTCTATAGATTTTACCCCGAGCAATATCGTCTTTCGCATCCGCAATCTTGATCATCTTGATGATCAAGGGATATACCGGCTTTTTGGTGAGCCTCAACGAGATGGATTGAGAACGATATCTGGTGAACCTACTGGTGCAGAGGCGCCTCGGTATATTGTTGGCAACCTCGACTTCGCCTCAGCAGAAGACCTCATACTTGATGACATCTGCTTAATCGATTGTGATCAAGCATTTTTGACCACTGCTCCCCCGAGGAACACACTTGGGACACCTCCAGGCTTTCTGGCGCCTGAGGTAGCAGTTGGAAACCTGGCCAGCACTGTAAGTGATGTGTGGGCTTTGGGCTGTTCTATCCTACAGATCAGGTCAGGCTCATCTCCTTTCTCAATTCCCAACGTCGATAGTCCAGCAAACCTGCTTGGATGGGTCAGCGAGTACCTTGGCCGTATACCGGCATCATGGGGAGAGCCGCTATTCGACGATGATGGCCTCCCAACGATGGACACAATCAATGGCGAGCCCCTGGGCGAAATGCTCGAAAACACAAGATCGTTGAAGCAGTGGATCGGCGAGATCTGGGATCAACCAGAGAATCTCGAGGAGCTTCAGTCATCATCAACTGCGCCACAAAGAGTGAGGGATGAGAACAAGCCATATCTGGAATGTTACAGCAACAAATTTTGGAAACCTGCCGCGATCAGAATCGACAATGTCTACCTTGGAGCATACTCTGACAAAGTTGATAAGATCATTGAGTCACTGCCGAAAATACCTACGCACGAGGCTGACTTGTTATATGATTTGATAAGCAAAATTTTTGTTTACGAGCCTGCGCAGCGAGTGTCTGCAAAAGATATCTTGGCTCATCCATGGTTTCATTTGGATGACAGGATATGATGACTTGCTCCCAACCTCTTCAGCAGAGTTATGGGATAATAGTTAGAGGAGTCAATTGACGAAATACAATTACAGATTCGGGGTGACGCGTTGTTCCATTTACAAGGCCTGTACACCCGGTAGTTATTCCCGGAGTGTCGTGGTCTAGAAGCCGGCTCTGAGCCGGCGGGTAAGCTTCCGGCCTGGTCTGGGGTTGCCACGCCGGGATATCCAAGATCTTATTCATGCAATCGTCATCAAAATAAGGTGACCATTGACCGATATACGGATTCTCTCCGTTTTCGGTGTGGCTCATCAGCAAAAATTCTCGAGATAATCCTCGCGGATGGGAATGCTGTTCTCGCAATGCTCCAAGCTCCTCCGGCTTCGCTATTGGTGGGGTGACAGTAAGACGATGGGAACGGAGTGAGCGAATTGCCCCTGAGATCGGTGCGATTGAGCGAGATGAAATAGTACTTTGGAATATACACAAACAATTACATGCATGAAGTATTCGTCCTTTACAGAAACTCGGTCAAGAGTCAATGGTAGCATGCGTGGACTGTTGACCGTCCTGTCACACGATACGGTCACGTGCTTTTACCAAGATCCTGAGTCATCAGAATCACCCCGCCAAAATCTTTGACCCCTCCAAAATCTCGGGCTCAAATTGGGGCAACGAGACCTACTTCTACCAGACGCTTCCCACTCCGTTCTTGCATAGACGAAGACGAGATCGAAAACGAGTCCTACAGACGCATACGAACGAGACCAAGCTACACCACGATCGTTATAGCGAACCCTCTACCGACAAACTTCCTCTCCTCCAACCCCGCCATCATGAGCTTCGACGCTGAGAGCGCGGCTCCAGTGCTCGCCACAGCCGACTTCAAGACTCTCGGTCCCTTGGCCGCCGATCTTGACAAGCACCTCACTCTCCGAACCTACCTTGGAGGCTACACCCTGAGCGAGGCTGACGAGAAGGTCTGGACTGCTCTGCGCACCAACAAGGTCGCCATTGGCCTCGTCCGAAAGGGCGCCTACGCCAACATCACCCGATGGTTCAAGTTCATCGAGGATTCTCACCCTGAGCTGAAGGAGAAGCTCAACTCTGGCAAGGAGAAGCGCGTTGGAGGTGCCAACTACAACATTGGCCTTCAGAACACTGAGAACGGTGTCGTGACCCGTTTCCCTCCTGAGCCCAGGTATGTTCTTCACCGAAACACGCATCGCGCGACTTTACTGACATTTTGCAAGTGGTTATCTTCACATTGGTCACGCAAAGGCCGCTCTCCTCAACGATTACTTCGCCAAGACTGCCCCCGATGGCAATGGCAAGCTCCTCGTCCGATTCGACGATACAAACCCCTCCAAGGAGAAGCAGGAGTTCGAGGACTCTATTCTCCACGACCTCGAGTTGATGGATATTAAGTACGTCTCCGTCACTCACACCAGCGACTACTTCAAGGAGCTCTACGAGATTGCCGAGAAGATGATCCTCGACGGCAACGCATACGCCGATGACACCGACCCCGAGATCCAGAAGGATGACCGCAAGAACCGTCTTGCCAGCAAGCGACGTGACCGTCCTGCTGAGGAGAGTTTGGCCATGTTCAGAGAGATGAAGAACGGTACCGACCTCGGCCGAAAACACTGCATTCGCGCTCGCATTGCCTTCGACTCAAGCAATGGCTCCATGCGAGACCCCGTCATCTACCGATTCCCCAACTGGAAGGGCGCCGAGCCCGCTCCTCACCACCGAACCGGCTGGGACTGGAACATCTACCCTACCTACGATTTCGCCTGCCCCGTCGTCGACAGTCTCGAGGGTGTCACCCACGCGCTCCGAACAACCGAGTATGCCGACCGTAACGAGCAATACCACTGGTTCATTGACAACCTCAAGCTCCGCAAGGTCAACCTCTGGGAGTTTGCCCGTATCAACTTTATCCGAACATTCCTTTCCAAGCGAAAGCTCACCAAGGTTGTCGACACCGGCCGTGTCAGCGGCTGGGATGATCCTCGCCTGCCTACCGTCCGCGGTATCCTCCGTCGCGGTCTGACCGTTCCCGCTCTCCGTGAGTTCATGTTGAAGCAGGGACCTAGCCGAAATATCGTCACCATGGACTGGACAACTATCTGGGCCATCAACAAGCGAATGCTCGACCCTGTTGTGCCCCGATACATGGCCATTGAGGAGAAGGACGCCGTCACTGTCACCGTGACTGGCGGTCCCGAGAAGTCATACAAGGAGGACAGACCCAAGCATGTCAAGAACCCCGACGTTGGTACCAAGCAGGTTACGTTCGGACCCAAGCTTCTCCTCGACCAAGCCGATGTTGCTGAATTCGCCGACAACGAGGAGATTACCTTGATGAGCTGGGGTAACGCCATTGTCCGCGGCCTTGACAAGTCCGCCTCACCCATTAAGGACCTCAACCTCGAGCTGCATCTCGCCGGTGACTTCAAGACCACGAGCAAGAAGGTCCACTGGTTAGCGGCCGACCCCGAAAACCTTGTCAAGGCTGAGCTCTGGGACTTTGGCTACCTCATCACCAAGGACACGCTAGAGAAGGATGACAACCTTGACGACTACCTGGCCGAGACCACCGCCTGGAAGGTCGATGCGCTGGTCGATGCTAGCATCGCTGGTCTCAAGGAGAACGACTTTATCCAGCTGGAGCGCAAGGGATACTACCGTGTGGACAAGGCTCTTGGCCAAGGACCCGACGGCCGAGCTGTCCTGTTCAAGGTCCCCACAGGTGGCCAGAAGGGTTAAGCAAGCTAAACTAGTCAAGAAAACAAAAGGGCTGGGGGATTTATGACGTCTTGTGATTTGACGACGGACATGTAGTTATGAAAGACAAAGTACCGTAGTAGAAATGCGAAAAAGAGGAAAAGATCCGGACCATCAGGAAGTTCCTCTCACAATGATGCTCAGCTTTGCATGCAGGATATGTCACGTGTTCCTTTCGCGATGATGATTCGCTCTGCTGCGAGGGTTTGATGTCAGCGCTGATGCAGATCCACCAAAATCGGTATACTCTTGAACACGATGGGAAAATCCCTGCAGGAAAGAGTGCTTCTCAATGCGCATATCAGAATGCACAGTGAGATTTGAACTGCAGGCCTGAGTATACGAGAGGGGGCGGATGATCGACCCTGTAATCAGCTACACGAGAGGGGAAATGATGGTGCGATTAGTTTCTCCACATTAGGCGGAGATTTTCTAGAAGATGATCGATTATGACGTTGGATATGTGCAGTGAAGTGAAGTGATTCGGATGTAGGTACCTATTGAAGATGGATGGATGGAATGAGAATTGTTGAGATACTGGATGCACGGGGAAAACCAGACCCCTAAGAATAGAATATAGCACGGGTTCTAGCGCGTCGAATGCCGCTAACCCCGCTGTAGCAGTCAGCCCAGAAGGGCTGCTCCCGCATCGTAGCGTAGAAAAAACGGTCTCGATCTTTCTCAATGCGGTGAAAGGACTCCTTACTAACGTTGGGCATTTGCAGTAAGGAACATGACTGAAGGTAACGTGAGATTCGAGTAATACGAGATGCTGCATCGAGCGATAGATCATGGGCCATCTCCACAGTTTCTGACGTAGAACAAGACGGAAAGATCGGGAATACTGTATGTACCTAACGGAAGAATTATCTGATCAGGTTGGTTGTGCTATTTTGGTCCTTTTTGCGGGGATGGCACCCGACCTGGCGATACCTCACAACGAAGCACCTCTCAATACGAGAGCTTCTGCTTCAAGTATGTCCAAATACAGTGAATCACGAGGTAGCAATTAAAGAATAATACTACCGTTTTATGCTTCTTCTGTGCCGCTTTATGCTTATGCATAGTTTCTACGCCTCCCGCTGCGGTGCGGTGCGGTTCATCGGCTGATGTCGGTGGATGCGGCTTTGGGAATACGAGATCCAGCTTCGGCCTGTCGATCACCTCGTGTTGCTCAACGCACGAGGTCTCTACTGCAAGGGAAGTTGAAGCTGGAGCTCGCGGTGAGCTATAGCACGGATCAGTATAGCTTGTGGGACTGGGCTTAGAATAGATGGAGGCTCTCTATGTCATAAGTTTAGACCAGCAGTGTAGAAACATCTATATAAACAGCCCTCATCCTTCTCCCTTCTCATCTCATCTCATCCCATCTCATCACCACACACTCCTCTTCACACAAACCACTTCAACTCCAAACAAACCACTACAAACACATTCAAAATGAAGTTCTCCGCCGCCGTCTTCACCCTCCTCGCCGCCACCGGCGTCACAGCCGCACCCGCCGCTGAGTCCGTCAACATGATGGCCGCAACCCCCCAGTGGACCATCCGCGACGCCAAGCGCTACTGCCGCTCCGACGACTCCATCTGCAACTGGAAGTTCGGCATCGACACTGGCAACGGCAAGCCCTACGAGTGCCGCTACGACGTCAAGGGCCCCGGCGCCAGCAAGAAGCGCAGCGCCGGTCCTAGCACCTGCGGCGACTTCACCATCACCTCTGGATGGAGCGACCAGTTCGGCGCTGACAATGGCTTCACTACACTGTCTGTCGTGTCCAAGTCGAAGCGTCAGATCATCTGGCCTGCTTATACCGACAAGCAGCTTGCTGGTGCTAAGATTGTTAAGCCTGATCAGTCTTATGCTCCTGCTTCTCTCCCCAAATAAGCGAGCGACACTAAATTGAGATGGATTGAGGGATTGGGGATTGACGTATAATAATTGCTTGTACATACTTGAAGTAAGGAAAGGCTTGGGGTTACAATACATAAGCACATCAACGCCGTTTGTCAATCATTGGCCAATTATTCCCGACGTGAAAGTGTGACATCCATCGCTTCGTCGGCCGAGTACCGTCGGGCTTTCGGCCGGACGGTTCGGCACCTTGTCACGCAATCATCACTGCACCACATGAGCATCCGCAATAATAACAGCCAGTACGGAGTATAACATTTTAGATAGTGCAACAGGTAAATGACAACAGCGAGCCGCGAATTATCGGATCAAACCTCTGTACCTAGTAACCGATATGTTTGTCGTGCCAAAGTTTAGTCGTTTGATGTGCAGACACAACATCAAACCAACGCTTCTCATTCACAGACAGTGTTACAGCAATGCCTAAATAGAAAACATGCATCGAATAAATTCTCTGTAATATTTCCGACCAATAACCATCAATAGCATCCCATTAAATTGCCTCTGGTCAACTTTAGGGCCCACCGCCTGGGTACACCAACTTGAGCTTAGCTGTCCAAAAGCCCGGTTACCCTGCAGATGGCACATTTATATTTATTGCCCGTTGGGTGATGCCTTGTTGTACGATTATTCAATGACAAGAAGCTTCTCAGTCACGTACATATATTATATCAAGTACGTGACAATCAGTTTATATTACCTTAAGAGATTCTGGCTTTCAGTTACATATAGACTCAATTTGGTATTCCCAATTATGACCGTGTCGCATGTACCGAACGCGCTGATGGTGTACTTCACAGCGAAGCAACGGTATTTATCTACGGCCAATTAATACCTTCATTCTATAACACCGCGCTTGTTAACAAGTTCTATTGACCTTTGTCGACTCTGGCGAATCGATCATTCGGCGCGACACCGGAAAATTGAAGGCGCCGGAAGCCTCCCGCTCAAAATTTAGGCTTTCCATTGTATCCGTAAAACAACAGAACTCAAATGCGTCGCCTCATCTCCCAGCACACAACCGCCCGGAAGATGTCAAGCTTGTGATATGTGAGGATGCCAGAAAGGCAAGCTCAATGTTGCCCACTTTGTATCCGCAGACCATTCTGGCCGTTTCCACAATTGATGCGCACCCAACCGTCGGGAGCAGATCATCTAGTAGCCTTGCACACACAATTCTAAAAGCCTGTGCTGGACCTCACCACGATGAACAATGTTCCTGCACATCGAAGTCACCCAACCCCCAAATGCTGCGATACGTCAGAGAAGCGCCGCGAAGTTGACGCCGTGGCGGGGAACAACATCACATTTTAACTCCGCGATAGAAGCACCCAACTGCAAACAGGCGCCAACATTAACATGATGAGGCCTCTCACAGCGATAAGACGCGTCGACACAATATATACTCACCAAAAAAAAGTAAATTAAGATCGTCGAAATAAAGTCAATTGAGGCGTTCGCCAAGCTGAAACAAGATGACGCCGGGCTCACCAACTCAGAAACGGTGGTAAAACCCAAGACCGACGACACGCGTATGTCTTAGCTTGGCGCGTGCCAATTGACTTTCCCCCTTCTCTACGAGAAAAAGTTACACAGCGAGCCCGTTGCTGGGATACATACATAGCCACACGGGTAATTTATACGAGCGCGAGTGACAGTTTTGGCATGTGCAGTACCGAGTACCTAACGTTAGTGTTGTGATGAGCCGGGACGCTCGGGGGGAAAATGTCATGCTGTTTACTCCGCCAAGTAATGACGGTCTGCCAAGAAGCCCCTTTGATCAAAACTGGGCATTAGCATCACGAGGCCTTAGCACCAATGCACGAAACCAGTTTTTCTACATTCAATAAGACGAATATGTCTATGAGCATGTCTATGACCGTATTAACAGCTCACTCTTCATTCCAGTATCTCGCATGGTCAGAATATGTCTCGTGTGCACCCCAAACCTTGATTCCTTGCAGAGACCGTGTTTCAGTGGTCGCGGAGGAAGAATAAGGTAATATTTAAGCATACCAGGGGCTGGGCCAATGAACCCAGTGGAGTGGGTGGATTTGGCGCATTAAAGTTTAGCGCCCTCACTCTGTGAAAGGGGGGAATCTTTTAGAAGAGTACTTTGTAACTGTCATAGATGTGAAGGGAGGAGAGGGTATCTTGTTATCGTGCAGGGGCTTGCGTGGCCCATTCATATCTCGCTCTAGCACAGGAGATCTTGGCTCTTCTTTGTTATTGCGATGGCCCTCACTTTCGTCTCATCCATGGGTCATGATGTTTGTCTAACGAGTTCTCCTACACTGCTTGTCTTGACTTCAATTTGCTTCAATGCAATTCATCATGCACTGCAAATCAGGTGCCTACCCGTTCAAAATGTCAATTACGTGGCTGCCCCCTCGCCAAGACCAGACCATTTGCCAATAAAGTCATGAATAAACACCCCATGTCACTGGCGTCTTGGCTCTTCAACCTTCTTGTCTCGTCGATAGGCCTAAAACCCGCCAAGGAAATATACCTCTCGTCGCAGCGCCTGCACTGCCCCGATGCCCAGAGACTTGGCTCGTACCAATAAACTTGCCAGTGCCATTTTATCTCCCCCCTTGTTTTTGTGTGTGCCTTTGTACGTACGTAGTAAAGAATAGATCCCCGGCTTTCCGTCCCACCTTTGATCTACCCAGATCTCTCTTCTGTCGGCTTTCTTTCTTACCTTTTGCATTCGCTTTTTTTGCTGTAAACTTTGACATCGAAAACGCTCGTTTTTATCCCATTTGGATTTTTATTTCCCGGTCCTGTCTTCTTCTGGCGGGAGGGTTAGTTTGCACGCTGAGGCCTGGTGCTTGTGTCGCTCGCTTACAAGCTACCTCGATTGACCACCACATCACGACATCGCCTCAAAGTGACGCCCATTTCTTACAGAGAACTCATATCTGATCTCGGCGACATCATGTTTTCCTCGCCGACAGCGTTTGTGGCCCAGGCTGCGCTTCTGGGAGGTCTTCTCGTTCAATCGGTCGACGCACAGTATTACAAGATTGGAACAAAGGGTACGATGCCGACGACTGCAGTAGATGGAGGAGGAATACTAACAATGGTACAGATGAGATTAAGCAGTCGGCACGAACACTTGCGTATGATCTCATGTTGCAATATGACGGTAACCAAACTGGCATGATTCCCGGTATTCTGCCCGGTCCTCCAACAGAATACAAGGGCGACTACTACTGGTGGGAAGGCGGAGCAATGATGGGAACATATATCGGTGCGTCGGCATTGACAGCTCATCGAGATGGATTGCAGGCTAATTGGGGGCAGATTACTGGAAACTCACCGGCGACGAGAGCTACAACCACGTAGTGATGGAGGGCATGCTTCACCAGACAGGCGACGGCCACGATTACATGCCCAGCAACCACAGTGCATCCCTCGGAAACGACGACCAAGGCTTCTGGGGCATGTCCGCCATGCTTGCAGCAGAGAACAAGTTTCCCAACCCACCCGACGACCAACCCCAATGGCTCGCTCTCGCACAGGCTGTATGGACGACACAGGCTAAGCCCGAGCGACACGATGACGAGTGCAATGGTGGAATGCGATGGCAGATTCCCTTTACAAACTCTGGATACGATTACAAGAATAGTGCGTTTGTCCCGGGATTGAATGATGGGGAGGAGTAGCTAACCTTTGCAGCCATTGCCAACGGGTGCTTTTTCAACATTGGCGCTCGTCTTGCGCGATACACCGGCAATGAAACGTATGCGAAATACGCTGAGGAGACGTGGGAGTGGCTCTGGAACGTCAACTACATCGACCATGAAAAGTGGCTCGTCTACGATGGCGGACATGTTGGAAAGAACTGTACCGACATCAACAAGGCCACCTTCTCCTACAACGCCGCCATTCTCATTCAAGGCGCGGCTTTTATGTACAACTTTGTAAGTCACTCACCTTTACACCTAAACACATCCACTTACAATCGAAGACCAACGGTTCGACTACATGGGAGGACCGCATCGACAAGCTCCTCGACGCCACGCTCAAGAACTTCTTCCCCAAGGACATCATGTACGAAGTGCCCTGCGAGGGCCGCAAAGGCGCCTGCTCGACCGACATGTTATCTTTCAAGGGCTACGTGCACCGCTGGCTGGCCGTAACAACACAAGTCGCGCCTTTTACCGCAGAGCGCATCCTCCCAGTGCTGCAGACATCCACCGAAGCAGCGGTTAAGCAATGCACGGGCGGAGACTCGGGTCGCAAATGCGGTTTCTACTGGAGTGGCGGCGAATTCGTGGACCCAGCTGTCGACGAGACGAGCGGTGCGGGCGAGCAGATGAACGTGCTAGCAGCGGTGTCGAGTTTACTCATCACAGACGCTGAACCGCCTGCGACGAATAGCACGGGTGGTATTTCCAAGGGCGATCCCAAGGCTGGTGAGGATTCGCATGATAATCCGGAGCCGGAACCCATCACGACGGCGGATCGGGCGGGAGCGGGTATCCTGACGTTCCTGGTGCTGGCGAGTGCGGTTGGAACGTTTGGATGGATGTGTTTTGATTGAGCGCTTTTGAGTCTGGCGTTGGTTGTAAAGCATATATAAGAAACTCGACTGGCGAGCGAGGAATATTTTTTTGTGTCGTTTTGTTCTTTTGTTGGAGAATGGAGTTGGCTTTGTCCCATCGGGATTGAAGGGATTGTTAAGACCTTGATGGGAGATACCCAATGAAAGGCAGCATTCTGATAGATTTGTTCAAATACAGATGCTTGAAAAGCTAGTTACTCTCATTTTTGCGCTTGTCTTGACGTATGGACCTGTTACGTGTCCCATAAAAACGCGATAATGCTCTGATGTTGCCTTTAAGCTTTCGCTGAGCCAACGAGGTCAGTATGACAAGGCTGCATTCAATGGAAGCTGCTGGAGACTTGTGGCTGAGAGCTTCTATCGCCACAGAGAACTGGCTGACTCATCATAAATTTTGGGGCTGCCGCCATCCTTAGTTCAACTTCGCAGCCTTTCGCCTCTGGACCAAGATTTGCCAACCTTGATCACCTCAATCAGGCACGCAGCGCATTAACTCCTGATATCAACAGCAAAAGCTGCCACTTCTACCGAGCTCCTCCGATCGACGCGACGCGACGCGACGCCATGGCTGAATTACCCACTCCTGAAACGGCGATGCCCGCCCCCATCGCTTTCAAGCAAAGGAGCCGACGAGCCAAGGACAACGTGAGAAAGCGACCAGCTAGCACCCTGCCAGCGCATGGCGATTCTCAAGACTCCTCTTCCTCAGACGACGAAAGCGACGCTGTAGACGGACCTCGGATCAAGCGCAACAAGAAGGGAGCAATCTCAGCATCATCGACGAGTCAACGGAACCCCGATCAAGATTACGCCCCTACAGCCTTCCGCGCGAATCGTGAAGTGCCAATATCAGACACAAACGATGCCACAAAGCGGAAGGACTGGTATGATCAACCGACAACCAAGGGCCCCGCTCGTGCCGCCTCTAATGTGCGCATAACAACAACCTTCGACTTCAAGCCCGACGTCTGCAAAGATTACAAGAAGACGGGTTGGTGTGGTTTTGGCGATGCGTGTATATACGCTCACATAAGAGACGACATTAAGCAAGGATGGCAGCTTGATAAAGAGTGGGAAGAAGTGGGAAAGAGCAAGCAGAGGACGAGTGGTGATCGCGGAAAAGCAGATGCTGTCGAGGGTGAGGCAGATATGGAAATGCTGAGCAAGATCCCTTTTGCATGTATTATCTGCGAGAAGCCTTACAAGAATCCTGTCGTCACTCGATGTGGCCATTATTTCTGCGAGGCATGTGCCCTCCAGAGGTACAGGAAGGATCCAACATGTAAGAACTGCGGAGCTGCGACCATGGGAGTTTTCAACACAGCGTCGAAATTGGAGAGGCTGTTGCGGCGGAAGAGGGAGCATCAAGAGAAGCTGGATGGGAAAGCACGAGAACAAGCTGATAAGGGGGCATGAAGAGTACAACTGGTTAACTTCTATGAATAAACGGTATCGCTGCGCACGACGGATGACTAACCCGGACCACTGCACTGGCCACGAATGCGTGGAACAAGTCTTCAGCTTCAACAGTCTGCGGGTCTTGCAGGTAGTCTCAGATGGCTTTTGCGCGCTGTAACAAGACTGCACCAGAGCCGAATCCGAACTTTCGACGCCCAAAACCGTGAGAAGCAACATACGCCTCGAGGATGTCCTTAGACATCTTGCTCAAGTCACAGCGGGCTCTGGTTGGTGTTGAAGCCTGCACAGCCTGATCTAACGTGTACTTGTGCCTTATATAGGTAGTTGAAGCTTCGGAGAGGCAGAGACGCATCATCGGCACAAAGGTGGCCATCTTACCTACCGTCTTCGCAATGGGCAGTTTGCCCGGTGCTAACTCAAATGTTGAGTACTGATGATTAGCAGAAGCCGAGAACATCAATGTGACGAAGCCACTTTTGTCACGCCTGAAAGGAACACGCTCCAAGGCTCATCTTGGATTGACTCAGGTGGCTGGCTCATCGTAGTCTTGGGACCGATTCTCAGCCTTTCAGCCTTGTTCAAATTCATCGATCATCAACCTTGACTTTAACTCAAATAATCATGCAAACACTTCCCTCTTTCTATGACCTAGAAGCGAAATGACTTTATCTTGCAATTATAGTTAAGACAGTAATTACATAGCTTAACAATGAGAACCGATAAAGCACCCAGTGAGCCCAACAGCAAAACCCAGCAAGCATGTATCACCATCTTCAGGTGAGAAAGCCGACACATTAGACGACCAGAAGTACAAGAAAGTTAGGGTTCCAGGTCAAAACAACGCCGGTCACGCCCGCAACTCAAGACAACTGCACAAGAAACTCCTAAGCAGACCGATCGACGTCTTACCAGATATCGGCAAAGACTATAGAGCCTCAGAATGAAATGGTTGCAGGAACATGTAGGAGTAGGAAGCAGGGATAGCAGCTTAATAGTAATAGAGACTGAAAGGTTTACGGCTACTGGGAACTTGGAGGTAAAAATGCTAGGGTTCTGGAGGAAGATGTTCTGCCTGTATGTAGGATGGGAGAGAAAGGTTGAAAGAATCCTATTATTAAAGAATGATATAATTATCTCTGTGAGAAAAGGGCCCCGCAAAGAAAGAGAGAGGGTTCGAGATGAAGATTTGTGATAATGCGACCATAGGGTTCTGCAACAACGTATCGAAAAGAAGAGTGAGCGAAAAGAAAGGGAATGAAGAGCAACAGAACTTAGATAAAGGGGCGGAGAGGGATATCCGAGGACCACTTGGGATAGTACGGGCGAGAGGGCTTCAATATCTGGAAGGCTAAGACGAAATGCTTCTCATCACTGGCCTCTCAGATAAAGCTAACAAGTGAGGGGCTTCTTTAACACTCTGCCAAGCTTTCTAAAATGACTGGCTCAGCAGCTTAATGGTTTATATGTAACATATACAGTCTAAGTCGTTGTATGGAAGGATCAGGTTGTTAGAAAGCTGCATATGCTCTTAGCGCTACATGTAGGGCTACGAGCAGAGAAGTCGATTCTAGCCAGCAGCCACGAGAGTAGTGCTAACAAACTAGTGGGTATAGCAACTCATCAAAAGAATGGAAAGCTTCTCTATTCAAACGAGAATGCATTTGTCAGGCTCAATCGATGGGGATTAGGGTGTTTGGGAAACTGTCACGCCAAAGTCCAAAACATCTCTCGCTTGATGATGATATGAATATACCAGTTACTTCGGAAATAACATAAAAAGATGACTCATATTCTAGAAAATGGGTTGGATAATAAGCGTTGGCTCTACTGTAAAAATTGTGTGAACTTGGGAAGGTCGAAGAGAAATTAAACTCTCGTGGTTACGAAACATATCATAATCAACAACTCAATGAGCACTTTTTAGCTGGGGCGTGTTTACTCACGTCATTTCAGTGGCAACATTACTCCTCAGAGCACTTTTGGCAGATGAACTATCGTTGTCCTGCTCGGCCTTCCCGTCGTCCCAGCCACTCCCTCAAAACCAAGCCAATCATCTATCTCGATGCCACCTATACGAATCCACGCGTGAGTTACCGCAGCATCATAACATGGAAGTTACCGAATGCCAAAGACACCAAAACAACGCAGTCCCCCTAGAGAAAACTGAGGCTTTTTCTCCTCTTGTTCATTTCATTTGATCGGCAAGTTCAGTATCCCGCAAGATAGATCTAAGCCACTCGGTCAAAAATCGGTTTATACTAGGTTCTCATCATGGCATCTACAGCAGACAACGTCTACGAGTTCTACCGGCCCTCGAGAGCATTGGCGCTTGTCGGTTGTGTAGTCTTTGCAGTTTTTAGTCTTGCTCACTTATGGAACATCCTTAAGGATCGAAGATGGTTCTGTTTCACTCTTGTCTTCGGAGGACTCTGTACGTCCCAGCTCACTCAAATACTACGGATCGTCGTTCTAACACTTATCGCATAGTTGAGATCGCGGGTCTTGGCGCGAGGTTTTACTCGGCCGGCCATCTACGAGACCAGGAATCTTACGGCACGCAAACACTCCTAATTCTCCTGGCACCCATCTTCTTCTCCGCAGCGATTTACATGCTCCTCGGCCGAGTAATCAGAGCCTCCGGCCACCCCGACCTTTCTATAATTCGAACAGCATGGCTTTCAAAATTCTTTGTGGTATCCGATGTCTTGTGCTTCGTCGTTCAGGCTTGCGGTGCAGGAATGCTCGTCAACGCTAATAATACCGCTGATCAGAACAGTGGAGAGAATGTAATTCTTGCTGGACTGGCTCTCCAGGTTGTCGTATTGGTCATCTTCCTTATTTGTACGGGAGTATTTCATGCGCGACTTGCAAAAGGAGGACTCATTGGGGCGATCAACCCCTACCTCTTGTTGGGTACAATGCTCAGTGAGCTATATATCTGTGCAATACTGATTCTATTCCGAAATGTTTTCCGCCTGGTCGAGTTTGGACTTGGGGACGATGGGTATTTACAGGCGCATGAATGGCCGATTTACGTCTTTGATATTATCTTCATGGCTATCGTTATGGCGTTGGGATTGAGTTGGTACCCAGTCGATTTGCAGGTTCACCATGATCCCTATAGACAACGACCAATGACCAGCACGGCTTAGATCAATTTGATAGAGAGGACAGCAACAGAGAAGAAAGAGTTTTGTTATTTTGTTTTTAGCTTGCTAGGAGGATCACGCATGAGATAGTGTTTTAGCGAGTCAATTGAAGCTTGATTAATAGTTGTCGAACATGGGATATACTACTGATGCCTGAGACTGATACACGAACTAATAGATCTCGAGATATTCTAGTGTCCTTCTTGTGAGCAGCTACTGCATGTCCAAGGATATCCCCGTCATCGGGGATAGCACCAAGAAATAGAGTTTGCCCACGACAGCCCCAACCAAGCACGGAGAAATTCTCGCGTTTCGGTGTAATATCCACAGCATAACAACCCCAAACTCTAATAACCGCTCATAATATCCCCTTCCCTCAAACACCACTCTCTCTAATGCTACCGTAAATCCTCACAGATCCATTTCCATCCCGGAAACTCATCGCCAAGAGAAACGATAGTCGGATAAACTTGACAGCGGGTGGCTTTAGCACCGTCGAACTCAGGTGAACAGGTGGGGAGAAGATCAGCGACACCAACTCTTGAGCTAGCCAGGGGTAAACACAGAAAATCAGACGGTTCCCCACGTTCTCCATACGTTGGGATGCCAAGATATGGGGGCACTGACGTCGAAAGCGACGACATTTGGCTGTAACGTTCTCAATGAGGATTTGGAGTTACATTGGAGATAGAGTACCGAAGCCAAGGGCTCGGCGATAACACTTTAGCATCGGAGAAAATAGGTGAAATCGGAAATTGATCGTGTTCTATGCTTATGCTTGGGGTTATATCGCCTTCTAATATTGATACATCTAAATAATCGCTCACTTTGCCTCCCATATGTGACTCTACCAACTTCACCAAAATGACTCCTCTACTCCAAACAAACAACCACCGTGGTATACATTGCATAACTTAGTCATCGTGGTGCTCAATCTCATCAGCGACCAAGCTCAAGATATTCTCCTCCCCTGGCACATTTTGAGGGAAGCGAGCGTTGTAGCCGATGACAGATCGGGCCTTCAAATAAGTTCGCGTAGGAATAGAAACCTTCCTAGTGGAGACGAACCACTTGACATCCTCACTACAGGGCGGTGTAGTAAGCGAGCCCGAGTATCTAAGACAACAAAAACCGTCAGCGGGCATTACTTTTTTCTTGGCATGCTTAGTAGAACTCACGATCGGAAATCGCCCTTGTTGAGGACCGATACAATCTCAGACATTTTGAGAGACTTGATGTGAGTGGTTTGTCCCAGGGTCGCAATCTTATCCACCGAGTTGAGAACGGTCGTAACAACAGTGGATTTCGTAGCAGGGGTGTCTGTCTTGCCCTTGCGCGTCTCCCTGAATTTATACGAATCGGCCGCTCCATCGTCGAGGTCGATGAAGACACCGATGACGGCGAGTTTGTTGTCTGCGCTGGCGTGAACCATGTGCATCTCCATGGCTAGACTTGTGCCGTTGTCGATGTGCTCACTAGGGAGATGGAAGTGGAACTGCTTCAGGTGGTATGTCGTGTTTTCGATGGTGATTTTACCGCCGAGTCCTTCGGTGACTACCTCGACGGTACTTCCCAAGTTCTCGAACTCAGCGCCCTTGGTGAAGTTGGGAATCTCGATGTTTAGGTCTGAAGCGGGGATGATGTTGAATGAACCGTCGGCGAGGTTGATGGGGGATTGGTGGTGACCGGTGGCGCATAGTTCGTTGGCCTTGGGGTCTAAGTTGTACCAGTTTGCTGGGCCCTATTTTATAAAGTCAGTGACCAGTACGGAGATATCTGAAGCCCCCAGTGCATGAGAAAGACTGCAGATGAAGTCCAAGGGGATTGGATGGCATACATTGGCAGCAGAGTATCCAAACTTGGGAGCATGAATAACATCAGCTCTTCGATGAAGATGCGTTCCATACGCACACGACGCCTGGACCTGCGGCGCACAAGCAGCCAGAACAGCTAACAAAGATATCCAAGAAGTCATGTTTTGAAGATTTTATGTACACCAAAAGCTGGGGAAATCGTGGAGACTCAAGAAACAAGGCAAAAAACAAGCTTCTACAGATCTCAAACGCATGAAACTGAGAAACACTCTCCATTTAAGTATTCCTCCATCCTCATCCCTACAATCCCCGACAGCTAATATGAAGCCAGGGTTATGATCCAGGGGTCTACAGGCTGGGGCTTACATCAACTGTAACGGTAGGTAGCTGACTGCCGCCAAAGTCACGCCACAATTACTCTTACCGGCCAAGCCGGGGGCGGTGGATCTAAAACGGGTGTGTTTATTGCCTGGACGGTAGGTAATCAATGTTGCTGAAGAAAATGAAATAAGCGTCGCCGGGTATACCCTGCTCAGTTATGTCCGAGTGTCCCGTTGAAACTTGGGGACGTTTTTAGTACTGCGCATTTGGGTTAGAGGAGACCCTGAACTGAACTTAACATTAGTCTGCATGAATAAATTATGCTTTTGGCCAGAGAAGCGTCAGAACTGCCGTATCCGAACTTGCACTCATCCTCATAGCGTTGCACTCGTAGATCCAGCTATTTATCGGTCTTCACTCCGAGTATCCTCTTAAAGCGTAACTCTGGATAATAAAATGACGTGTGCCAGGTTGTTCTTTACGCCCGCAAAGCCCCGCGGAGTAATCGCATTAAACTGGACACTCTCCATGGAGATGAGCAGCGGGATATCACTGGCTGGAACAAAACCTCCAGGACCTTTCAGAAAAAACCGTTGCCAAGCGCCAGGGGTAAGGGTCAGGGTCTGGGGGGCTCAGACGGGGCAGAGGTTCTGGACTTCTTGGCAGTGCATTGGCTGTAATCTGACACACGGCCTCGACCTGTGGCTTGAGAATGACTCGAGGGCGTGGAGAATGGTAATTTCACTGCTCAAGTCTCTCTCTCACTTGTGGAGTTTTTGGAGGGGATTGTGAATAAGCTTAAGTTTGGAACGATGCTACGTTTCTCCGTACTGAGCGAGTCAGGTGACTTGGCGATAGTGGATTCGCGATAACAGAACCCAATGGAATCATGTTTTGGATGACGACGACGATAAATCCGCTCAACCTCACTTAGATCCCATCGCAAACTCTATCACAACTGCCAAGACTTCAATATCAAGCTCTCTTATAGTCTCCTTCCTATCCTGCACAACCCAGTCTAACCTCAACTTACCGACAATTTGGCTTCCCCATCCCACTTTACCCCTCGTGTAGCATTACCAAGCCAGTCACGATACCACGGCAGTTGATACGACATACGCAAGCTTGTCACCTGTCATTTCCCCTTCGATTTCATCTCGCGATCCTTCGAAACTCAATCTTGACATGGCTCCCTTGTACCAAAAGACCCTCGTGCTCGGTGCTTCGTCCGGTATTGGAGAGGCCCTTGCCGCCAAGCTCATAGCCACAGGGACAAAGGTCATTGTCGTCGGTAGACGGCGCGATAAGCTTGAAGAGTTTGTCAAGAAGTATGGAGAGGAGAATGCAAGGGCTGTTGTGTTTGACGTCAGGGACTTGAATGGAATCAAAAGCTTTGCCGAATCTATCGTTCAGTCGGATCCAGATTTGGACTCTATCGTGTTTAGTTCAGGCATCCAACGAGGATTTGACTTTGCGAATCCCGAAACTCTGGATCTATCTGTTTTTGGCGACGAACTTACCACCAATTACACATCTGCCGTGCATCTCACCGCAGCATTCCTCCCTCATCTCAAGAAGCAACCCCAAGGCCATCTAATCTACATCAGCGCGACGCTTGGCCTAGTTCCCTCCATGATCCGAACACCAAACTACAATGCATCCAAGTCCGCCCTTCACACTTTCATCCTAAACGTTCGAGAGCAACTCAAAGCGAGTGGAGTGTCTAATATCCGCATGATTGAAGTTTTTCCACCAGCTGTTCAGACGGAGTTGCACGATGAGAAGCATCAGCCTGATTTAGTGAATGGTGGAGAGATTGGGATGCCGCTTGGTGAATTTACGGAGAAAATGTTTGATGGGCTTGTTAGGGGCGATGAGCAGTTTGCTGTTGGGCCGGGGGAGAGCTTGTTTAAGGAGGATGGATTTGAGACGCAGAGGATGAAGCTTTATGAGGCGGGACGGGAGTTTATTAATAAGTCCCTGGCTAAATACCTCAAGAAATAGGCATATAGGATTATTTCAGAACTGAAGAACCTAGTATGGCTTCTCTAGAGCTATGGCGCGTAAGAGACTACGTGGAATTCCTATACCCTAAGAATGTTAAGTAGCAAGCCCAATTTTGCTGCAAGGTTGCTTGCATAATTATGTAATCATAAACCTAATTCCTTCACGCTCTGATCTCTGCTTGGCTATGCTACCATTGTGAGCCTGCGAAATCTCTTGATTGACGTCTGGAACATCAGCCAAATTGGACTAACCAGTATTTTCCTTCAAATTGGACTCACTCATAGCTCATGCGCACTCCCCTCCATCTAGCCACATCTTTTGTGGTATATAATATTTAAACGAATATTTCGGATGAAGCCGGGCATCTATGAAACAAACCTGCATAATCTGCAAATCGCGCATCCTCAGCTGGCCCATTCTCGTATGACTTTCAAGCCACAGCAGCATAGCCTCACATCCCTGTCCTGGCTTACCTCTAAACTGTCTGACTGTCATGCTGATGCTCTGAAAAGGTTATGTAAGAAGCTAAAGAAGGAAGGTAAGCATGAGGATGGTGTGGCGAGGATTACTTCAGCTATAAGCATCATGCTGTATTTGGAAATGCACAGCGCCAGGTGTCAGAGCTGAAATCACATGTGAGAAGCCATAATCAATAGTCTCATTCTTGAAGAATTGTGCAGTTTATGTAGACCAGTGTTGATACTCTGTCTGGGTCCAAATTAAATGAATTATTGTCATAGTCTTCATCAACTATCTTAGGTATGACACTTGTTGTCATGGCCTGTAGTACAGATCATGGAAGCCTCTGTAGATGCAACACTTTACATCACCACAGCGACGTGATCATCCATATACTTCCCAATATCTCCCAAGAAAAGAGAAGCAAGGACAGAAACCGCGCCAAAAGCAATGCTCACATAATACACCCACTTGTATGCCTCGGCATAAGCAATCTGGCCAGCCTGGATTACAATGTTATAGAGCGCTTCGTTTCCCTTAATACCTGGCACCTCGGCAATCTCATCCAGCAGAGAAATACTAGTTAGCCCGATGACCTCCCCGATGACTTCGGTTGAGGTGATGTTGCCATACTTCACCATCGCGCCACCAATGTAGTGAATAGCAGCAGGTGTGAACTTGGACACAAGGACATTGTAGTAAATGGTGTAGCCGATGCTACCGCCAATGACACGGATGCTCAGAGTAAGCGCTGCGATAGTCGCGATGAGATCGTCGGGGCAGATGATTGTCGTGATGATGCTTGCTGGGACGACGATTCCTCCGATACCCAGGCCAGCTAGAACGAGAATTCCCCATAGAGTGGACATGTTGTCGGGCCTTGCAACAGACATGGCACCACATCCAGCAGTCATCAGGATACTCGAGACAACCATGAGCGATCTGTTTGCACCTCTAAACACAGATAGAAGCCAGAGGACGATACATGCACCAGCCATGATGCTGAAGCCAACAGGAATACCTCGGATTCCGACTTGCACAGGATCGTGGCCATACACGTTGAAAGCCTGCGTGGGCCAAAACATGAGGATGGAAAAGAAGTTGGCACCAGAGATGAAGGTGATGATGAGTGTCAGGGTAAGGATCCGAGGTGCTTGGGCAATGCGACGAGGGAACATGGGATACGGTGCAAAGAAGCCCTCCCAAATGACAAAGAGGACTACCAGAACCGCTCCAAGAATCAGAGGAACAAGGACATGGGCCGACTTCCAGGTATACATATATCCACCCCACTGCAATCCAGCCATGAACAAGATCATACCAGAAATGCTGAGAAAGCCGCCCACGAAATCAATGCGCTTCAGGATGTCTCCTCGTGTCAGACCCTCTGAGTTGGCGCGAGGCGGTGGGAAGTAAAACAGAGCTGTCAAGACAAGACCGACAAAGGCCCAGAGAGCGCAGAACAAGCCGATGTATCGCCATGTTGAGTGTGCGGCGATGAGCTGGGCCCAGAGAACAGAGGGACAGAAGGGCACGATGGTGAAGATCAGGATGGAGACGTACTTGCCACGCTGGGCTGTTGGTGCCATCTCAGATGTTGCTGCTAGAGCGGTGAGTTCGTTGATCCCAGCTCCAACTCCTGCCAAGACCATTCCGCCTGAATTGATCGTTAGCTTCGATCTGTAAAGGAAGGGATGGAGAGCGTACCGATAAAGACATTCATATTGTGAGCAGTAGAACAGACGATCATTCCAAGGACGATAAACGACGCGCCGGATAGTGCAACATATCGACGACCAAACATATCCGACAGAGATCCCACAAACGGACAGACCGCTGCTAGCGAGAGTAGGTTGGCTATAACGAACCAGGTCCAACGATCGTGTCCTCCGATATCAGCATAGATGTACGGCGGGACACCTCCGAATAGATAGACGGGGATCTGGGAGCCTGTCCAGAGAAAGGCTTGCGAAACGAGGGCCATGAATCGTCTTTTTGTCATCTGAGATGTGAGTGTTAGCATGCTTGAATTCCTGGACTCATGGCGTGTATACCTTTGTATTTTGACCCTCTCCCGACTCATCCGCATGAGCTTGGAAGGCTTTCTTCTCTTGGAAAGTAGCAACAGCATGCTCAGTCTGTACATGAGTAGGCTTCTCGCTCTCAGAGTTCTGCCCACTGCCTTCGTGGGCGTCCAATTGCGTCGGACCCATGGCGATGTCTTCAATGGGAGGCTACAATAGAATATCTGGTAGCGAGGAAAGTTGAGTTGTTTACTGATGAAGGCGATTGGAGTTATTTAATTTGAATATCATTATGTTACACTGATCGACTGTTTATCCTCCTTATAAGGACCACTCCTCCGATCAAGGTGCCGAGGCATCCTGTCGTAAAACGAGGGGTCAGGATACGCTATTGAGAGTCTAGACTTGATTTGAACGACAGGAATTGATAAGGAGCCACGGAGAGAGATGGAATGGGAGGTTCTGTGATAGCAAATGATCCTTACAAGTCATTTGCGATCGGGTCTTCGGCACCTTTAACACGAATCTAGTCTAGCATCGGGAGATGGAACCCGCACTTGCAGGAAAGCCACGTCGTTCGATCTGCCAATCGCAACTTGTTACTTTTTTAAAAATGGTGCTTAATGTTGAAAAGCCACGAGCAAGTACACTTGACGCCAATGTCTGGTGCTTTAGCAAGGTAGAACGAGTCTCAGAACTGAATATCTCGGTTCATTCACCTCTTCTTCTTGATATGCATAGCCTTTCAGATATAACTAGAGCAGCAGGAGTCTCCATATTCCAGCAGGAGTAGCGGGTTGTGACCACGGAGTATATCCCCGTTTCTGTCTTGGCGCGTTAATGCGACCTCGGCCCCGCGGACCTAGCATGCTAACCCACGGGGTCGAGCGCGGGGAACCCTGCTTAGCTCGAGGATAGTCAAGACTTGCCACGTTCCTAAGCAGGGTTCCCCGTAGTCGACGTCGCGCGGGGCCTAAAGCCTGTAGAGATTGACTTGCTATTGATGGGTTGCCAAGGTGTCTAGATCTATTCCATCGAGGGATTGTCATGCGCACAGACTCATCTGTTAGGAATAGTATGATTTGCAGCATTTTGACAGGTCTTGGATTGAGTCCTTGGCCGTTGCGAGACGTGTCTGTGCTAAATCAGATCATCGCCTTGGGCTTGATAGGGTCACATGAATTTCCCTATGGGTTGATTCCTACTTGCAACTTCCATACCTATGGAGACTATTATGATGTAGGCGTAGGCACTATATGTATTATTCTGCGTTATCTCATGAATGACATAGGAGCTGGAAACTTGGAGACAACCCTTCATTATACACATATGTACATCAGCTGTCGTACTCGTTATCGTTTAGACTATACTTCAGCACTGTCTAGATCTGAAGCACATGCCAGGGCTCTTCGGAGGTTGGAGCTTCTCTCGGAAGATGTCCGTGGGCTTTATTGCAGTCTGTAACCAGCAAGTCTCACCGATAAGGTGTGCCCCCAAATAAAGAAAGCCACTAGTTGTACACGGAAACAATATTCTCAACCGAACATGCCGCCAGTGGACTTCCAACCCTACTCCTGACAACCCGCCACTCCGGTCTCCCGCGCTCCTGGCTGATCACTCGATATTTCTTCTTACCCAAAAAAGCTCTGCACGTCAAGGTGTTATTAGCCACATACCCATTCGATTGGGTGAGAGGTACCCAGTAACAATATATTTCCGAGACCTAATCCTATTTGAACTAAATAACCATTTCTCAAACTCTCGGAAGTTTTGTTGCAGAGAGACTGGGCTTTCATGCCCAGGAAACTATCCTCACCGCTGATGATCGAAGCTCGTGGGCCAGGCTAAGTCTACTTTCAGTCAATTTCCTTCTGCTGCAGGGACGGTCACAACACAAGACCCTGGCCAAAGGCTAATGATATAGACACTTGAACACGACGTCTCAGATTCAATTGGTTGTTAATTTGGGTATGGCGTAGTGATCAGAAGCTGAGAGATGGACACAAGTGAAAGTGACCCCGCCAAGGGACGAACTGCGTTATCGATTATTTTGAGGGTGATTGTGTCATATATATTTGTTCCCAAACATTGGCCAAGCTACACATTCTGAACTTACAGGGCACATACAAATTAGCTAAAAACGCCACTAGGCGTTAAACTGCTTAATTTAAATCAGCAAAGTCGACCGTGAACATCCTGGCGGTAAGTCGGTTGATTTGATTCGTCTGTCCCGCCAACCCCGAAACTATTATTATGAACCATATTTCTTTATTTAGCACTGATGGATTCTTATTTGCCTCAGGGCTTTCAGCTGGCTACCAAAACCTGGTAGAGATTAATGGCCCTGAAAATGGCTGGTGGGTTGCAGATGCAGTATAATATCGTACTTAAGTAAAACTACCAGATCATTATTTAGTAGCCTAACCAGAACTCCGAGGACTAATCGTCAGTTAGCATCAAATGAATGCCAAGCTTTACGAAGTGATATTTCAGTGCCAGCCTCAGCTGAGACAGTTTATCCACTTGAGATTGTGCCAAGACAGAGTTGGGCGCTTAAGGCCACGGTGAGGCGTCTTGCTGGACAAGGGCATGCCATATCAAACGATATTTATTCTAGGTGTCATCGCCTCATTGAACCCTGATGTATGACAAACGACTAGAGGATAGTTTAGTCTAACAATCAAATATGCCTCTTGAGCTTCGCCTTCAGTCAGACAGAGCTATTGTTAGCTCAGACGAGAACGATTGGATCCAGCATCTTCACAACGAGTTCACCGACTCAGATCTCGACTCAATCAATGTCGACTCAATTGAAGAGATATTTGAAAAACTCGGAAAATTCAATATCCTTGGCCTACTAAATCTGGCTATACGCCTACGCGATCTCTCTACTTCGCTCAAGGGACGCATCTCGTCTGCTCTCACGAATCTCGGCTTCCGCGCGCCACGTGTCCCTATGGATCAAGAGGGGAGATGTATTAGGTGTGGTAACATGCATAGGATTATGTCATACTTACATGAGATGGAAATATCATCTAAAGCAGGGTGTCCATCATGTCACATTCTGGCCACCGGAATACAACTGTATTTGAAGAATAAGAAAACATTTCATAGCGGAAGATTATTGGTCATGAAAGATTGGAACACAGGCTGCGCAGGGAGACAGTTTATACAAACAAATGTTAGGTCTGCGGCTATGCCAGGGGCGCTGGGAGTGAGGGTCTTTTTAGATAGCGGAGGAGATATGAAGCATTTGTTTACAGACGCGAGAAAGGTGCCTATGAAGTTTGTGGGCGAGTTGAACTTCTTTGGCCTTGATGGTGGGTAATTTTGGTTGAGATGCAACGCAAATCATAAAAGTTACTGATGTGCATAGGGTCCCCTACATCGTGGGATTCAGTTGGCCTGGCGGCTGAGATCTCTGGCGACACATCGTCAGACGCTGCATTTGGATGGTTTCGAAATCAACTTGAGAGTTGTGTTCAAAATCATCGGCTGTGCAACGAATTCAATATCGCGAAGCTCCCTCATCGAGTCCTGGACCTTGGCCCTCCTGGTACCGCAGGGCTTGACACCGATATTAAGCTCGTGTCTACCCTGGGTCTGCAGGATCGCTACGTATGTCTGAGCTATTGCTGGGGCGGTACTATTGACATTCGATTGCTTCGAAATAGATACCACGGATATCTCCGTAGAATACTGTGGGATATACTTCCCCAAGGGTATCAAGACGCCATTCAGCTTACACGCAAATTGGGTATACGCTACATCTGGATCGACTCACTATGTATTGTCCAGGATGATGAGGATGACTGGCGACAACAAGCTTCGCTCATGGCACAGATATTTCGAAATGCCTACGTCGCCATCGCAGCTACAAAGTCGCGGAACCCCAATGATGGCTACTTTTCTGTCAGCCCATCTAAGTTCATCGCCACCAGGATTGAGTCCCAGGCACAAAACGGAGAGGCCCGACACGCATTTGTTCGACAAACGATCCCACACTTCTTCTCATCAACGGTTTCACCAAATCGTGACTTTACGAAAGGAAATTTCCCTCTCTTGTCTCGAGGATGGGTTTTTCAGGAAAGGCTGCTATCTCCTAGAGTACTACATCTAGGAGACGTGGAGATGGCTTGGGAGTGTAACGAGAGCTGCGCTTGTGAATGCATCGGAGAAACAAGGACCTATGAGTCAGAGCCGAGGTGGACGCACACGAAAGGAGGGTACACAAGGAGAATGGCGGAAGCGAAGAGCGAAAAGGATGTCCAACCAGAATGGAGAAGTATCGTGGAACACTACACCAAGACTAGCTTGACTTATCGGAGAGATGTCCTTGCAGCGATATCAGGTGTAGTAAGAGACATGAAACGCCACCGAAGCGATAGATACCTTGCGGGTGTGTGGGAAGACAGCGTGTTGGAGGACCTAGCATGGATGTCGTGTGACAGGACGAAGGCAAGGCCCAGCGGGTGGAACGCTCCATCGTGGTCGTGGGCATCCGTTGCGGCGCCGGTGAAGTTTCTGAATAGGCGGACATTCCTGAATGGTAGATATATCCAGGATATGGAATTCTTGGGGCATAGGACACGGTTCTTCGAAGCTGGGATCACCGCTGTGGGACAGGATGAAACTGCGCAACTGAGTGCTGCGCATATGGTACTTGTTGGGCCCATGATTTCTGCCAAGCTCGATGAGGACCCGGATATTTTGAGCCAAAGGCAGCTCTACCTGGCAACCAACAAGGACAGAAGCCTGGTATTCGCACCAGACTACGACCTAGGGAGAGAAGGTCCAAGTTGCGTGCCCATGGGAACTACGATATATATCCTGCACTTGTGCCAGGAGCCAAAGTTCAGCGATGAAAAACGAAGGGACACAACTAGAAAAGTCTTCTCGCTGGTCCTTAGAAGGCTACATGGACTTAACGGTAGCAACGGTCAAATGGTTCGTTCGAGCGAAGACCCTACAGACGGCACGTACGAGAGAATAGGGATCATGTTTCAAGGCCCGGATCAGGCGTACTCAGAGGGATATGTTGCGGCACATGGAGTGGATTGCGTGGTGAAACTCATGTGAAACTTTCTTTTTACTTGTTTATTCTATTGAGGTCCTACATAACAATTTAGTTCAGTTCCATATTTGTCCAAATTTGTTGCTTGTTTCATGACAACACGTTTGTTGATGACAGCGGTGCGTAACATTCGAGAGGTGTGGATGAGAACCTTGGTTGATCGGTAAGGAATGATTTGTTTCTCTTGACGGATCGCTAACACCCTCTAGCAGTATTCTTAACTGGATATGTCGCTAGTGTTCTAATTCTGCTCTTCACATCTCGCTACCGTGGCCCTCCGCTCTCCTGACTGATGACACGATGAGAATTGTATCTCATACTTGGCGTGCACCCAATACTGGCTTTACCCAAGAAAGCACACGTAATAATCGGATCTAGCTATATACACTCGTCATGGATGCTTGCTGCCATCATTGCATTATCTTAGATTACAATCGCAACTACCTTCTTCACTATCAAAGTATCCCTTATCGAGATCCTCTTCAGAAAGAGGTGAGTCAATCGTTGGTTGTGCTCCAGCTATCCATGGTAACAGAAGTAATTAGTACAATAGTTAATAGTTGAATGAATTATTCATTGCAACTTACCGAATTCAACGCTGTGCTGTGGACCGTCGTAGTAGTTCTTGTCCCAATAGTCGCCGCGCTGTTTGTCGTATGGACTTCTCTGCCTCTTATCAAGGAATGATCCAGGACCAATCTCAGGGGGTTCTGTCCATGGGATTCCAGCATAGGGATGCCGATCAAACTCCCTGTCGGGGTTGAAGAAGCCGGTGTTGATGAGGTTTGGTTCGACACCTGCCTTGGTCATATTCTCGTCCATTGTGACCAGTGGCACAAGGTTGGCATCTAACCTGGCATAGATATTCTTACCATCAGGTATGTTCCACGCACCTTCATACCCAACCATCATAGCCATAACTCCAGCAACCAGTGGAGATGCCAGACTAGTCCCATCTCCTGTTATCGGCCTTCCTGTTATATGATCTGCAGTGGGCACACGAACTCCCGGTGCGAAAACGTTGAGTTTGCGATGATAGTGGGATTGTTCCCATCGCCGATAGCGCGCGTCAACGGCGCCCACGCTGTAGGTAGACTTGAATCTGGCCGGGGCGTGGAGCCAATTCTCTCCAGTGTTGCCTGCTGCTGCTGCTATTGGAATACCGGCTGCCCTTGCTGCGTCCCAGGCGTACTGGAAGTCGGGATCTGTTGCGTGCTTCGGAAATCCCATCGAGACATTGATCACGGAGCCTCTCCAGCCGTCGGGCTAGATATAGAGTAAAGGTGTTAGCGTTCCTCTATCCTATTATTATAGTATTAGGACATATCGATACATACCGGGCTCCCCCAATATTTCTTGTGCTCTAAGATAACATCGCTAACGGCTAGGATAATGTTAGAATGCGAACTAATGCCTGATTTATGAACGTTGGGAATACCTCGAAGGATTTGGGAAAGCCGTCCTCCACCGTTCGGCTTACACTTCACTTTCACAGATACGAGGTTGGCCCTCCATGCGGGGCTCAACATCCCATTGTTGTATCCAGCGGCTACGACTGCTACTTTGGTACCATGCCCTTCTGTATCTCTCTGAAATCTAATATTAATTTTTACCCAGACGTGGAGGCTGTTCTGTACTCACCATTGTCTCGTTGTCGCAGTAAGGAGCTTTGTCTTCCTCTTTTAAGCTGTTAAGATTCCACATTTTGCCCTCTTGACTGCCAAAAGCAGACAGTCCAAGCCGAATGCCAGAGTCGAAAATGTAGATGTTGACACCTTTTCCAGCATCCTCTAACCACGGGATTCTAAAGTCAGCATGTGGGTATACTGTATCCCCTTTCAGCCTTATCTTGTTCCACAATCCAATCATTGCTAGGTGCCATTGAGCGTTGAAAAACATCTCGTCCCACCTCTTACTTACTGCAGGGGTATCGACAGGTTGCTTGGAACTTGAACCACCGTGGTCAGAGCCATCGGGATTGTGATGAATGGGATCTATTTCGGTCTCCCCATAGTAATCGTGCCCTACTCGTTTGATACCGGGATCTCGTCGGATGAGTTCATGTATCAGAGTTGAGTTCTGTGCCTCAAGCTGGAAGTAATAGAGATTCAACGGAGCCAGGTAGTTGAATTCTGATGCCACATCGCTGATGTTGACACCAATGTTGACATAATGATCCTCGATGGTGTGATTGTCATGGAGGCGGACTATGTAGCTGTGGGGAATTATACTGGTCTTGTTGCTTGGGATGCGATATTTGGCTTGCTGCTCGGACCTAGGTGCTAGAAAGCCGTGAGAGCCCTGGGCTAGGAGGCCTAGTAGTGTATATCGGAGAAACTCCTTCATCATCGGAATAGAAGCTGTATCAAGGCCAAATGCTCTGCCTGAGAGTAGCTGCTACGCCACTCTGGAGGGAATATTGGCCGCAAGAAGTTGGGGTAAAGAGTATTGCGAGGTAGGGACACTTATGATGCAAGTAAGTCGAAACGATCAAGGAGAGCAGTTAGGACCAATGCAGTAGTTCCGTTTGTACTGTACTCCCTACATAATGAAAGCTCTTCCGTTCGTTCTAATAGGGGTAAGCTCCATCCTTTGACAGGGTTGTCGACAGTATCGGACAAGCTCAGCCTTACAGACTAGAAGCTGGCAAAAGAGGAAAGTCCCGGAGAGCGTAAGCTGACATCTGCCCTTCAGTAGCGCATAAGGCGCATGCATGGATCTGTACGAGGTCAAATCGACCAATATCCACTGTATGCTCAGAGCTAGCCACTTGAAAGCAGGAACATGGTATTCCAATGATGTCAGCTGGATGATTACCCGAGTCAGTCTCGCAAGAAAAGCTCGGTCTTTATTACATGACCTGTTTCAGCTATTTTTATCAGCATGTCGCCCTATTTTCTGCGTCTGCACTGCTGTACATCTACGGTGGGACTCAAGGCTGTATGTTCTGTAGTTGCAAATAGTGATTGCACTTGTCCTGTGGCAAGAAAACATGAAAAGAGATGCTTCGCGCAAAGGCTGTAAGAATACATTCTGAGCATGTGTCATAAGACATTTTAGCAAAATACGTGTGGACTCAGAAAAATAAAAGGATTCAAATTGTCAGAGTAAGATCGCTCCTTGCTTACTGTAACTGCTCCTAATGGCGAGGATTCACAGCCACCATCTTAATGAGGATCAGCACTCAGCATTGCATAGATGGATCGCAGGATCAAGCATATACTGTCAGAAGATTTATATTGGGTTGGATAAGAGTAAGCTTCTCTTTGATTGGCTTACCGGCTTTTGTTGCGAATCCCGAGCTTGCCAGGATAACAATTCGGAAGTCTTGGCATTCTCCGATTAGTAGACATTAGCTCACTACGGAAATATCCTGGGAGATCATCGTGGGTCATAGGGTGCTTGACGGTTATAGATAGATCAGCAGAATGTCAGCTTACAGTGTCCACTCTAACGAGGGCTATGCGAGCCAAGGCGAGGTACACTACCCAGGGACAATATGCTAACACACAGACAAACCTGTTTATTCAAGTTCAAAAGTATGAGTTAGTGTATTGCCTCTAATGATTAGAATTCTACACGTTCTACTTTACTTTGTCCTTTGTTTCGCAGACCTAGTAGTCGATCCTTTTATTTTGAGTATTTTACGAGTCCCACTATGCAAATCAAGTATCGAGACCTATGCTGGCCCTTGGCTGCAATCTCCTTACTACTTATGAGCCATACAAAAGCTTATGAGAGCTCGGACGGTATCGAGCCTCATGGACATGGCAATGCACCCGATGTTGTTTCTTGGGGCCCATCCTGGAACGAGTCTTATCCGGCTTCCGAGGGTGATGAACCTAATTTGGGTGCCGATAGGGGTTTATCTAGCAGAGCTGACGACTTCTACTTGAGAGTCATGCCTTTGGGCGCATCAATTACTCAGGGTTATCTATCAACTGATAACAATGGCTACCGGAAGTGGCTCCGCTCTCAGCTTCGGTACAAGGGCTGGAAAGTCAACATGGTCGGATCTAAGCAAAACGGCGATATGACAGACAGGGTAAGTAACTCATGGACTTTTAAATCCTGAAACCTAACCGTCCGCATAGGATAACGAAGGCTGGCCTGGCTATGTCATTGATCAGGTTCACAACGAGTTCAGGAAATCTATGTGGATGAAGCCGAACCTCGTGCTCATAAACGCCGGAACGTAAGTCGCCATCATACAGCTTTTGTAACCTATAGACATCTGACACTGGCCTAGGAACGATTGTAACCAGAAGATCGACATTAACGGCGCCGGAGGGCGCATGAAGGCTTTGGTCGACGACATTTACTCTAATATTCCTGGTGTGACGATTGTTCTATCAACAATTGTCAGAAGCACCAATGTCACGAATGATGCGTGCGCATCAAAAGTAAGCAAGCAGATCCGTCAACTAGTGAAAACCTACCGCAGCCAGCGCATTGGTCTTGCAGATATTAATCCCGTCCTGCCTACAAGTATGCTGCAGAAGGATGGAATCCACCCTACTGATGCTGGTTATAAGCTATTTGCCTCGGTTTGGTGGGACGCTATCAGAAAGATCCAGGCAGATATACAACCGCCAGCAAAGGTCAGTGGCATCGACGATGCAGTAAGTGAAAAGTCATCTGAGTGCAAGAAAACGGCCGGCAATTCTCGAGCACCAACACAATCACAACGGGGCAGTGGCCATGACGATGGCATCTACCGACACTACAGCCATGCACAGGGCGTACTCAAGTCGCTGCGACTTGAGAACGGTGGTGACTCTGCGTCCCTGATCAAAGATTACCCTTGGCACGTCTTCTTTGCCAACATTGTCCTCAACTCTGCCAATTCGCCTCGAAGTCATGCTCTAGATGACATGATTCGCATTCACCACGAGGAAGACGGCACCAATACATACTGGTACCGACAGAACCAGGGAGGCGGCAAGTTTGCTGCTTCCAAAAGGTTCGATGTCGACATGGATTGCAATGACGGACCTCGCTATGCATTCGCCGACTTCAACAACGACGGTTTAGATGACTTCTTTTGTCTCAAATCCGGCTCGGCTGTCTGGGTGTCAATCAATCAGGGAGGCAACCCGCCCAAGTTCAAGAGCATCGGCCAGGTTGTTGGCAAACACGACGGCTATGAACCAACCGATGTCCGTATCACAGATATAGACGGCGACGGGAGAGCAGACTACTGTCTCGTCGAGGATAATGGAGCTGTCATCTGTTCCAGAAATGGTGGCACTGGGGATAAGTATGCCTGGCAAGGGTTCAAGACAGCCAAAGGATTGCGAGACACTGTCTTTGACAAGAATCCCAAGTCGGCATCCAGCAAGTCCGGTGTTGTATTTGCGGATCTCAATGGAGACTTCCGCGATGAGTATATGTGGGTTAGCGACACAGGCAGTGTCCACACCTGGAACAACATGCGAGGTTGGGGCAAGGGCATCGTGCCTGAATGGAGGGATGCTGGTCTGACTCATAAAGGCCAGGCTGCCAAGGGCATACAGAATCGCATCAAGTTTGGTCGCATATATGGCTCTGGCCGCCGCGACTACATTTACCTGAGATCGGACAAAACAGGAATCGACATGGTTGTGTGGGAAAACAAGGGATTTGGTGGCACTAAAAGGAAAGCCGATGGTAACTTCTACTGTGATATGCGCGGCACCGGCTCTGACGACTACGTTTGGATCTATTTCGACGGCCATGCAGCTGAACTCAATGCTAATATCCACAATCCTCCGTTGTGGGGAAACGACCTCAAGATCGAACTCAAGGTACCAGGACCTCGTGTTGGTATACACCTAGCCGATTGGACAGGCGATGGCAAGTGTGATGTTCTGGTACAGAACGAGGCAACCGGTGCCTTGACGCTCTACGAGAATACGTACAAAACGGGTTCCAAGAGCGTTACCTTTACCAACAAAGGTGTTGTCACGCCTGCGACTTGCTCGCAGGGTTGGGGTGTAAGCCCCTTCGACCGCGGCATGAAACTTGCTGATATTGACGGAGATGGGCGGGCCGACGTCATATGCCTCGAGCCCAATGGACGTATCACGGGCTGGCTCAACCTCAAGAGTGGTATGGAGAATGTTGGCCAGGTTAAGTTTCCAGAGGGGCGGGAGCGAGCCGATATACGTTTCGCAGATGTTGAGAACTCGGGCCGAGCCGACATTATCTACCTCGACAAGTACACCGGAGCTGCCACTGTTTTCAAGAATTTGGGAAGAAAGAGTGGTACTGGTAGTTCTTTCAACTGGTCTAACCGTGGAGTTTTATATGCTCCCATCGACCGTGGCGAGACTATGCATTTCACCAATCAAGGTGGTCTTGGCCGGGCTGATCTTGTTCATGTTCTTCCGTTTACGAACAAGGTAAGCTTGCAATACGACAATGGTGAGTCCTGGGCCTCTGGCTTATTATCATTCCTTACAGGCATATACGTATTTCAACGAATGTGGTGCTAGCGGTGGAGATGATGGACCAATAAGTAAGGCAGCCCCATCCATTCGATCACAACAATTACTAACCTCACGTTACCGCACACAGCTGACCCTGGATTGCCTAAATATAGCACTGGTGGCCAAGATGGCGGCACCGACGATGGTTCTGAAGACGGTGATGGAAGTGGTGACGACTGTTCCAAACCAAGTTTCGACGGCGACTCCAAAGTCATTCTTAGTGAGAACTTCCCGGACCCATCCTTTGTTTTCGATTTTGAGTCTTGCACTTGGTACTCTTTCGGCAGCCAAGACAAGGGCAAACTAGTTCAGATAGCACAATACAACAAATCCAAGGATACGTGGGAACTACTGAACGACGATCCGCTGAAAGACGCTGGCGCTTGGGGCCAAAACCTCGACATCGTGGCTCCCGATGTACAATGGAATGGCAAGCAATGGGTCATGTACTACAGTGCTTTTACCCAGGACGACCACGATGGGAAGCGGTGTATTGGCGTGGCTTTTTCTGACTCAATCCGTGGGCCTTATACACCACGAGATGAACCCCTTGTATGCCAGCTTGACAAGGGCGGAGTCATCGACCCAAGTTCATTCTATGATCCCGGAAGCGATACGAGATGGGTCGTGTATAAAATCGATGGGAACAGGATCTGTGGCAAGACGTCTATCATGCTGCAACAGGTATGTCGCGTCGCTGCTAATTCGATCATCACTGACGTCTTTCAGGTTGAGAATGATGGTTTCACACTGAAAAACGACCCAGTTGAAATCCTCAGTGAGACAGACGACGAAAAGCTGCTTGAGACACCGAGTCTCGTCTACGAGGACGGTTCGTACCTTCTATTCTACAGTTCTGGGTGTTACACTTCGGATAAATACAGCATCAAGTACGCAACGTCGGGTAGTATCTCCGGTCCATATGATAGGGGAAACGACAAAGTATTGGGCTCGATCGCTGGGAGCATTCAAAGTCCAGGAAGTGCATCCAGTAATGGGAATGGACATCTGCTATTTGCGTAAGTTACTCTATATGGTATGAAGAGTATCGATACTGACACGTCGACCAGTGCTTGGTGTGATAAGGATCTCACTACAAGATGCTTATATTCCCTTAGTTATAAATTCGAAGATGGGCAGGTTACTTTAAGTTAGCAAGTAGAAGTTCGAGTTAAAAATACATTAGAGTAGCTGTTGAACAAAAAGTGTATGTTCACCTCAAGAGTCTATCTTCAACCATTCCATAGCTTACAACCCGGGGGCTAAACCTTTCCTTAACTGATTTCTTGTTATCAAGGTATCTCTACTTTTCGTAGCAATGGTAATGCTACTACTTTCTTTCTCACATAGCAGTTGCCAGTTGTTCAAGACCGAGATAAATGTATTCTTCGGAATCGTCGATAAGTGAGTTATCTACCTTTGTTGTGTAGTTGATGAGAACATCTTCACTATCCCCTTTTAGTAATCTTGAGTTCTAGCGCGTGAGTAAAGAACCAGGATGCACTGTGGCCTAGATTTATTCTTGTGTGTCGAATTTGACCATCAGTGATCTTTTGGATACAAAGAGCAGCAGAATATGTTTCTGTAGCTGCAGTTAGGCAGTCGAGCCTTGATAATAGTTAGGATCGATTATAAGGCGCTTTGGTGCCCATGTCAACTCAATGGACTCGAGGTTGTATGTACGACATGTTCCCAGAACTGAAGAGATGGCGTCAGACCTCATAAGCTAATAAAAGCTCGTCCAGTCCTTTCAAGTAATCAATGAACTCGCTGATATTGGCAACTTTACTCGCCGTGGTGTGCGGTGTATTCATATAGAAGTCCAATCGTTTGGAATTCCATGATATTAGATAGGAAGGTTATCCAGTACGCACAACAGAAGCCTCCTGGCACTGGAGTCCATAGAAGAGGGTATGACTTGTATACCAGTGTTCTCATCTCTCAAAGGGACCCTGGTAAGCTTTAACCTTCGCAACTTCGGAAGGCAGATCTGCTCAGCTGCAGCTGCTTCTGAGGTAGTCGTCTCGAGACCGAACATCTTCCGAGCAAGCACAGCACTCGCTGGTATGTTATCCCATACCTCGGGGTTATTCTCGTAATGAATGACCGTGGACTCATGACTCTCACGATCTGGAGACCAGCCATGCAGCTCCAATTCCAGTTCCTCAAGATGGCTTGCATTGGCCTTGACAAGGCTAGTAATGTTGTCGAAATGACAAGCCATCGGTGCTTTCCAGCTGAGTCGTCGAAGGCTACGAAACGCCGAGAGGTCTATGTCAGATGTTCGACTCCAGCGGTTGAATCGACTGCAGAAGGGATCTGTGACGAGGCAGAGGCTCTGGATGGAGGAATGCTTGAGACTCAGAATCTCGAGAACCTCAGAGGGTATGCACGATACATAGTTCCAACTAGGATCTGTTAGAGAATGCACTCTGAGAGGTATGCCTCATACCTGAACGATTCGAGTTGCCCGTCATTGAAACGATTGAGAAAAATTACAGCCCTTTGCGCAAGACACTCAAATTTTACCCTCACGAGCTTTCCACCTCCTAGCCCAAAGCTATCGCCCCTAGCCTCCCAGGTATACTGATGAAGAGGGGCCTTCTCGGTCCAGTTGCCCATGTAACCAAGCCAGTCACTTGCATGGAGACATCGCTTTGGGTCTGCGTCGACACCAGGATCGAAGCGGAGCTCTCTCGTATACTGAAGGCAATATTTCGGTGGTCCATAAGGGTTTATACAATGTCGCTCGCTCTCGGGATACGGTTTAATAGTCAGGGAGCGCCAGAGTTGGCGAAATGTTATCTTGTGTAGCCATTTTGCCGTCAGCGACAGCCGTTGGAGGTCGATACCGTTGAGCTACCACTGTCAGCTCGTATTGACATGTATCAGTGAACTATATACCTTTTCGCAAATGTTTTCGAGGATTTCTGGTGGGAGAGATGCTAGCATTTTGGCAGGCGTGTCTACAAAATGATGGTAGGTTTGAGAACCGTCATCGTCAAAAGGAGAGGGATAAATGACCTAATATCTCACGAGACTGACCACCAACCTCACCCTCGGGCATCCTCACCATATTAAAAGATGACGTGCGTCAGCACATTCTCATCTCAGCACTTGAAACCATTCAGAATCAATCATTTTGACTGGACATGGTCCTCAGAGACTATCGCAAAGTAAGCTTTTATTTGCCTAAATCGAGATATCTGCCAAGTGGCACCAGAAGCACGATTGAAATGGTTTGCAAAAGTGACATAAGATGAGAATTACAAACAAGCACAGAGAAAACCGTAATAATGCTGGGTCAAGAAGTGAAATGTGCAAAAAAAGATTTGCGCTCCCCGAAACCTGGATCGAACAAGTGACCTTTCGGTGTCAGATTAACAATTACAGCCGAACGCTCTTCCAGCTGAGCTATTCGGGGAGATCTCCGAAGCGGAGGAATAGCTATTAGTGACAGCAGAGCCAGCGATCTTAGTATATAGAGGTATGACAAGCTTTAATCACACATACCGCTGTTGCCTGTTCTCACTAACCAGTCATCATCTCTGTGGGCGCAATGGGCTTCACAGCACAGAATGCCCGAAACTCAACTTTTTATCTCTTGCATTAAATAATACTGCAAGTCGATTTCTATTCCCTCTTCTGTTTTCTATACTATTAATCGATGTCAAAGCAATGGTATGCACAGTTCCAATATGTGATCATCTAACTACCCTGGGTATCATCATGAATTATTTCCTGTCGCTCCAGTGACTTTTGATCGCCTCCAAATGCTCTTTGATCGAAGGACTATCTTCACTCTCGCCACCAACATCCATCTTCGACCTTATCCTCCCAACAAGCAAGTCGCGTGCAATCTTCGGTGATGCAAGCAACAACTCCTCGTCCAGTTTTGCCTGACTGATGACTTTGCCGTTGCAAAGCTCCTTGACAAGACTATCAACAAGATGCTGACAGTTATTCGATAGTAATTTATACCGGGGATTTAATCCGATATGATGCTGTCCTGACCAATCGTTAGAAGGCTTGGCACGCCGCGACTTAGTGTAACATACCTATCGCCTGAATCTCCTCATGCGTCTTGGTCGTCTCGCCAATATAATAGCACGAACTCCACGTCTCAACAAACTCCTCTGTAATGACCGCCACCCTGAAATAATTCTTCCCCAACATCGTCAACTCCAAACGATCGCTCATCAAATCGTAGCAATAGCACTTCCCCAGCCCTCTATCGATGACGCACACGGCCCAATGACTCACGCTGTTCAGACTCATGCCGACATGTCTCGCTAACAATTTATAGCTTGCCTCTGAGACTTCAAGTACGCCAAAGGCAATAGGCGTTGTGACGAGAAAGACTGCTCTTTGAGTTTCGCGCGGGTTGCATTGCAGAGGTGCCATTTCGAGGGCTGAGTCGCCTGTGACTTTACTCGTGACGAGAGACAGGAATTCATTTCGCTGACGGATTTCTTCAGCGTGTTTCGCGAGCCACGCCTCTTCCGCTTGTCGTCTCTTTCTCTCATCCCTATTCACAATCAGTAACTTGATCCACCAGTGGAGCCTTTCGGAAGTCACCATTTTTTAGAGAAGTTCTGATAAACAGCCTCACCAGCCGCCGCGAGCTTGTTCAGGGCATCCAGTCCCATTTTCTGCTATAACACTACCATACCGTAGCAACACGTCGAATTATCGCGCGAAAAAGTCGGAAATATTGGAGATGAGGTTACTGGGCTGAGGAGCGTGATGGTTTTAGTAGAAAATTTGGGGCGGTAAAATTCACAGCCACGCGGATATGCCGGTGAAGTACAGCGGTATCCACGCTTGGCATCATGCGCCTCTTTGGTGCTGCAGGTGATGACGCGTGACTGGGCTGAAAGACGGCATGACATTCGGATAGGGCTGTCTTTGAGGCGCAGTCATGATCTTCATTCTCTATGGCTTCTATTTATTCTTCTATAAATGGCTGGCGATCGCCGCTTCATTCTAGCAGCAGAGGAATCGCGCGCCCGATATCGCCTTGAATACAAGTGCTCAGACCCTCGTCTTCCTGCTCCCACGGCACCATCGCCTCTGGGCCCATGCCAACGCGAATGAGCTTGACTCGCCCGTCACTTCGCATCACCAAATCTTCGTTCGGCCATCTCAAAACACCTGGAGTATTCATCCCGACACCGAGTTCTAAAATTACCAGATTCTTCTTTTCTCTAAGAACCCGAGATTTAAATGCTTTCCATTGACCTTCGCCTTCTCGGAAAGGCGCCTGATTGAACCAGGAGCCCGCTCGAACGCAAATACCCATTTTCGAACCGCAGAACCTGCACAGCGGAATCTTGCTTGAATCCATTAGTTTTTGTGTCGCCTTGTCGATGTGAGGCATTGCATCAGCTACAAGGGGAGCCGATGGCACGACAGCGTCGACTCTGCAGTTATTCAGACACTGCAAATATCCATACGAGCCCTGCGGTGTAGAAAGTTGCTCCTTTGGCCAGCCATTTGCGAGAAACAGCCCGTCAGCATTTGACGTGCGCACAAATGCGTCTTGCCCAAAATTCTTCAGCCACGGTATTAAAGCCTGGTAAGTAGGCGTATTAGACCAGTTGGCTACCATGTTTAAATGAGTGAAGAAATATCCCCATCGATGCTCCTCCGAAGGCCAGTCGTTGAAGCCAAAGACGCTATACAGTGAAGACAATCCGAGCTTGAGACAACCTGGGAAATTCTTCTTGAAGAGGTCTCGGGAGTGGTAGTCTAGACCTTCTGCGGCTGATAGACCTGCGCCGGCTGTGATGAGGACAGCGTCTGCTGAGGCGAGCCAGTCGCGCGCTAAGCTGAGAGAATTTTGTGGCAGGCTCGCGGTAAGTGAGAGTGGTTTTGTCGGCGAAGGCCCAAGAAGTTTCGAGTAGATCTCGGTGTCTGATTCGGTAAATGTGTTGAAGATGACGTCTGTAACCGTTGTTGATGGATGCTTCTGGAGCCATGACGTGACAGTTGACACTGCTATCTCAGCTGCTTCATCCGCTGGAAATGCAAACAAGCCCGTCGAAATACAGCAAAGAGCAACTGATTTGCTACCGTCCTCCTCACACGGCAAAAGCTCTAACGCATCAAGAATCGACTCATAACACTTGGCCAGTTGCCGCCTCTCAGTCTCAGTAGGTGAAGCACCTCTCTTCAGTTGTGGCCCAACAGTATGCATAACTGACGAAGCAAAGAGAGCATGACCTTCAGTGACAAGTACTTCTCCAGGCTCAAGCTCTTTTCCTCTGGCCTGCATTCGCTGGAAACACTCTTCTCGCAGCCGTGGTCCTGCCTCAGCGTGGATGATGTTGTCAATACATCGATGAGTTGGTTGGAAGCACCCTAGGCCCTGGCTGTTCGCGGCATTGGTGATAGCTGTTACACCAGTCAAAGTCGTGATGTCGCCTCTCCAGAGATGAACCTTGGTAGCTCGGTGTCCATCATGTTGAATCGTCCGCCAAGGTGAGAGTGAGGAAATTGGAGTAAGTATCTTGTGCTGATGAAGTCGTGAGAGGATGGCGTCGATATCTTGAAGTAGATCCTCCGGCAGAAGTGGCAAAGGCGGTCGCACGCACAGGCATTCCCGAAGAAGTGCTATCTTCGATGCTGTCTCAAGATGGTTTAAATGGTGTTTATAATGCTGCAAGTTCTCGTCGTCTGCAAGAAAACTTGATCCATTCTCTATTACATCGTCTATGAGACGTGTCACAGTTGCATCTAAGAGAGAGGCGGTTCCTGTGCGGGTTGTTCTCATGATGACTGTGTCTGACCGTCGGTGATTAACACTTCAGTTAAATGCAGTTTTTTCATACAGGATAGACCAATATATAGTCTCGCAATCGTGTAAAGGAAAAGAATAATCAGCACTGACAAATTTGATCCTTTGCTGAGGTTTGGCTTTATCCCACTCGGATAATGTGGGATACCCGAGTGGGATGGATTGCGTTGAGAGTTGAGACCGATCCTACCCTATTCAAACCTCTAAGAGGGAGACAGAAACCCTTTGACCAGAAACTGATTTACTGAAGAATATCTAGCCTAAATATAACTATAATGCCTTCAACTTCCCTCAATGGGAAATGTTCAACGATCAATTACGCATGCTTCGTTCTCAAGATTAGCGAGTCTGTCTTCTCTGGACTGCAAGATAACACCATCCTCTTTTAGTCAAACCACCACCTCATCTGCAAAATCGGTGTGCTGTTCGCGATATGTTTGCCTATCGGAAATTTCTCATACCTCATTGTGATCTGTCAACCTTCGCTATTTAATAATGCATGTAATCTTCACGAGAGAGCATTGCGTGTAAGAGTTCATTGGCCTTTGGCTTTGGCGTCCTGGCAAGCCTCGCAGCTGTTGTAAGTGATGAACCATTGTACTCATTTTGCTAAATCGATGGTCGGAGGAGAAGTGACAAGACAAGAACAGTAAAGAAAATGACTTAGGGAGAAGCAGTTAACAAACTGCACGGAGGAGCTTTTACAGAAGCTTCCGCGAAGGGTTTCTACTTTCAGTCCAGAGCTGTTAGCTCAGCAGCGACTCTGCCTATTGTACGCTAACTTTTGAGAACGGCGTAAGTTTACAAATGCCATCTTCACCTCTTTAGGTTAAGTGTAATCGTCCGATTCCGAATGATGAGTTAACTGGTAGTTATTCCTCTGACTTCCAAACATGACTGGAGCATACTGCCATTTCCGTAAACCAAAGCGATTATTGAATAGTCCGACACGAACATAGATCTACGAACCCGCCACAACATGCCGATGTGCTATCTAAAAGTCGTGTTTTAGCTCTTTACTCTGCCGCCATGTCCTCTTCTCCCAAGCTCACACCCACCAAGCACTTCAACAAGACTGCGAAAAAGTACGAGGCCGCTACATACTCGTGAACACGCATAGCAAACCATTTCCTCCATCACGGCCCTAAAACCGCTGACATCATTCTTGAATCCGGGATCAAGCCTGAGACCCACGCCGCTGATGTGGCGCAGAACATGGTCAACATTGCTAGGGAAAGGTCCTCCTCATATTCCAGCGTCCACACGCCTGTAATCAGCAGTGAGGAACTCTCCTTCCCTGATGATACCTTCATATACTCCATTACAAACGTCAACCTGATGTGCTTCACCGACACGAGGAAGGGCGCCAGAGAGATAGTGCGGGCACTTCAACACAATAGAGTGGTCATCGTCATAGGCTGGACTGTATTGGGACATATCGAGATTATTCAGGAGGTCCAGGCGCAGATCCGCCCGGACGAAACGCCATTCAAACCGCCTGTTCCTGACATCTGGCTCGACTCTGGCATACCAAGGCCGTGCTATCGAGTGCCGGGCTCGAAGTAACAAACACTGAAATTGACGAACACCTGGGCGGCGAGACGGCTGACGGAGTTCCAAGTTTCTGAATTATTTGGGCGTGGAGGAACCGGAGAAGGGCGCTGGGGTGATGAAAAAGATTGTGAGGAGGGGGTGGCTCTGCTTACTAGACCCTTAGGCTCTGGCGTTAACATTGAGGTACCGGGAACTATCTTTGTTGCATGAAAGGGACCTGGCGGTGTTGTGATTAGAGAGGTTCTCCTTGAAATCGCCACAACTAGAACAGGTAGTTTGTAAAACGTATTGCAGATTTGGCCGGTATCTATATCAACACACAGTGCTCAGAAACCCTTTTATGCTTCAGAAAATATAATCCTCGATGAATCCACGCTTCACGGTCATTCCCACGGACCCGGAAACTCCTCGACCAATGCTAATCCCACTCAAGTCTTCCCAGATCTCGTCCTCTATGGCCAGCCCTCCAGACATTATGCATAAAGCTGATGTAGAAAACAAATCCAACAGTAATTAAACATTGCATCTCAAATACAAATGGCAAAGTGGGAAAGACCTAAAAAGAAATGCAAATCCTGAGAGTTGTGACCGAATTTCGCACGGCATAAAAAAGAAGCCTTTGACCGTAAACTGATTTCCTAAAACAAAAGAAAACTAGCCTAAAAGCTGACCATGGTCCTCTAAATTTCTCCAAGTTCTTTCGTCATTTAGGGCGTCTATCCTAGTCTTAAATGCTGTATATTGAACATCCCGAACTTGAATTGGGTATGACAACTCTTGATCTGCTAGCTAGCCATTACCAAAACGCACCAGTCTCCCATTCTGCGGGATTCGCACCGTGAGTCCATACCAAGGCTCCATTTTCATGGTGCACAGCCCTTTGATAACCGGCAGGATGCGACCTCTGCCTCCTACCATCAATCTCCCAGATAGGCAGCCCTGTATAAAACTCTCTGGAGCACGGCACAAACCCTCCCACTGTGAATGGCACCGCGAACTCTCCTTGGCATCGTCTCCAGCCCTGTGCCAAGAGTCGATAGAGTCCATACCGGAGGCTACAGGAACTTCCCTCAATGGGAATCGTCCAACAGTCGACTGGGCATGCTTCGTCCTTCAGACTTTCGAGCCTGTACGCTCTGAACTGCAGGAGGATAAGTAGGCTGCCGTCGAAGCAGAAGACCTGAGGGCACCGATATTTGTAGGCATATCTGCAAGTGTTGATTAGCCCGGCGGCCCGCTTCGAATAAATTATGAGGAATCTGTGCAAGAGGAAAAGAAGAAAGAAAAGAAAAACACATAGGAAGCATAACTTACCCTCTTAGCTCTTGCGATAGTCTTTTCTGAGAAGCAGAAACGATCGTACCATCTTGCCAGTCTTCTTCTAGAAGGTTGCGTTTCATTTCCCCGATAGCTACAGTGCGCCTTGTATTTCCCACTCTGACAGAAAAAACACAATCAACATTCTCAGCTATGTTCTCCTCCGAAATTGGCTTTGTATGAGACGTCTGAGTCATTGCAGGATATGCATGCCATGCAGATAGCACAACATTGACCACCTCTGTGTGAAACCAGTTCTCACAGTCTGCCTCGGTCTCGAGCCTCCAATGCCGATTATTCGGCGGCACAGCCCTTTGTCGGAACCGCAATTCGTCGTCTGCCTGCAGCGGGAGGAAGGCTTCTTCAAAATTGGCATGAGTCAAGCCGTCTGAGCCAGTCATAGTGTGTGAAGTGACTTTCTTGATAGGTTTGTAGGCATGCGTCCAGGCTTTGTCAGTCTTGGTTTCATAACCTGGGTTATTGACTGGGTTTGTTGAATGCTGCAAGATGAGCTGCTGAGCTGTATTGGTGGACATGGTATTATTGAGGAAAGAGAAATTATTTGGAAAAGTATTGCTTAAATGAATCAATCGATTGTCACGTTCAACTGAGACTAAGAGATATATATACTCCAGAAAGGTCTAAATTTAGGCACCGACTCTGCCTGTTGGATTGAGTGACCTTGGCCTCTCGGCGGCTAACTATTTACACTTGAATTTCGAAGTCCTAGAACAGTACCAATAATGATGTCTCTTCTGCCGCTTGAAATGCTCAGCCCCATGATAGCGGAACGCTGCGAAACAACAAGTCGACCAACACACCGCGGTGAACCAATGGTTCACGACATGTGACTAACAATCCTGGTAGCAGTTGGTGTTGGTTGGTACCATTACTAAAAAGGTGAGTAATAAGCAGAACTGGGCCTGACATTTCTCATGAAGATCAGGTCGTTCATGCATTAATATAAGGTAAGGCAGAATCAATCAGCTTCTATTTTAGAACCATCGTTTCACAGTGTGCGTCCTATAAATATCGCATGTTAAATTGTTTGGAGGTTCTTGGTGTTGGGTTAGGCCGCTGACTAAGCCTCAAACGAACAACTAGCCTTGTCGCTGTTGGTTGCTTGACACGTCGCGACATCATCAGCACCGACGCGCAGAAGTCATCAAAACGTCTTCCTTTCACCATCTCATCTAGATCCAACTCAAAAATGGAACTTTCCGATGTCGGCCCAACAATAAAATCGGGCGATCACACGGACGGAGAAGCTGCACTTCAAACAGGCATTGTAAGCTCTATCGTCTATCCAACGCCTCCTTAAACTGCTAACTATCTTGACACCAGCGTTTCCGATTCGGAACTCGAGACATTCAAGCCATTGGAACTCCGTCAGATCATGCTCATCTCAACGTCCTACGACTGAGAATTGATAAGACGTTCATCGGAGGAATAATCGAGTCTTTATTCACTATCATATCGAAAGCCGTTGGTCCATGGCTGCAAACAAAATTCCCTGAGTGGTTCTTACCAGAACATATCGTCTTGAAACGTCAAAAGAAGAACTGGGAAGAGGAATTTGACCACGAAGTCGTCGCGTACAACAGACTACGACCTATTCAAGGCCTCACAATCCCCAAGTTCTACGGCACGATTCAGTATGCAAACACTCGCGCCTTGATACTCTCAGACATCGGGGGGTCTAGCCTCTCAACGCCTGATGGCGCCGTTCTGGATGAGCAAGATATCGAGCCCCTGTTGCACCAAGCCTTGACTTCGCTCAATGAATATGGCGTTTGCCACGACGATACGAAACTCGACAACTTCCATCTTGTGGCTGATGAGGGAAAAGACAAAATCATGATCGTCGACTTAGAGTCCGCAGACTTTGATCAGACTGAAGAAGAGCTTGCTTATACGGCGAAAAGCAAAACGAAATCGCTGCTTCGTCAGTATCGGAACCATTTAAAGTGTTTGGAACATGATGGCGTGCTATTGCCGAGACGGCCTGTTCGAAGATGAGATCGTGTCTATCCATGATAGAGGAACATCCGCTTGTCGTTCAGACCAGCCTATATGTTTAAATCACAACAGTTTCAAGCTCGTACCAAATCTCGATAAAGTCTGTGAATTATAGGAACCCTATACAGCAAATAGCATTTCCTCAGCCGCACGTATACAATCCAATCTTGAGGTGCCTATCAATCCAAACAGAACCCTCGCCACTCCCAGTCCCCGTGACATCTCATATTCTAAACCCCCAAGTTAGAATCGAGAAACCTTCATTGTAGTGGGAAGACTTACCGCCTATCCTTGTCTGCAATCAATGTTGCCCCACTGGTTCTTAGTAGCCCAATACCAAGAATCCATGACGGATCGCGCCTCACAACCACTTCCAGTGGTAAACGCCCAGACGAGCGAAGAGCCGCTGTTGTCGTAGCCGCAGTACTGATCGCTGACGCCAGCACACTCTGGATATTGACCGAGGTTAGACCAGAGATTGCCGCAGACTTCATCGGCATTGGGGACCCAGGAGTTGGACCAAGCCTCGTAGCGACGGGACCAGTCGTTGGTGAGCTGGTTGGTGCAGCGCTCATTGGCGTGAACGTGGTCGGTCACGAGAGCGGCGAGGAAGATTGCGGTGATGCCGGTGAAACGCATGATGATGAATTGGTGGTTGTTTGGAACGGTTGGTTTAAGTGAGTTGACTGAAGATGCTGTAGAAGACTGAAGAGAATGTGATTGAGTGATGAGCTATTTTGAAGAAGAGGAATAAACTGATATTTATATATAATGCGAAATAGAGAAATGAGATAGAACGCAGAACTGAGTTGCTTGATGTGTTATTTACAGCTATGACCTGTGGCTGAAGCTTGTACCCCCGGCATAACAGCCAACCCTTGCAAAGGCTCGAGAGTAAAGTCGGTAAGATGCTTGGATCTTCATGAATTCCAGTACCGCATTAAAAATAAAACCAGTGGCTGAAACTTATTTTTACGGTCTGCGACTTGGGCATTAAAAAGCAATTACTCGATTTCTTAGCCTCCGGAGTAGTATCCGAGCGAGTTCTAAATTTACTTTATAACTGCCGATAATCGCATGAGCGTCAGTTACTACTTGTTAAGGTTTCGTACTTATGGTTTTATTTTCTTATGCTCTTAGTTCTTGTCTTAGGGTCAATTGTTCCGCTTCATCCGAAGATAATGTCTCTGCAGTCTGTTGAGATTTAGTAACTCGTGCCGATGTACTACTTACGGCAGGTTCATTGGATTGCTGTCTGACTTTGACGGTTTAAAGTATAAAGTGTGCTCCGGGAATGAGGATCTACAGAACCTCGTAATCTATGCCAAAAAGCGTAAAAGTTAGACAACGCTCCAGTTCCGGAATGTTCGGTCTCATTGAACGGTGTCGGGCAAGGCGGTAGTGGTGACTTTTGAGATGATAGGTATTATCTTTCGCTATGCAATCTTATCTATATAACAATAAAAAGAATGTCCCATCTGAATACAAATCAAAAAACGATGATACTAACTATACAGTGACTGAGTAAAGTTGGTCATAATCCTCTTCTTCCGGTTGCGAAAATGAATGATAGTAGCCATCTGCCCAATCCCCGCAAATGGTCCTCCGGCACTCATAGCCAAGACATGTTTGTTATGCGAAGAATCGCACCGGCTAATAACCTTCTTCCTCTGCTTCTTATTGCCGTTCATGTATGTCTCTGAAATAACTTGCATGACGACTCGCGCAAGCCACCAGCAATTATGCCACTGGAGATGATACTGCGGCTCTTCATTGTGCACTATCAGTACAAGCTTGGCGACGTCGCTCAGCCGTGCCGCATTGGTATCCAGATCAGCCTCCACGAGAACCCTATCATCACAGACAAGGTTTTCTCGTGATGGTGCGAGGGTCACAACCAATTGTGCTTGATCCGTTAAAGCGTTACTGGATGCCGAGCCAATGGGCAATTCACCCATACGCTCGATCCGCATCCAGGATAGTCTTCCATCGTTGGTCTTGACGCACATCAGTAGGTATTCGTGCTCGATGATGCTTTTCTCTTGGAGCCACACGACCTTTGTAACGTAGCCGGGGGTTGCATGGTTGATGATGTGTTCGATGAGAGGGCGGTTGTTGTTCCGCCAGATCTCGGCGCCTTCGCGCTGTAATTGAGCTTGGAGAGATGAGCCTTGTACCAGACTTGGTAGCGGCGGTCCTCGAGATCTGCTGTTTGACATTTTGATGGGAGTGTGATGATAATCTGTATGAAATGATTGATATCGAGTGCTAAGAAATAAAGTATAAGAATTTCAATCCGGAAGGATAGATCAAAAAATGCTGTATTGGCTGATTTGATTTTGAGACTTGAATTGACTGGGAGACTCCTTTGCATTTATATCACAATATTCCAGATAGTTTCACAACTGACAGACTCACTGATTGAATCGATTATCAATCAGCACAGCCTCATGACACTCACCCACACAGCCAATCGCATCCTACCCTGCAGCTCTAAGTATATCCTGGTATGTCCGTCGGACTTGAAAATGCAGTCAGCAAGCCCCGCATCGAGAAGGCTTAGCACTCGCACTCGGTTCAAATGTTTCAGCTAACCCACCCTTCCAGAACAGCGCCTACCAGCGGCTGAGAAGTCCATCTCCACCGATGGCCTCAATGTGGGTGGTCAGAGACAGGGATTGGACAGTCAAAAATAGGGCGTAGCCTTATGCACCTACGGAGTAGTATTCGCCAGCAGAATTACGGGGCTGAGTAAGACGTGTAATATGAATGCTAAAGTAACATATTAATATCTACAGGCAGAAGCATGGAATAGCATTTGCATTTATACCCTTAGGCTATCACTTAAACTCAAGGGAAACCTACTCGAACTTGAGTATTGTTTGTATCATCACTGAATGCAATGTCTGCGAAAGTCCAAACCAATAAACCCGCTATCGAAAGCACATCCCCTCCCCAAAGTGTCACAAATGCAGAAGATTATCGAAAAAATACAGAAGAACTCTCACGGGACATCTTATATCATGTCATTCACCAACTCGAAAACCAAGCTTCAAGACAAGAATCCATCAACTCATCAAGCAAAAACAACAGCGATGACCTCGAAGTCTTTCGTTTCTTCGTCGTAACCATGATCGCCATCTCCGTCTTCGGCGCCTCAACCTTCGCCGTCATAGTCGGAGAAATGACTGACCCAGCGGACATCTGGGCTCCAGATCCGCCAACGTTTTCTCTCAAAACAGTCCGACTGTTTCTCTCAGTGTCTTGGCTCGCGTTTGCAGTGTCTATTGCTTTGGCTGGTTACAGCGGGAGTTTTCTCGCGTTGATGCGACAAAAGGCAAAGGGCGAGATTGACGAGGAGACTATCAAGAAGTGGACGCCTGCTGGGCTTGTTGTTTCTGCTGCGTTGCATCTGCTCATTGTCACGGGGTTCTTGTTCATGGCGCTTAGTCTTGTGGCGTATGTTGGATCGTTTGGCTGGGTTATTGTTGGGTTTTCTGGGGTGATGTATCTCGTGGTCTTTTATTTACTTGGTGCGCAGTTTCGCGCCGTGTGAAATGATACATCGTTAGACAGGCATTGTAATACTTACGGCGCCACTCTGACCATATTCTAGCCGAGATTTGCCATCTAATATTTTTACCTTGTCCCTAAATCCGATGCTCCCCGCGATTGTGCATGTAGGTTGAAAATGAGGCTGACGAGAGACCAAAAACGCCGTGCTGACGGTACCACCAAATTGAACTAGGATTTAAATTTCCAGCCCCGAACGTGTTATTCTCGGTTGGGACTTATGACTGAGAGCTCATATCACCGTACAGAACTTGGAACTTAGCCAGCTGCAAAGATATGATAACATGTGTCGAGTGACTCAAGGAACCAAAAGATCTACCAGACAGGATGCTTCAAATCGTCCAGATGCAGAGTAACAAATATGGTCTCCGTTTCTTTCATCGAGATGGCCTAGCTCGATCATAAGGAAAATGCTCAAGATAGACGATAATGAATCCGACGAGAGGAACATTGGATTTAGCTGGGGTTTGGAACTATCATCAATGCGAGAAGTCTCGATGCAAACGTGAAGTCAGGTTATTCTGACATGATTACCGGAACGCCAGAGATCCCCCAGCTTGCTGTCGGGACGACAACTTTAGCCTTGAGGCACCGCGTATCAACGATTTTCTCTAAATGTTTTTAATGGCTGTTTTACCATTGGTCATTGAATCACTTGGATACATCATGAACTTCCGAAATAGTTGCTGAATAAAGATAGCAACCGGTAGATTGATGGGGTATAAACTAAGAATCCTCAATAAGAGGGACTAACTACATAGATTGACCGTTCTGTTCACATTCATGTATAATGAGACTTTATGCTCTTACATGAACTTGTGGAAGAAACGGCGCCAAGCGGGCCATGAAGCGACCTTAGCACGGTAAGCGTTGATCTCGTCCCAGTCATGCTCACGGAGACCGGTGTCAAGGTCGATCTTATCAACGGTAAGCCACTGAGGCTTCTTCCAGAAGTAGCCGATGATCCAAAAGAGGAGGACGACAGGAATAGCAAGGCAGGCCATGAAGAAGTCCTCGGCGTTACCATAGCCTGGCTTGTTTGGAGGGCAGATGGCAACGAAGAGCTGCATGCCGAGAATAGCAAAGCAAAGGGCGAGACCCAACCACGAGCCGTAAACGCCACCAGCAGCCTTGAAGGGAATCAGGTCGAGACTTCGGCCTTGTCTCTTCCAGGCGGAGCGGAAGCGGATGTGAGCCTACAGGACCAGGTCAGTAAAACGGATCAAAAGGAAGACTCCAAGTTTCTCAACTTACGTAGCAGATGGAACCCCAAGTGAAGAGGGCAGCGAGAGCAGAGACAGCAAGAAGCCAATCGAAAACAAGACCACCAGATGAGGCGAGGACAATGTAGGCGAGGGCACCCCAGATGAGGTTGAAGCCTACAGAAACGAGAGGTCGTCCGGAACGATCGATATATGTGAAGATCTTGGGCGCGTAATCTTGCTCAGCGAGGGCAGTCAGAGTACGGGAGCCACCATAGACGGCAGAGACACCGATGGAGACGACTGAAATGCAGATGACCAAGTTCATGAAATCATCGTAGCCCTTGAGACCAGCATCCTTGGCTGCAAGCACAAAAGGAGAGGTACCGTCCTTGTAAGGGTTGGCGCTGTTGAGGAGACGCTCATCTGTGGAGCTGACAAGCATGCCGACGAGAGTGAGACCGATGATGTAGAAGCTGTCGCATGTTAGTTAGCGTACGAGGAGAGAATGGGCTCTGGTGAAGCTTACAGGGTGATACGCCAGAAGACCTGCTTGATAGCACCGGGAAGGGCCTTGGCGGGGTTGCGAGACTCGGCGGCAGCGAGACCGACCAATTCAGTACCGGCGAAAGAGAAGGCGGCTGTGACGAAGACACCACAGAAACCTCGGGAACCATTCTGGAACGCGCCGGGGTCATACCAGAGCTTGGCACCCTGGTACGTGTCGAAGTCGCCGGAGGAGGGGCCACCACCGCAGATGAGGATGATGGCGACGATCATGAAGATGACAATGGCAGCGAGCTTGAAGACGGAACTCCAGAACTCTTCTTCGGCATAGCCGAGGGTACCAAAGATGTTGATGACGATGATGAATATCCAGAAGACGGTGATCCAGACAGCTTCGTTGATGTCTTTATTCCAGTATTGCACCGTGAAAGAGACGACTGTTAATTCGAGCGGCAGGACGATGACCCATTGAAAGACCTGAGAATGTCAGTTTCTCAATTGCGCGACACGGGATCAGCGACACTTACGTAGTTCCAGCCCATGGCGAAACCCCAGGACGGATCGATGAAGCGAGTAGAGTAGGTGTAGAAACCACCAGAGACGGGGTACATGACAGCGAGCTCACCGAGAGCGTGGACGACGTTGAAGATCATAACACCAGCAATAGAGAAGCAGAGGAAGACGGCGCCGGGGCCGCCCTTGGTGAGGGCACCGCCGGAGCCGACGAAGAAACCAGCACCGATTGAACCTCCAATGGCGATCATGTGGAGATGGCGCTTCTTCATGGAGCGATCGAGTTCGACGACGCCAGTGCCGTAGTCACCTGTAAAAAAAAAAAAAAACGAGTTAGGGGTTAATTGGCAGTGGTGGGCAGTGCATGCGACTCACGGCGCTGGAAGGACTTGAGGTTCAGACCATTGCGGGTCATGAAATCATCCTCGCGGAAATCATCGCGAACGCCCTCAACATCACCAGTGAAGGTATCCTTTGTGTGCACCTGCGCATGGCCATGATCAGGCGATGGCGGAGTCGCGCTGCCGACGTCGATCTTCTCCTCCTTAGAGGTCATTGTCACAGAAAAAAAAAAGAAAGCTATTGTTGTTTGAAGGAGTTTGTGAGGTGAGGGAGAGAGAGGAGAATGAAACTCTGCCTGGGGAGGGGAGATGGGAAGGGCAGTGGTTTTTATCTCCGAGGAGCGGAGACGTTTGTGTTACAGGGAAGGAAGCTACCTTAGACAAGCACAAACACAGGCGATGGCGAAAAGGGCAGGAGATGGGGATTGGAATTCTCAAGGTGGTGGGTTGGGTTGGGTTACAGCTCGTGTAGCGTGCCAAGACATGATAAGCATCCCATCAAAAGAGACGAGAACGAAGAGAAGCTGCCAAGTAGTTCTAGACGAGGCAAAAGGAGGGAGAGTGCAACATCCCCTTGAGCAAGGGACAGACGCTGTTGGTGCAGGTCTCCGATGTAATTGAAGCTGTTTGGGTTGTATTTGCGTGTTCCCATGTCGATACCTCTCAGCACATGCCTCTTTACAGAGGCCATCATCAACTCCATTTTCCCCAGGAAGCTTTGACAATTAGCGAGTGAGTAGCCACTAACCGGGCTGATTTACAGTGATGACCGCGCCCCGCACCCACTTGGCACGCTCTGTGCACTACCCGACATCCGCTCCTCAATCAGCATTTTGAGTTTCAATTGACAGAAAGTGACTGACCTGGGTCCAACGCGTGATCCCAATCTTGTATGCAACGGACATGATACTGAGAACGGAAGGTGCAACGATCGATCTTCTCACTGGAGGATTCGATGGGTTGGGGTCCGGCTTGGCGCATGTCTTGGTCTGATTTGGGGTTTTCTCACTCTCAGGTGGACCGTGGCGTTGGGTGGGAGGGCGAGCTAAACAACAAGCTTAAAATGTTTATCACGAGGTATGGGGGGGTATGACGCGCTGGCTTTTTGCTCTCAATGGAGTGGCGAGCAATCATTCAGCAATGTTACACATCTTGACCGTTGAGCGTTACAGTTTCCGACTGATTGTTACCCCAAACCTCGCCTCCAATAAATACACAATATCGAATTCTACGCCCAGCCTTCGCCGAGAAATCTGTCAAAGATCCCGAACGCTTGGGGCCTCCGACGCCAAGAGATTCTGTATCATCTTGAAAAGGAAGGAGATAAAAACGACTCGAAGGAGGTTATTCCCAATCATCAGCTAACGTTTTAGGGTTGGTGGCTTGGGTACCTGGCTTGCGTCGGGTCAGCCAATTGTGCTGAGATGCATTATCTCCATCCTCATTGAGATTGGCCGTGCAAATCCGGGGATGCGATCGGGCAGAGTGGAATTTATTACGTTAAATATTGTTAACGATTGACGCAGCAACTGGGGCCGTTGATGTTTAAATTAAAGCGTGTTTTATTGGCTGGCATTTGAGTCAGGACAAACACTCCTCAAAACAGTCTCAGTTTCATCACCACGCCTGCACGCATTCTTTAATTTGAGTATCTCAGACACAAAAGATCATTCCATTCTCCAATCGCCCCCAAAACCCTCCCTTATCTCTTGGCCAACTCCAACCCGGTAAGATTACAACCGCAATCTCTTCTCACCACCCAACGACAACTTCTCCTCAGCGCCAAGACGACCGAGCAGTCTTGGCAGTGATAAAAAACCAAGAATCGAACAATAGCCCAAATTGAGTCCCCAATGGGGAATGTCCTGCGGTTATCCCCAACACCGCAAACCAATAACATCATTTCTCAGTGATTCTTCATTTCTTGGCGAACAGCTGGTCGGCCGCACGAAGACAAGCCACTCACTGTAACACTAGCAAAAGGGCCCCAAGAATTGTTGCTATGACAAACCGAAATCCCAAACTTGGGAATAATCTACGTCAGAGTCTGGGGAAGCTTTGCGGGGTAAGAAAAGCACAGCGATAATGGTATTTGCGTGTGTGAACGACACGGTAATGATATGGACAGAGAGGAGAGAAGAGTCGCGGTCAAAATAAGAAAGCGCCGTAGCGGATTAGAGACATGGAAGGGCCCTGCTGTCATCACTTAAAAAAGGCATAACTTTTACCTTTCGGAGAGAACGTCCCCTTCTGGAACGGCAGTCAGAATCACACCACCCATTCACGGCGTAGCAGTTTCACAGGGGGGCGGGGGGGGACACAAATGGTTGCAGCCGATAAGCCCTCTCATTTGTTTATCTAACGCTGCAAAAAAAAAAAAGAAAAACCCCGGCGGCGCGAGGAAGCTAAGGTATTCTTAGCTCGTGCGCCTTCTCGTCGTCTTCGAATGGAGACTCGGGGCGATGTTCTTCCAGCACCGGTTTACCACGCATCTGCGCCCAGACCGTTTTGTACACGGGCTTGGCGAATAGCGCGTCCATGTCTTCGAGGGTGATACCTGTGATTATGCATGTCAGCCACACTGTGGAATAAGTCTAGAAGGATGGGTTTGATGTAACGCACCTTTTGTTTCGGGGACGAAGAACGTAGCCCAGATTCCCATGCATACGAGGATCGAGCTGAAGAAGAAGTAGGCGCCGTAACCAAGGTCTGAGATCATGTAGGGCGTTGAGCGTGCAATGATGAATGATCCGAGCCATGTGTCGGCTGTCGTGATGGCGACGCAGAGCATGCGGATGTCGAGAGGGAAGATCTCGGATGCGTAGGTCCACGTGATACCCTGCCATGTCGCACAGATGATGATGGCGTTGATGTAGACGCACACGATGGCAAGGTATCCCCAGCCGTCGCGGTTCACAACACCAGCTGCAGCTGCAGCGGCGGGGTCGGCCTCCATCACGTACCCGCCGATATACCACATAGGAATACAGCCGAGTGCAGCACCCCAGATGAGACCCTTGCGCCGACCGACCTTCTCAACGACCCAGAAGGTGAAGAGGACCATTCCGAGGGTCTTGGAGATACCATAGAAGCCAGTGGAGAAGAGCTTCAGTGAAGTACCGGGAATTCCAAGACTCTCAAAGATTCGGGGCGCGTAGTAGGTGATGATGTTGACACCAGTGAAACTCTGCAGAAACATGAGAGCCATACCAATACCCATGCGGTTACGCACACCCTTTTGGAAAAGCTTCTTGAACTGCTGCTTCTTGCTCATCTTATTCGTACTGCGCTCCTCAACCTGCGCACGAATATCACCCATTTCTCTGCGAACATACTCATGTTCCGCCGGAAGACCCCTAATCTGCGCGAGAATCTTCTCCGCCGCTTCAAAGTGATCACCACGTGCCAGCCAGCGCGGCGACTCCGGACACCAAAGCATACCGAGCGCAAGGCCCAAACCAGGAAGTAGCTGTACCGCCAGGGGAACAATCCACTGTGTCTTTGTGTTAACGTCGATGGTGCGGTCAGTAGCGTAGTTGATCCAGAAGCCAAGCATACCGCCGCCCTGCGAGGCGATCTCGAAGATACCCACGAGACGGCCTCTGATGGACGGCGGGGCAGTTTCGCTGATGTATACTGGAACGGTGAGGGAGGATGCTCCGAGGCCGAGACCGGCGACGGCTCTTCCGCCGTAGATCATGTTGAGGTTGCCGTTTGCGGCGGTCATGAGGGCGCCGCCGAGGAGGAAGACTAGGGCTGCGCCCATGATGGTCTTTCTACGACCCCATTTCTCAGCGATGGGGAAGGTGAGTAGCGCACCGAAGAAACAGCCAGCCTGGATATGTTAGAGAGGTGGATTGAGAGATAGAGAAGAGAGGTGTACCTGAAAGGTGGAGACGATGTTTCCCTGGATGGTGTCGCGTTGGGTCTTTTCGACGAGGTCAAGGCCAAAGTCCCTCATGAAAGAGGTCAATGCCATGGTACCTATCTGGTCAACACGGGCCTATCATGTAGAAAAGGTGAATGGTACAAACCTCCAATAACAGAAGTGTCATATCCGACTGCGCAAATCAGTACATCACCTTATCATCGCGACTGCAGAACTCACTGGCGAGGGCGGACATGCTAGCCACCGTAGCAATCAGGTGGATTCGCCAGTTCCGCACCTCAGGCGGATCATTGGTGCCCGACGCATGAGTATTCCAGCCCATAGATTATCGAAATAAAAATAGGTTGTTGAAGTAAAGATATCAAGATTTCTCTCAAAAGACAAAGGAAGCGAGTCAGATAAACTGCAAAAGTGTCTGTACCCCTCTCTTCTGAACACGGGGGCACTGCGGCCTTTTTATCTTCATATGACGATATCTATATGCGCATGGCTGGTTGTTTGGAAAAGGTTCGGGGTCTATTTTGCTCCACGTTTTCCCCGTGGGGTAGGCATCGCTGGGATCATGAGTGTGAATGTGGAGTTGCCAAGATTGGATGAGGGGACGATTGAGGGTGCGCTTTTCCGTTGTGAGGAGGGATGATATTGCATTTCCGTGCGTGCTTTGTTCATATGGGTTGCGAACATTGATATCATCTCACCATTTTCGATGACGTACGTGGAAAACTCAGATCAATGCGCCCAGAAACAGGCTTTTCACAACGGTCGAACATCAACCCTTTTACTGCCATATACTCACAATATTTCATTGTTTAATCTCATCTCTCAAAGCCCTCTCCCCACCAAGACTCTCAAACATAAGGGTCTCATTGCCGAGTCTTGGAGATCTACCAACCGGCCCGCCATTCAGAGTTTAGCTCCCGACACAAGCTTCAAGCATAAATCTAAGCGTTGCAAGCTCCACTCCATTATCATTGGTCCTCGGCGAACAGAACTATGCTCCGAGACGCCCTCTTCCCCGCTTGAATCAGTCGATTGCTTATGGCGAATACTACCCTGTGCTTTAGTTTCTCATAAGGACTTTTACAGGCGTTTGCTTGGCGCCAGTAAATGCATTTGTAGACGAGTTGTTGTGTGGACTATGTCGTCTAATAGCCTTGGCGTCGTGAGGACTGCCGATCTTGGCTGTTGCCCATCATGAAGGGTCTTGTTATCTATCCCCCAACCGCAGCCTGGCCTTCGTGTTGTACGACTGGCTAGTTTTACGCACCGAGATCCTTTATTCGCGGCACAGTGACCTTGTGTTTGCTCGCGTGAGAAGTCACTGCTCGGGACAACTCGGATCCTGTCGTCTGAACCTAGCATGAGTGCAACATAGATCTGTAACCGAACCCAGGATCATCACGTTGTTGTTACATCCCCCGCACTCATGGCTCCATATCCAGAATAAGCTTAAATCACTTGGCGCCAGTAAACACCCCGAAGAAGGTCAACAACCTGGTTGAGCCTGTGGAGATAACTTCGGAGGATCGGCGTTTAAAGGAATTACCCCACGGGGATATCGTCGAACCGACGTTGTTGGTGTCTGATGGCTTCGTTTTACGGGCGTAAACAGGTCTACATTGCGGAAACCAGTATCCGTCGTGAGTCATTCGTAGTCAAATGGGCTGGGTGTGCTGCATGGTTGCATTAGTTGTAGGATGCAGGCAAACGCACCCATATGGAACGCTTTTGACTTTTGACTTGTGATGGAAACATCTTCTATCTTGACTTTTTGGCAATCTCTTACTAGGGTTCCTTTATATGTCTTGCTCTCTGGATAGGCAATTCTTCGAGATGCCAGGTAGGGCTATTTCCGGTGAAGGGATCTGCCATTGATCAGCAGAGCTTTCGTGCCGAGGCCTCGACAACGGGGTTCTTCTCCTGGATTTCTTCCCAAATCGATTCGACTGGGCTTGTGACCATTTACAGAGTATTCCTGATCGTGAGCTTGTTCTAATTCATAGAAACGGAGTAAGGATGAAATGGCGTGCGAAGATGGGGAAGCGTAGGCTGAGATCTGTGGTTTTGGAGAAGCATAAATGATGTCTATTCTTTTTGTTGTTTTTCGATCTTTTCTTTATAACAGGTAACCTATCAAACCAAACTCAATCAATCTATATATAATCCAAAGACAGCTATCCCTGATTGGCTTCAAGCAGTTTGGCGATCTCAGCGTGCCCTTGTTTAACCGCACGATCCCGTGCTGTAAGGCCTCTGTAGTCCTTCGCCTCGACCTTGGCCCCGTGTGCTAACAGCAACCGTACAACATCTTCATGTCCACTTGCAGATGCCACCAACAAAGGAGCTTGATCCAATGCAGGATGGGAGACTTCCGTATCTGCCCCCTTCTCAAGAAGTAGCCGAACGATATCAGGGTAACCCTTGGCCGAAGCTACGAGCAGAGGCGTTTTGAATGACATTTCAGTAGATTCTACGTCAGCCCCATACTGTAGAAGCAGCTCTACATTACCTAGTCTGTTCATGAGAGTTGCCCAACCGAGTGGGGTTCTCAAAGTCTCATGGTCGCTAGACTCGAGATCTGGACTGGCATCAAGGAGAAGCCGCAAGAGATCTTCGTTTGTTGTCGCAGCTGCAAAGGATAATGGAGTGCGATTCATATCATCGGCTGCATTAACATCGGCACCTTTCATGCGAAGTATCCGTGCAACGCCAGTGTGTCTGTTAGCAGCAGCCCAAGACAACGCAGTGCGTCCATATGGCTCATCTTTAGCTTCCGTCCGAGCACCATGATCCAATAGGAACTTTACAGCTCCTTCGTGACCCTCACGTGCTGCCCAGAGCAAGGGCGTCTGACCATCTGTATCGGTCAGTTAAATATCTGCGTGTCGATCGAACAACTTGCCAATGGCCTCCAAGTCGCCAGCCTGGCAGCAAATGATAAGGCAGTTCGACCCGTATCCTCCTGAAAATCCACGTGAGTCGGACTCTTGGGAACCACTGGGTTTGGGTCATAGTCGGCCGTTTTGTAAGGGACTTCATCGAAAGAGGGCACAGCCATCATAGACAGAGACTTTAATTCAGTGGCAAAATGATCCAAGACCAATTTTCGCACTTGACCTGACTCATTTTGACCAGTTTCCAGCATCTTTTGTGCCTCTTCGGGGACTTTCTCGCAAAGTGGATAGACGAATTCATCCCTGGGGAAATACTTCTGTTTCCTGGCAGAATAAGCACGAATGTTTGAGGGATTAGGGGTCTGTCGATATTCTGGGTGAGGCTGCAGCATATGCGTGCTCCATTGACGTTCAAACTCAAAGACCATCGGGCTTTTATGGCCAATATCGCAGTACCATGAGCGGGTGTGGACTCTTTGCATCCAGTCTTTTGAATGTGTGAGTTCCATATGATCTACCCAATCTTCGCGATGCACAAATGACTTGAGAGCTGTTGCGCACTCAGGGTAAAGGCAAGGATAGGGTTCGACGTGTGTGTTGATATGATGTGTCCAGAATTCCAGCATGTCATCATAGGATCGCCTCAGCACCAGTTCCTCGGCGCAGAATGGGCACCGAACTCCATTTAGCCTTTGAAGGGATTCGGGCCAGTTGGGCTTCAGTCGTGCTTTGATCTTAACAATTTCGGGCAACGGAGGATACTCGGACAAATTGTCTGGTCTGGCAGTCGAAGTTTCCCCATCCAACGTCCATGACCACCTTGCTGAGGTTGGATATTTGCCTTGCAAGATAATGAGACGCTTTTTTACGACTGATTCTACCAACTGGTCGCATAAGGCTTGGCGTGCAATAGGAAACCGATGGCGAATCAAGTTTGCGATTTCTCTGCGAAAAGTGGTATCCTCCTCAGTTAATCTAGTCGTTAGGGATAACTCGGTTTGTCGGGCTGAGTGAGCTTTGATCTCAGCAGCTATACGATTTAGCTGAGTCATAGCAGATTCTGCGGCGCATGCAGCATCATGACGAATACACTCATTGGCTCTAGGGCCTGGTCTAGAGCCTGTCACGCGGATGATGAAGTCATGGCCCACGACATGAACAGCAGTATCTGGGAGTACAATGCCGCCAGCGATAGGACCATGAATTGTAAATTCGGGCCAGATGATGCAGTTGGCTGTGGTGTAGAGTATAGCAAAGGTGGGTGGTTTGTCACTCTTGGTGGACAGGTCGTTGGTACGCCATGATAACCCTTTGTAGCCTCCTATGACTAATTTACGTGACAGGATACTCGGACGACTGGATAACTTACCAAACTGTACTATGAATATAGTTCCTGCAAAGTCCAGATGACCTCCGACAATGCCAAGTGCTTATAAGATGAAGAGTAAAGCTCGCTCAAGCTCTCACGAGACCGTCGATACTGATCCATGGGAAATGACGGAAGCATTCCCATTCATGTATGGAACGAACTTCTTTTGTTAGTGTGGAAATAGATTGCTACGTCAACCCTTCAAGTGGAAGACGGCCCTGTAGAAGCTTTTGGGCAGTCTTTCTTCGAAATAGATTTGTTGTTTTTCCTCAACATCCTAGGCTACTTCCATGGTCGCGTTGACTCAGTAGCACAAATGCAGCCGGTGTCCTGTTGCTCCACAAGACTTCTGGAAATAAACTCGTCAAGCTTGTGTCACTTAAGAACGGCCACAGCTTCTTCTTCAGCCTTCTAATCACACATAATACTTAACCGTGGAGGTCACGTTTTCGTTACCTCAGATGATTCCATATCGTCTTTCAGTTCATGGGAAAACAAGGAAACCCAACGTGGGAATAGTACCGAAGCCATTCACAAGGTAGTTAGTAATGCCTGAGGAGACTGCGCTGCAATCTTCAACCCAAAAGTATCGTTGTCAATCATCATAGGTTGACAGCAAAACACGTAGACTAACCTCCCAAGCGTAATAGCGTTATTTTTGAACGTCTTATATTAGAATCTAATACACCCTTATCCCCTGAATGCAGCCCGACATATACTGGGATTAATTTCCTCTGGTGGCCGACAAATGCTGTGACAGTAGTGGCTAGAAATGCCGTTCACCTGAGCATCCGAAAGCTCCTGCAGTTCTCTCACTTTGGACCTAAGTAACGCTTGTTCTCCGTAGGACTCCTCTACCTTGTGCTGCTGGCACATATGGAAAAGCATGACCTGCTCCTTGAGATGATAAATATTTTCAGAAAACACAAACGCGGAATTCGTGGTTCTGGCCACCTGCACCGCGGCCCCCTCGATTTGGGCTAGTCCGTGCAGTATTTTGTGAAGATGATGATCGATAAAGGACAACCATTTCCTAGTTTCTACTGTGTCGTTGATTTGATCTGTAACGTCCAGGATCTCTTGGCTTATGTCCTCTGTATCTGACCAGTCAGACTCTGTCTCGGATCGCGTTGATGATTCATGGCGCGATGAGTTACAGTCCTGTGTGCAATCAGCTACACTGAACTTAGAAGCAGCAAGTAAGAACTTACAGAAGTTAGATCAATGTCATGAGATGTGTCTGTCGTATTCGCGCTATCCATAACTGGATCATTTGCCAAAGGAAGGACTGCATTGGTCTCCGATGTGTGAAAGTGTAGATCAATGGCTTGTTTAATTCTTGATGAAAAAGCGTCGGCGCTGCTCTGAGGCGATGACTGCGAGTGTGAAATAGGAGATATTGGGTTTGTTGGAGCGGTAGTGGATGACATGACTGTAGGCAGTGCTAGGGGTTTTTGACGCGGGTAGGAGGGAGACGGAAGGATTTCGTCTGCTTTTCTTTTCCTACTTGCGCTGCTTGACGTCGGAGTGTGAAGATACCCTGTCGGGTTATTGGACAAAGGCGGTGTTGACATATTCAATAGTAAAAAGGATAATCAGCTGGTGGTTCTGAAACTGGTCTTTCGTGGGTAAGTTTGATGTTATTTATAAAATGTGCCAATGCCTTCTTCTGTTCTGAATTACTTGGACTGCTCGAAAAGCTGGTCATCTGCAGACGGGCGCACATTTCACGAGTGGCGAACCAAAACCAATCATACTTGTAAGACTGAGTACGGTGACAGATCGGCGCTCTGAGACACAGCCGCTAGTACAACCTCGGAGCCGTGTCTTAGCCACCACAACGGAAATAATTCGCTTGGCGACATTTTTCGATCTGCATTTGGGCTTGGGAAAAAGCAGCTGAGCAGTCCCCTACATATATCTAAAACTTCATGGAACCCTGGAGGGTTGTGTAATACTTGTAAACAACGCAGGTAGCCTATATCTACTGAGGCTTTTGTATTTGGAATATGGAGTCTTGAAATAGTATATTATATGATATCGTAATGGCTAATGCTATACAAGGTTAAAGTGAACCCCAATTGAAACTTCATTGTGTTAAACTTCAGCTTCTGTATCCCGTTTCTGTCTGGGGTTGCCATAGTCTGGAACGCAAGTAAGAGCATTCTGAGGTAAATACAAGCATGCGTATCGTTGCAACCCTTCTATCTTACAGTTATGCAAGGAATTCAATATAAGGCTAGTCGAGCTTAGGGCTGGTCGTGTCTCGATCTTGGTGGCGAAAGCGTATTCTAAGACACGGCTCGGTCATGCAGCCAAAAAGATGCTATACTCACCGGCCCATGTCTCAGCTCGGGGGCTGGACCCTTTCGGACCCGAGACCAATCACTACCACATCTCAATTTGCGGGCGTTTCTTCCCGGTAAATTTCCTTCTCTTTTACAGGTTCAACGTCTTCTTGAGTTCATGCCGGCAGTAGACACATGGAAACAAACGTGGCTTCTTTCCTGCAGTCCCTAGCGATTTTTAGGTAGCATCTCGCTTGTTTTAGCCGCTTGCGGACGTCGGATTTGCGACACCGGCCCCTGGTAGCTTGCCAAGAGCTTGCCCAACTCCTGGATATTGGAGTTCACCGAAATCAGATCCTTGTCTGGTCAACATAGTATCGAGAATGCCGCCGAGCAATCTGTAGCCGGTGGTCAGCAGGCCCACCCTAATCGCAAACTATTAAGCACATGTCGAAGTATTACGTGTAAACCCAAAATGACAAGACCCATGAGTGGCGGATTTAAGAAGATTGCGAAATCGAGAGACTGATTCACAGTAATGAGCGAAGGGCATTTAGTCTGCAACACGAACCCCAGCATGTTGCCAACCCCATACGTCAAGGATGGCCAATGACTAGCGGCCTGGCCCGCGGAGATCATTGTGCTCTCAGAAGAGATTATCAGACCTTTTCGATTGGAAATTGAGATACCAAAATCAACAATGAACAATCGCCAAAACATCGGCCCTGTCGACACTGCCACTGGTAAGTAATAATCATTTCTGGAAGACCATAGCCTCTATATTTATAAATTAAAGCTACCACTTTATGCAAAGATTTCTATTACATATCAAGACATCAATGTATTTCTAGTCAAGATTGGCTTACTATGATCATTCTGAACCATTACTCTAGGGTATCACGCTTAGCTCGGCATCCCCAGAACTTCAAATATTGCGTCTTCGTGGCGTGGTTCCCGTGTTTCGCCCTCTTCGGAGCATTAATGCGCCTTGGGATTGTGCTGAAGGTCGCCAAGGGACCAGTATAGAGCTGAACCTCAACACAGCCCCGCTGGAAACGGTAAAAGCGCGACTAGGCGATGCTGAATAAGCCCAAGGGAGAAAGTAGACGTCCCACGTGAAACATAAAGTGCCCACAATGCCTAGTCTAGAATCCAGTAGATCTCTGCAAACTTTCCTAAGCCTTTTTGTCACTGGAAATAGGGGTCCGTCCTAAGCGCCCTTGCGTCTCCATTACCGGGTAATGGTCTATGTGGCTTTCCCAGCCTTATTCCCACTTTGTGACACGTTAATGGCGGGTTTGAAAAGCTAGTTGCACGCTATTGATTCCCTGGGCCCTCTACAGATAGGACTCTCTGGCAGCCTAACCGTTTTAAAGAGCAAGATTAAATCTGCCGAGACGAAGTGCCGAGGTGAACAGATTGCTAGAAACCAGAAAGTCTATATTATACCCCGACGACAGAGAGTTGGCCAAAAGATTCTATGAATTAGCTTTGTTCTCGCAAATCTTTATAGAACCCGCCACTGCCCTTCTGGGGCTTTAAGCCTTTCGCCTGACATTCAAGGAATATTGACAAGAGAAAGCCTCTGGCAGTTCTGTGAGGCTGTACAGTGCTGGCATCAATTGCATGCATCTGATGACTGTAAGAGCAGTTTGCTCTTCACGAAAGGTCTTAGACATCAGTTACAGAAGACTACGTCGGCTTGGCTCACATCAGGCGAGTTTAAAATTGCAAAAGTTCAATGTCAGCATGGTTCGATAATATCTTGATGAGACTCACGTAGGGTCTGTATAACCAAGTTTGCAATGACATCTGACAAGTCGCAATCCATCACACCTTGCAAGTAGTGACTGATGGACCGAAGTCTCGAGTCAGTACTCTTACCGTCAAGGTCTATCTACCAAAAGAAAACGCTTCGATAAAAACCCCCAAACGCAGATGCTGACTGTTAATTGCCCTTGGTTTCGCACTGGCACCTCCATACCCATTCACAATGAAATGGAACTCGCGGTTCTCGGCGACCTTGGTACCATGTGCGGTTCTTGCAGCAAATCCATGGACAACAACAAATATGTCGGCAGAAAAAGAGCCTGCTTTAACCCAGTCCCAGTGTGCAGTAAGCACTCATGTCTGTGTTCATCATGAGATGGCTTAGAAGACTTGCTTTGATGATACAATCCACCGATATGGTTGAAGGTTCAGCGATCTCAGGTGCATGTGTACGAACGTCCAGATGCTTTTTGTAAAAACGCACAAAGGAACTATTACAAGTGGTTACAACATGTCCAATAGTTGACTTCCAGACTAGGATAATATACAATGAATAAATTCATTATGATTTTAATAAGATCGCATCTGAAATACATTAACTTTAACAGAAAAAGCAATTTTGGAATGTAAACAACAGTCGATCCGCTATTCTCACGCTTCTTTATATCTTTGGGCAGCTCTTTAGTGGCTGCAAGCCAAACTCCATGATCTAACAAGCAATTGAGCGAAATGCATGGCGATGTAGTTCACAGCGCCTGATTAACCAGAGCTCTATGCTAACTTTGAGCAGAGCCTGAGACTTCATGGCCACTCATTACACAGCTCCTTTTAGGGAAGGGTCTTCCATCGACATAAGGACGTCATAGGCTACTATTGTACATGGTTTCTTGAGTCTGGGGGTTTCCAACGACGTCACTACGGTTGAAAGAAATGGTGCATTCTATGCTAATACTGAGGGAAGCGACAATTGCCCCGTATTTGACGTCAAGGTCAGGAAGACCACTGGAGCTAAATAAGTCTTTGCATCCCTTACCGAAGCAGGAACTTATGTGATAGACTAGCTATTCTTTCATGGGCTCATATGCTTCAGATTACATCAGTAAGACTGACGGGGGGTAGAACATCAGAAGTGCAAGTGTTCATGCAAGCAATGCTGCTGTCATAAAGGTCCAAAGGTCAGGATCAAAAGAGGCTATTCCTTGGTCAGACGAAATCGATAATCTTGATTCCCAGGTCAATAAATTTAATACTTACACAATTCAAATCGCCTGGTGGTCTCGGTAGTAACGCATGAATCATCGACACGTTTATGACGGCCGAGCGGTTAATGCGACAGGGGGATGACTTCAGTTATTATGTCAAAGTGGGGGACAACGTTGTTCACATGTAAAATAGACAACATTTCTTGATCGTCAACAATATTTCCATAGTATATCCAAACATACCCTCTCTCAAACCATGGCTCGAAGCCCCCTCTCGAGAATGACACCAGCGATACCAACCCCCACCACTCCAAGCGTCCAGCTGTTTCTGAACTCCTCCAACTTGGGCCAGAAGCTGTTCTTCTGCTGGCGATACTCTTCATACTCTTGCGCCTTGATAGCATCGTGCTTGGAGTATCGCTCGGCTTGACTCTCCTCGTTCTCCCTATCACCACCGATGTAACGCAGGAATACGTAGTTGGCGATTGGACCAAGAGCAGCGATGGGATGGAGGATGCCGGCGCCGAGGAGAAGAATAGGGAACGAGGCGTGGATTAGGGCGTCGCCAAGATAGCTTGATTCATTAGCTTCGGTATGTTTGTTCGGTGAGACAAGGACTTACTTGGGGTGTCTAACAATGCTCCAGACGCCTTCACGATTGATGCCTTGAGTATTGTCGTCCTTCTTGAACGACTCAAGCTGAGCATCTGCCAAGGTCTCCAAAGCAAATCCGGTGGTGAATAAAAATATGGCTAGCGAATGGAAGACGAATCCGTTGGAAGTAAAAGGTGAAGCGACGGCGCTCTCGGCCACAGCGCGGAAGGGAATTGTGAATGGAAGCGAGATGACAGTCTGTGCAACAGCCTCGGGCAAAAAGGTAGTAAAGAACGCCTTATTCCAAAAACCAGGATCCTTTCTCTTAACGTCATAGCGAGGATCATCCTTTCCACGCTTCAAGCTTCGCGACACAACACGAGAAGTAAGTCTCACCCCCCAAGCTGTAACACCAGCAAGGAGAAGCTTCTGCGAATATCCAAGACCATTCCAAGCATCAATAGGTGCAACATTATCGTAAACATACTTAGAGCCAATAGCGCTCCACCAAGCATTCAACGTCATTCCAGAAGCCCAAAGAACATCTTTCCCCTCGACCCTATCCGTATACCGCGAAACCCCATACGCGACCGCCGACAACCCAGCATGCAGACTAAAAGACGGCAAGACTGCGGAGTGCAGTAGTCCCAGCGCGCTAGTGCCTAGACTTTGATACGCGGTGCGGTTGAAATGCGAACCATAGACATCTTGTTCGGCGCCTGATGCGCCGAAACTAGCCTTAGGCAGAGAGTGACCGGCAAACTTGCTGCCGTAGATATCCTGCTCGGCCCCAGATCCAGCGAACGAAGAAGGTCTGGGGAGAGAGTGGTCGGCGAATTTAGTGCCGTAGATGTCTTGTTCGGCTCCAGATCCGGTGAATGCCCCGTGGGGAAGAGAGGGCGCGTGACCGGCTAGTTTGTTGGCGTAAATGTCTTGCTCGGCGCCGGAGCCGGTGAATGTGCCTTTTGGAAGGGAGGGGGAATGATTGGCGAGTTTACCGCCGTAGATATCTTGCTCTGCCATGATGGAAGATGTGTGAAGATTAATGAGAATGGGTTACAAGAGAATGGTTGGAGATCATGATATACTGGTCAAGGTGGAGATGAGACAATCGTAAATATTGCGTCATGGGTTATATCATCATTGCATCGTCAATACGTCCTATGAAAGTGATGACTAAGGTTATTCTCACGATTTCAGTTTGCTACAGCAGCGAATATGTTTTTACTCACTTCTTTACTGTTGAGTATTGCCTGTCAGTACACTGAGTGCAGGTCGTAAGTAAAGGTCAGGTCCACTGGCTTAGGACTCTGATGTTTTTCGGGGGTACATATTCCGATGAGTGAGAAGTGGGTTCAGAAACAGATCCGATTCAGTTGCCACTAGTTCAACGGCCCATCTTACGCCGCAATTACATCCTGGCTCGTTGGTAAATGCGACCGCGTCAAGGCCAATATGCAGTGAGACGCGACGTGCAGATCACGTATCGTACCGCATGGTTGGTTCAACATTTATAATACAGCATACACAGATAGCGCGAACATATTATGATAATCATGATTAAATGTTCCTAGAACGTCTGTAGGTAACAAGACAACTCAAATCGTCTTACTGGCGTATGACTACATAGGTCGACGTGTGATTTACAAAACCACCTTAGATAATCCAGCCGCTTAAATAAACAGAGCAACACGAAGTATCCAGCTTGATCTTCCCCCATGAGAAATCATGCTGTTTTCCTCTTGAGAGTAGCAACATCTACTCGTCGTCGTGGACGTCGATGACGGTCTTCTTCCACTTGCGGGCCTGGACCTTGCGCTTGAAGAGAATGTCGATCTCTCGGTAAGATCGGTTCTTCATCTCAGGAAGCCAGATGTATGCCATGACCAAGCAGACGAAACCGGTACCAGCCCAGACATAACCGCACTTGCCACCGAGGTTGGCGCCCTGTACACTGTCAGTAGCTGGTTTGCATATTCTGAAAATGGTGAACTTACAGTGGGGTTAAGCATCCAAGAGGAGAGGAAGATACAGGGGATGTTGACGAGGTAGTAGCAGCCACGGCCGACACCAGTGGTGAGAGGTCGAAGACGAATAGCGGAGGTTTCTCCGATGATGACCCAAGAGGCCGGAGCGGGTCCGAGGGTGAAGAGGACGGAGACAATGAGACCGAGGGCAGCCTGGGTGTTGGAGTTGACGGTGGACTTGACATCACCGACAGTGGCGGCGATACCAAGAGCGACCAGGAGGACAGTGTTTCCAAGAGAGCCCCAGAGGTAGATGGATCGACGACCGAAGTAGCTGGTGAGAATCCAAGAAAGCATGACGAAGACGGTCTGGAGGGCGGAGGTGATGAGACCCATAGCGAAAGCGGTCTTGTTAGGCATACCGGCCTCTGTAAACAAGTCAGTACAGTTCATCAAATCTCATACGAGGATTCACTTACGCTCGAAGAAGTAGACAGCCTGGTTAGCGATCAGGTTACCAGTAAGGTTCTGAGCGGCGTAAACGCAGCAAACGATGGCAGTACGGTAAGCATCAGTGCCCTGGAACAGCTCAATGAAGCTGGGCTCTTTGACGGTCTTCTCGAGATCAATGGTACGCCTCATCATGGCAATAGCCTCCTGAGCGTTGTCGACGTGGGTAGAACGTCCGAGACGTCTAACGGCCTTGGCAGCCTCTTCAAGACGACCCTTTCGGACAAGCCACCAGGGAGACTCGGGGGAGAGGAAGATGAGGATGGCAAGGGGAGTGGGGAACATCCACTGAAGAGCGATAGGCACACTGAGATTTTATTAGCGAATTTAGAGATCGACGATGAGAATCGAGGGAACATACCGGAAAGCAGCCTGCTCGTGAAGATCATTGTAGCGATAAGCCACAGCACCGACGATAATCGCACCAATGGCCCAGAACATCTGAAGCATCTGCGTAGCAGGAGCTCGAAGCTGGAGAGGCACGATCTCGGAACAGTAGGCGGGAGAATTGGCGATGAAAATACCCCAGGGAATACCCTCAAGGAGCTGAGCGACGAGCATGACGGGCAGAGAGTCGGCAAAGTAGAAGATGAAGATGAAGGCGTTGAGGAGCATGAGACCCAGGATGGTAGCCCATCGGTATCCGATACGGCTGGTGATGGGACCGGCGATGGTGACACCGATGATGGCGCCAATGGGGCCACCGACCTGGAGAGCAGACTGCCACTTTGTCTCGATAACATATTTGCCCTTGGTGTCACTCCAGATACCGTATCTGTCGGCGAAAGCGGGGAGGGCGATGAAGTTACCGATGAGGAAAACACAGTAAGCCTCCATGATCTACAACCACTCAGATTAGCCACAATTCACCGGTGAGGGGTAACACAGAAACAGAGAATTTTGGGGGCGGCGTACAATTGTGCAAGACATGTTGAAGGCCCAGAGAGAGGCAGCGGGATACGCTCTAACGGCCTCGAGAACAGTCATGTTGTGCTCCGCGTTCTCGGCGTCGATGGCGCCCTGCATGTCAGCGGCCATCTCCTTCTTTGCCTCGACATCGTAGGCATGGTCGATGTGGGCGCCGTCGCCCTTGACCTCTGAGATGCCCTTGTTATCGTCGTTGGTGCTCATGTTGACGTGTTACTGGATATCAACAATGATTGAGGAGAACGTGAGAGTCAAAGAAAAAGAGAAAAATGCAACGGTGCCGAGCGTTGACACTTTATAAGAAAATTGAAACGTCGCGTTGGGAACATGCCGATCGTATGGATCCCTGTCCTTAACCTAGCAAAGTAAGGATGGAGTAGCCATCAAAAAGTACCTCTGAGCTAAGAGTAACCGGCAAAAAAGAGGGTTTTGGGCGATGATACGTAGCGTGCATTCGTGCTGGGGTATGGGGAGGGGATTTAGGCATCTGGGGTAAGGTTCCCTCGGGCATTAGACGCACGAATGGCGAGGGAGATTGGAGACCAAGGGCGGCCTATGAGCGACGAGTTCCCCGCGAGAAACCCCGCAGAACATCCCCGGATCAAGACACCACTACGGCGCGACTCCGGCGGGAGTGAGCTTCGGGGTCATGCCAGGTTTGGGAACGAGGTTGCATGCATCGGTCTTAATTTCCCCGTTTTACTCCAAACATCTCCACGCTTGACTCACGAGCCTCGTGGTATTTACTCCCGAGCCGAGGTGAGCTTGAAGCCAAACATACCGAACCGGGAGTCTATTTACCGAATACCCAGACTAACTAAGAATCAAGAACGAAAAAAGGAAGAAATAACAGAAGAAAAAGAAGGTTGCTCTGTCTGGGGAAAGGCGGGTCATGATTCTCCAGTGTATACGGTTATTCCTCAAGACCACTGGAGAAGCTGGGGAACAATCAACATGCGAGCGAATCATCAAAGACCCGGCTAAACGCACCACAAAAAAGCCAAATCAATTGAAATTGGAGGGCTGCCAGCTTCACATCCCTGCCCCTCTCCATCTCCGTCCCCTGCGAACCTCACGTGGGCCAATACGAAAAGTCCAGAACCATAACCTGTAACAGTTGCTGTTCACAGGCGCGCCAATTGATGACTGACGCGCTGATGCTAGCGTGGAATTAATGCACCTATCGGGTCACACTCCCGGCGCTGTGCCAAGAGCGGCATTCCTTGCCGTTGATCCTTCGAGAAGCAATTGGGGGATGGAATAAAACATGAGACTTCCATCATATATGACAGAAATTCTCAGACAAGCCTGGGCATATCTCAAGAGATAATGGCCCAAGTATTTCTGACACCTTTGCTTAGTGTCCGCGGTTTTGTTGTGCCCTGGGGGTAATCAGGCAAATGCAGGGTAGGCCTCGTTACATTTTATTTCCAGACAACACTTGCTGATTTGCGCGTGTAGCTTTTCTTTAAAGTATTTAGAGTTAATAATGCGGTTTAATTCCTATAGGAGCGTTAAGTGACAGTTCCAACGGCCCGGTTAAAGTATCCTGGCTTATGTTACTAGCTGAGATGCAAGAATAAAGGCTGAAACCTGCTGGTGATGGGATGCTTGGGATGGGTTGCCCCGGACTTGCATCCGTCAAATTCGGATTCCACGTGGTTTGTGTTGCATCAGTTGAGGTCTGTCATCTGGAGTCGTATCTGGGGTCTAGGTTAGGTTGCGTTCGAGATGGACTTGATGCAATGAGACATGGCAGGAATGTTGCCGATTGACGTGGTGATCAACGAGAGGGAGCTGAATCTAAAAAACCCGTCGGATATATCTGGGAATGATCCTCTGCATTGTGACACAACATATAGACTAACGGGGCAAATTAGAATTCTGTATGGTAGGCATCGTTATCTAATCGCATTTGCTCGTCATAGATCCACACCGCGATCTACACAAGACACCAAACAAACGGGCCACCTCAGAGCGGATTTAAGGCACAGGGTAGGCTGCCTCAAGCGATATGCTCGATTGATGTATGCATACCAAGACGCGCCACTACTGGTTCGCGTCCCAAGGCCACATGCAATGGAGAACCTCCACTTCCAAGACAAGGAGGGACGAATGATCGCCTCGTTCTGAATGTAACCTGGAAGATAATTAATCATTGCTTAATGATCTGCACCCGTGATGATAAGTCGCTTATTCCTTTTCTGGGATGTCCAGCCACTTCGTACGAATTCCAGTCGTGAAGTTAGTCTTGGACGCCAAGTGCCGCCTCTACCAGTGCATTGGGCCTTACTCCTGATTGGGGCGTCATTATTGACAAGTCTTGTGGCAAAGACAAGGCGGCTAGTCCCATAATGAAGAAGGCATGCTTCGTGCGCGCTTCTTTACCAAGAGGTTGAGTGACATAAAACGATAAGCTCTAAGATCTGCAGCTATAAATGAGACAGCGTGTGATAAAAGCTCTCTTAAACGAAGATCTTCGGCGTGCTAACTTAGTTAGATACAAGCCCAGCGCTGAGACATGGTTTTCGTAAGAAACAGTCGTCCCACAGCGTTGAGTGCCGACTGTAGTATTACACATTAGTACCACTGGAACAAGCGACATTTCAACTCGTTGCCGTTGGCCTTGATTTCGAGGCAGGAAACTGTTCTGACACGCAAGTTGGGAATGTTAAAGGTGGGCTTCGCTCGAATTATGGTATTACCACCCTGACCTGCACAAGCGGCTGCATGCCTGCGAGTAGTATGGCAGGATGTTTTGATGAGTAAGTGATTGGTTACCGGCGGCTGAATGCTGACGCTTTGAAAAGTCGATCTTAATTGGCTCGCATAAGATTACATCCCCAGACATTCGCTTGAACTAACAGGGGCAAAACGAACCTCAACGGCTGACGATGTGTAGTTCTCCAATTCTCTGTAGGGGAGGCCTAGACTCTCGTCCGATATTGTGCCCAACGCTGATATCCAATCTGCTTTCAGACAAAGCTGTGCGTGCAATTGAAAGCTGTTGAGAGGAGAAGAGTTGGCGTTTTGTTGCTCTTATCGCATATAATCACGGTGAACTTTCCGCTGAAATGATTCTTTATCTGGTCCAGCTATGCGCCGACTCCTCACCTGGTAATATGATTTAGGAGATAAATTCAGCGATCCAGCATGTGCATGTCGCTGAATGTGCTTTTTAGCTCATCAATGGATGGAGTAATGGAAATGCCTGACTTGGGAAGTAAATTGACAATAACTTTAGCTAAGATACTAAGCCAACCCGATGTAATCACCTATCAGGTCCGACACAGAGTGATAGAAACTAGTCTGGGGAATTAAATCAGGAAAAAGCTTCGAGACGTGAGGTTTCAGGATATTGCGCAGATGTTCTTTGGACTGAGCACTGCGTGCAAAAGGCTCTAGCTTTTGGATCAACAGCCAATTCGCCGCAATTTCAGCCACCAGAGTTGGCTTCTTCTCATCCTCGGTATCTGCGAATCTGGCAGGGCGTTGCTCGACCTTTTCAGGGACACGGCTGACATAGGTACAGCGATGCAAGACTCGCCAGGCCTTGGTTCTAGCATTGCCCTCCTCCTTATTCACTTTCTCACGGAGTATCCGCAGCGTCTTAGCGTCATTGTCGAGTGACTTTTCCAGCCACACTGGATCGACGACCTTCTGGAAGAACGTGTCGGTCGCCTCCACACTAGGCTCCTACCAGAAGCTCATCCATCTATAGGCGTCGGCAGCACCAGGTCTCTTGACATTAATACCTGTATCTGGATCCTTATGTCTTATATATACCTGTGGAGGGAACTGGACCTCTAGCTCGAAGCCCTTGTCCGTAGTCTTCTCCTTGGTCATGTTGAAGTTGAAGTGGGCACTATACATGGCATCAACATCGAGAGTAACAAGCGCGTTTCCGAACGCGAGCTCCATGTCGAGAGAATAGCCGGCAGGTATTCTAGTGTTTGAATTGATGGCGCCCTCAGACTGAACCATATCAAGTGTAGATTTGGTTTGCTTGTATTCCCCACTTTCTGCCGTCCAGACATATGTGTTGCAGATGTTTCTGTGTGTTCTTTGAGGAAGTTTCAACCCTGACTTCGATCATAAATTCTCGCAGCCATGTCTTTTCCGCCAAAGAAGAACCCCTTCAAGAGTAGGCCTACACGCGGCAACCGCCCTGAAAATGACTTCAGTGGCGAGGAAAGCGAGAGCGAGGACCGCCCATCAATTGACGAGGGCGAAAGGAATACCATACCTAATGGAAGTAAATGGAAGGGTGGTAAACGTAATGGTGTTATCAACAATGACGTAAGTCCTGGTTCGGCTGGACCGAATAAACACGAAACTGAAGGCAACTCCAACGGGAACGAAGAGGTCGAAGAAGACGATAAAGACGACAAACCAAATGCAAACGATGGAAAAGGGAAAAATATCGTGAAGCAGAAGCCGAAGACAGGCAACAACAATGAGATCTCGAAAGATGGTAATGGGACCAAGGGCCTTGGCAAGGACAAGAGTAAAGACACAGATTCCGCGACGGTTTCTGATAGCCCGGAGGAGATCACTGTACAGGGATTCGATCGTGCTCAGATCAAACTATCTCCAGCACAGCGCCAATTGCTTAAGGCCTTGCGTAAGAGCAACGATACGGCCAAGAACGAGGAAGATTCTGCCAGCGAGCCAAGTAACGCGTTCAAACAGGGTGTTAAAACCGCCATGGAAGACGTCATCTATGAAGTCGAGAACCACATTCAAAAGACAAGGGGTAAAAACGGCGGGGAGCGAACCGCTATATGCATCAAAGATCCAGAAACAGCAAACAAATTTACCAAGGCTCTTGAGACTGTCGTCATTAACCAAGAAGTGAACAAAGCTCTCCAGGAAACGGCCTCTCAAGGAATCGACGGAACGTCTGGGGTTAGGGTCCTTGTCGCTCTTGGCGACCTTGCTCTTGTTGGTGTAGGCAGCTTCATCGCCATTGTCTCTCAAGGCGCGGATTCCACCACAATCGCATCATCCATCTCTTCGCAGGTTGTCAGAGACGCAAAGTTGGTGGTTGGTATAGGCAATAAGACGTTTGAGGAGGGTGCCTTGCAAAGTGATGATGTCAAAGAGTTGATGAAGCTTATGGGTACAAATGAGGCCGCGGTCGGAGAAAGCGGAACAATGACTCAAGGATCGCTGAGAACGTATGAGGAGTTCAAGTCGATGGTAGCATTTTTAAACGCTGAGAAACAGGACTCACAGACAACTTAGCCATAGAATAGGATGGCCAGGACTTGGTTATTGGAATATAGTTACATCTTGTTTAACTCGATGGAATTTGGCAATAAAGAGACATCGCAAGTAACTAGTACTATCCAAAAGAAACCATAAGGTAGCATAACGTAATTTAGGAAATAAACAGAGTATGGAATCATTTTACGTTTGGTTTTATCAGTGAGGCGCGTATGCCTAACAGTAGGCAAAATAACATCCGCGACACCGATAAAACCTGCTCTCCTCCTCCCACGTCGAGAATACCCCCGTTACCCCTTCCTGTGTCATTTCCGACCTCAAATTTAGGCGAATAGGACAGTTGACGGGCGCGTCAATGTACGTGAAGGCCAAGAATATGCCCAAAGGGTCCCTCGACATTGGACTCTTGAAGGACTCGGTGCGACTGCTCTCGCGCGTTGTTTCGAACGGAGAGACCGGATAGGTGAGGTCGCCGGATCGGATTGTCCACTCATCTGACTCATGCGCGATCCAAGAGACAGTGAGGTTGTAGATCTCGGTGTCTTGTTAAGACCGTGTTAGTGTATGCGTAGTTGGAGGCTAGTTACTTACCAGCCCACGTCTCCATATTCACTATGAATCCATTCCTGTCGATCTTTGAAGCGGACATGCTAATGCGGATGTTACATCCCTTTAAAGTGTCGAATCCTGTAATGAAGACGATTACTTCGGGTATGGTCCTGAACGGCTTAGTGAAGCTCCGGTGGGTTGAACGCGATATTCCACCAGACAGGTACTTCCACTCGGTGTGACCGGTCTGCACTCTCTGGTCCTCTTCTTCGAACGAAAGGATAGAGTATGAGGCATCAAAAAGATTGGTGTCAGCCCAAGTTCCCACTTCCCATGTGTATTCTTTCTTCTTTTTAATGTCGGTAATCTTCGACTGGAGGCGGAAGTTGCCATTAGTGCCCATATCCAGTCGACAGAGGCCTGCCACTATATTGTTCGTCTTTGATGTTAATGCTTTATGCACTCCATTGGCATTCAGTCCCTCCTTGAAGCCGTTGAGGTTTCTGATACTATAGCGGTCGCACATGGGCTTCGGCAGCAAGGGATAGAGCGATTGCAGAAGGCTGCGTGCCTCTACATCAATGACACGACCACCATGGAGTGAATCTGCGCCGCTGCTTCTCAGGGCAGATGGGAGGTCGTGGTGCATGATTGAGTCGCTGTCCTGCAGCTTCTGGCAACCTGTTGCGGACTGAATCATAGTAGCGTAGTAAGCGCCGCAAAGCTTTTCAAGTTCGGGCTTGTTGTACGATAGAGCCTGCTTCACTTGAGCATGAGGTCTACGTATACATGAGCTTTGTGAACAGAATACTATATTCGGAACAAGGATTGGACTTACAATCCCAGCGCATGGCCAAAGAGATGCGCAGCCAGTCTCTTGATGTATGCATGAGAGTAGACCACTCTATTGTCTTTCCAGCCCCCAAAGTTGAAGTTCATTGTTGGCTTAGATTGATCATACAGACGAGCGCGAGCGCCAACGCAGCTCCAATTGGGCACATCATTTTGGAACGAAATGCGGATTTTCGCGGCACTGCCAGCAGGGAGCCATTCCACGGTAAGCCCATTACCCAGACCTCTTAGCCACTCCTCAACGACAGATTTCATAATGTCTAATACCCAGCTGGGGACCGCACCGCTCGACATCGTCGCGATGCTAATTTGGAAACCGCCAGGCCATGGCACGATGGAGTCAATGCTGTCGCCATAACCTCCGAAACTGGTTTTAGGGTCTTGGGGGTTGCCGGGTGCACAGAACATCACTGGCGCTTTATGAGAAATGGGCGCTGAAGTGGTAGCCATGGTGGACTTGAGGGGATATTGGCGATGGTTTTCCCCGAGAGTCCCTTTTTCTCTTGTTTTTGAGGAATTGAGAAGATACGACTTGCGAGCAGGATCAGGTGGGCGGGGATAATGTGTGCTTCTACGTACCTGTTGCCGAAACTCAGCTGGCAGCGATGATGGCGTTCAATAAACAGGCCTGGAACAGCCGTCTGCATGGTTGCTCTTAATCATGCGTGCGCCCATTCCTAGATAGGGTTAAGGTAGAGTGCGAACACGATACGCCTCGCACTGTAGTCAATCAAGTGATGATTGATGTCTGTACCTATTACGCCTATAATAGGATGAGAGTGACTGGCCGTGGTACTCAACCTAACTCAGAGCAAGACAGAAATATTTAGTGCTCAACCGCGCATAGCTAGGTTTCTGACTCGCTGCGTGTTTACACGACCACTGAGGTGAAATTAGCACGTGAGTTGTCGAATGGCCATTGCAGCTTACACGTTGGTACCATCTTACTGACTCTAGGACCCAGTGACTTTACTTCCATCCTGACTTGACGGGCATGATACCGCCGATCTAGCAAATAATAAAAAGTCATTGATTCGAACTAAGTTCTTTCTGCTGATTTAAGCTCTCAGCCACAAGTCTTAACTGCAAACAACACATCTGGATACAAATCAGGCATGGCCAAATCCAAGTGCATCCATGATATTGAGTGCTTCTCGTAACATTTCCTTCTCTGCAAAGTCTCGTACCTTTCTCTGATCGGCATCGCTCGACTTGGCTTGATATTCCACCAGGACTTGTTCCACTTCGGAACATGTAAGTAAGAACCTGAAGGCTGTGGATATATTCTTTTCAATGTAAGAGAAAGGTTTCTCTAATTGTTTCAATGCGTAATGGAGTGGTGTAAGTCCTTCCTCTGATTTGTCTGGTGTCCATGCAAGTTTCGGGTCTGCTTTGAAAAGACGGGCGAGAATCTCTTCCTTGGCAACGAAAAAACGGTCGATATATGTTGAGAATGCGGTCTGTCCTCTGTTGTTTCGACTAGAAAGATCAACAGTCTTGTTTTCCAGTAACATGCAAATCGAGTCAGCAGATGATGCCACATGTAACAGACTTTCCCCGTTGTTGTCCCTGATGTTGACGTCTCTGGTATTGTCTAGAATAGCTCGCAGAACAGCTTGCGGCGCACCCCAACGCAATGCTGTATGTGCAGGTAGACTGCCATTGCCATCCGTAAGATTGAGAAATTCACCATGGTTGTGTTGAAGAAGGCGCTGAACCATGGACATACAGCTACTGCAACCCCCTTTGCACATCCATTCTATGCAGTAATGTAATGGTGTCTCCCCATCCTTAAAACTAAGTTGGAGATACTCATTATCCCCGATATCCATTAGAAATGCGGCAAAAGAGTAGACTTTCCCCTGAAACGTTTTCCGCAAGAAGCCACGTTCTTGATGAAAGATCATGTCTCCCCAGATCTTGTACTTCAGACAATCGGACTGTGCAACGTATACCCCATTCTCGGCATAAAACTCTGGCTTAACATATCGGAACCAGGTATGTATTAGAGTGGCATCCGGTGGGTGAGAGTCTTTTCGGATTGTTCTCATGTCGATGTGGGATAAGACTTCATCCAAAACCAGCTCGATCAGGTTTTCGTGGTCTTTTGGCTGTTTCATAGTCAGAAGAATGTTTAATATGACTGAGCGATTCGCGTGTAATGCCCAGGCAATACTTTTCGCAAACTTCATATCGTCTATGCCATTACCACTATTCAGGAAGAATTCCAAAATATCCCCACGCTCTCGATATATTGCCGCAATGACTGGCGTCCTGGTTTCCCTGCTCCTAGATCCTTTGAGGAAGGGGTCAACTCCGTTATCGACGAGGTACTTGCAAATATTACCATGTCCCACGTCGACCGCTGCACACAGCGGCGAGTCAAGCTTTGGGCGAAAGCTCTTGAGATTAGCTCCCTGACGATGAAATCTTTTAACTTCGTCAAGATCACCGGCTTTACAAGCTTCGTAAAGGTTCCATTCTCCAGTCTCAAGGTCAGCAGGGAAAACGGCTTTTTTCCTGGACTCGCTTTGGTGAAATGCCTCATTATGACTTTCTAGTCGCTGTGAGGAAGCATAGCCAACCGTATGCGCAAAGCAATCAGTATGTGGGCACCTAAATGGCCTCTCATGTACTGCCAAGTGTTCTTTGAGTGCAGGTTCAGTAGGACATCCCGTGGCAAACTTTGAGCATTGAATCTTGTGACACTTGTGTCTGATTGGCCCCTCAATTGCATTGAGAATGGCGGTCTCAGACTTCTCTCTTTGCAGGCCTATCAAGGTTCGCACAACGAGCACGTTATCTTGAATGGACAAGTCCAAAGACCCAAGACCTTGAGTTGTCTTGGGATCACCAGTGTGTTCAGTCTGGATTGGAACCTCCTTGCAATTGGCTTTAGCCAAGGCAAGTGCTGCTGCTTTGACATCCTCCAGTTTGCCACGTGATTCTCTCGAAACCTCCGAAGCCTCTGCCTTCTGTGTGTGGACAGCATAATTAGCAGCAGCATAGTCGAGAAACCCAAAGTATCCCGAATTGATGTCAGCACTGATGTCTCGGCTCTTGCCTGTGGTAAAAGGCCTAGAGGATAGGTAGCGACAACAAAATAGTGCCATGTCGATGTGCTCCTGCAACAAGTTGACTGTACCATTGCGAATAAGATATCTATGACTGCGTCAGCTTGCGTGAATGAGTTGAGGGTGATGTGTAGTCTTACCCGGTTGCCGTTTCGTGAACCATGGTGACAACCTGCTCAGATTCATAGGTGGGAAACATGTCGCAATTTGTTACGTCAACGAGAGAGCTGCAGATGCTCTTACAGCTATCTCGGCGTAGGCATTTTGCGTTGCAAATTTCTTTATCTGCATCGATACAGAATCTGGACTGTATTTCTCGCCATCGAAGGGGTCTGGTCGCACAAACGATCCAGCCCAAAATCTTTTTCACAGTCTTGTGGCGTGAAGACCCCTGCTTCTTCATTATGCGCTGAGCAATGCGATCATAACTGACTACGTTAGTGACTTTCCTCCTTGTCCTATCTTTCCTCTACTCACGCTCGAAACAAGTCTTCAGGGAAAGTTTCCTCTTCCAATTCGTCTTCAAACTCTTGTAACGAGTCCATTCCCGCGAGGTGGTCGAGTACAACTCTCGCATACAGAAACATGCCTAGGATAATCAATAGTTATTCTCAGTAATCATTGGTTTCATATCTACCTTGAGACGCGCTTGATATCTTAGAAACCAAGGCTTCCTCTTTCTGTTCTGTTAATGGGAACCTAGCACATATTTCTGCGACTTTCCTTTTCGTGAAATGCTTGATGTCGTGCTGGTGAGCATCTACCATGTCGAGTCGAATCTTAGAGTCATACAATAACAGCTGATCGAGTCGTCCGTCCCTCTGACCGCAAATCAGTATCCTGAGATCGCAACCGCACGTTTTCGCTGCCGGCAATAGCCCATTTAGACACCAAGCGATAGAAACCTCAGGCTCGCTGTCTACTGCCTCGTCTAGCCCATCAATAACGAGTGTTGCTGTTGGGCGAGACGTAAAGCAGTCGCTTGCGAGTTTCTTCAGGTCGGTTAGTTCAGTGGATTCCACGGAGGAGAGCTTCTCATAGACGAATCTCATTATGGTTTCGTCTGCATTGACGAGCTGCATGATGAGATGTTGCAGCATAGAACGAGCCGTTCTCCGATCCGCTACATCGTGCTTGAAAAAGAAATAAGCTAAGAAGCTTCGTCCAGAGGACTCGGAAGATTGTTTCTGTTTTTGATAACGAATAATTGTCTTTGCTAAGGTGGATTTCCCTAAACAGCGGACCGTGGATTAGCTGATAGATAAGTCCCTAATCGGAAAAGTGTCGATGACTTACCAGAACCAGGGGAGCCATTGAGGAACAAGACCTTATTCTCTGCAGACTTCCCTCCTTCCCACTGTTTAAAAGTTGGATCAGAAAATATCCAAAGGCCAGAAGTTTCATGGACAGGATCCCGCGATTCGAACTGAGGATCAGTTCGAGATTTTGAAACGTACAGTCGACTCTCCAAGTAGGTCTTCATTTCTTGAGCTTGCAGCGTCTTGCTCTGCAACTGCTCAGAAGCTAGAGTGGATCTTATGTTTTCAAGACTGGCCTGCAGGTTACTGAACTGGCCCTTAGCGTACTGGTCGGAGTCTTGAACTTCCTTCAAGATAGCATGGGATTGCAGTTTGTCGTCTGATAATAGAGTCTGTTTACGTCTGAGACTTTCGAGAATAGGCTTGACTTCGCGCCGAAAGCTTCCCCATGCCCATCTATACATTCTCCTCCATTCTGGACCAAAAGTCAATGGTGTGTATGAGAGATGCAGAGGGGCGGGTATACCAACCTGGAAAAGAAAAGACGTTAAGAACACATCGATGAAATCGAAGGATATCGGAGAAATAATCCTCCAATACCAACTTCAAGTGATCTCTACTCTGAATGAGGTTGTGGAAGAAGGCAAGATTACCTAGCGCTTCTGCGATTTCTTCGTAAGCGTCAATTAGCTGCCTGATAGCCTCTGTCCAAGTGGTGGCAACCATAAGCGCCAGCTTGATCGGTCCCTAGAGTACATCATTAATACCAAAATGGTGGCAATCAACAGCTTGCCTTACCCAAACAAAAGCCACAAAGTCACTCGCATTGAGGAATATTGAGACAAGCTTCTCAACATGCTCCATAGCGTGGAGAAATCTCTGGACTCGGGACAGTTTGCAAAGGTCATTTCTGCGCCCCAGTATATTCTGAGTCGCCTGGATCGTGGCTTTCAGAGTCTCCTGATTGACTCCGGCCATTTGCTTGATCTGATCATCAGAAAGCTCTCGTCGAAAGAGATCTAGAGACCTTTCGAAGCTGGTCTGTGAGTTTGTAGCCATTTTACTCTGTAGATGGTCGTTTGATGGTTGTTGATAGAGGTAGGATGAAGCGAAGGAACCGTATTTGGGGACTAGGCCTGGTATCAACAAACGATATGCACGTCGCCTCATTTTCAACCCAAGGCAGACCGACTTTTGTTTCGTGGCTGAAGACTTCAGCCAACAAGAATGAAGAATCAACTGTTGGGGTTGACAAGCGGGGCAGTGCTGTGATTTTTGGCGCGTATCTCAGCACAGCCTGATTGAAGAGACTGCCTGACGCCTCAAAACAACTGCTAAGGCTTTTCAGCTTGACCGCTACGGCGCTAACCAAGCAGAACGGCCATCTCACAAGACTGTCCCAAACCTCCCCCAAAATTAGGGAGGAACAGAAAAGAAACCTGAACATACCTATTCCGATATGACGCGAGCTCTCAAGAGACGAAGAGATTCCAAAAATGATATCGAAAACGGTATCTCGTACAGGGATGCTCAAAGACAGGCTGTCTGCTTCGACGGAGGAAATTCTCCCCATTCTTTTGACTTTGGCATGGATTTGGACTCGCCGAGTGATACAAATGACATTGGAGATGGAATATCCGTTACAGAAGAGGAGTTCGAAGAAAAATGGATATGTTACGGAGCGGTAAGGCGACTAGTGATCTGGACCTTCAAGCGCTGACACTGGACATAGATCTGCGGAGCCCAGGTTCTGCTGAATCCTCACACTCAGATGCCAAATGAGACGCAGCCGTGGGCCAGATATTGTTTATTCAAGATCGAACCTGACGGAAGAACTCACTACTTGGTTGATGACAGGGAGACTAGCCCGAAGAAGAGATCAGTTCTTGATTGTGATACAGCCGCGATTCTGACGCTCGTAGCTGGAAGATCCGGAGACATATCCTTCGCAGCAGTCTTTGGAGTCGATGTATTTCGTGGCAAGCGGAAGAGATCTGGAAAGGGCATACCTATTGACATCTCAGTCAACATCTATGGTCCTAGAAACTCGATCGGTGATGTTGATGAGGCTTTGTCCGAGATTGGCACTTATCGTACTTATCTTCAGCATCCTGTATTCCTGGAACCTGGTATCCCATACATTAACCCTCAATTCTTTTACCCAACTTCTCAGAAAACCGACCTCAGACATTTGGTTGGCTCAAGCGCTCGGGAAAGCCACACTAAATCCAAGATTTCTCAAGAAGTTGAAGATGTCATGGAATCCTTGGACGTTTTATCAGAGGAGATTACGGTGCCCAGTGGTGGTGGCCAAGATCTACATCCGATTCTGGATCGGTTCCTTCTTAACACAAGACTGAAAGAGTATGCCTTCAATCAGAAAGCTTAACAATACTATGAGATGCTAATCCTGAGCACCAATAGGCATCAGCTGAAAGGCGTTGAGTTCATTCTTGGCCGCGAGAGCGAGCAAGTAGCCACGCAAATGCACAGACACATGCTCTTATCGATCCACCATAGGTATGCTGTGTTGACATCTATGCGAATACATTTGAGAGACTGACTCTGTGCTTTCTATATAGCTTGCTATCTCACTCAGACAAACCAGGTCGTGGCGGAATACTTGCAGACGTGATGGGCCTTGGCAAGACACTGACCATGCTGAGTGCGATTCTTTGCTCGAAACAACTAGTCCAGTCTTTCTCCAAGGACATTACGAGCAACAGTGACAGGAACCATGCACCACTGAGCATCACTCTTGTTGTTTTGCCATCTCGACGTAAGTTTCGGCCTCAAATCTACTCTACATATGGAAGATATACTGACAACATCAAGAGGTGCTTGATGTTTGGCAGAATGAAATCGATAGGTAAATATTCTAGATCACATAGCACCACCATCAGACTAACCACATGCAGGCGATTTCAACCTCACACATTCAAAACTATTACTTTCCACGGAGATGCGCGACCCAAAAAGCGAGAACTTCTTCTCGGTCATGACATCGTCCTCACGACGTATCACACCCTAGAAAAAGACAATCGGGGAAAAGGGATTCTAAACTCCATCAATTGGTCGAGAGTTGTACTCGATGAAGGTAAGTCCTTAGATACATGACGAAATGACTGAAGTTCCTCTGACAAATATGTCAAATAGCCCATCAAATACGAAACTCTTCAATCAAGCTACATAAAGCCGCAGCTGCTCTTGAAAGCGATACTCGATGGTGTCTTACTGGAACACCCATTCAGAATAGCTTCGATGACCTCAGATCGCTGTTGAAGTTCCTGCGGTTTGAGCCCTTCTGCCAAAGCAACCTGTTTGAACAACACATAGTCAAGCCTTTCAGACAGGAACAACAGGATCCACCAAACGGGCTCGACGAGGCTCGAAACCTGAAAATCATGCTTAAAGTGTGTTGCTTGCGGAGAACACAAGCGAAGCTAGACCTTCCATCCAGCAGCATACAAAAGGTCGACGTAAAGCCAACTGAGACTGAGAAGTCAATGTTTACAAGTATTCTCGACCAATGCAAAGAAGATTTTGACAAGATGGCCGGCAAAGAAGGGAACTCCAAGAAGTCTAATGTATTGTTTTCAGCAATCATGAAACTCAGGAGGGTTTGCAACCACGGAGCTATCCCTATCGGTGCTTGCGGCTCAAAGCGCACGAATCAGTTGGCTGTGCCCAAAACAAAACGGAAAGCCTCCAGATCGCCGAGTGCAGAGCCCGCCTGCGAGTTTTGTGATGAAAGAACTGGGAATATGGATCTTCTTGGCGGTCTTGATAGCTGCCCCATTTGCGGTCGGCTGGAGTCTGAGATGAATGACGAAGCCTCCTCCCTGGCGCCCTCACCTCGGCCGACGTCGTCTCCGACACCATTTATGATGGATATTGATACACCAGAACCTTCTACCGGGGAGTATCACAGACAATTCGGCCATGAGTTGAAACATAAATCTTCAAAGATGTTAGCAGTCGTGGATAATATCAAGAAATCATGCCTGGACGCGGGATCTAAGAGGTAAGCTTCCAGGAATCCCATCTTGTACAGTATCATTGATGCTCAGGCAGTGTTGTTTTCTCGAGTTGGAGAGATACTCTCGATATCCTGGCAGCAATATTGGGAGAAGAAGGGATTGCTTTTGTTCAGGTTGACGGACGTAACCCGCTGCTAGGCCGAACAGAGCTACTTACCAAGTTCTGCCAGGACCCAATGATTCGAGTTCTTCTTATATCCATCAACACTGGAGCAGTGGGGTATGTATGCATCTCATTTCCAGGTGTTTATTACTGACCCCAGTTAGTCTCACTCTGACGGAAGCAAACATGGTACATATCGTTGAACCGCAGTGGAACCCAGCCATCGAAGAACAGGCGATTGCAAGAGTCGTCAGGATGGGCCAGAAAAGGCCAGTCACAATCTTCAAGTACATAACGGCGGGTTCCATTGAGAACGTAATTTTTCCCAATTTCACCCTGATGATGCAGACTAACTTCCTATAGACTGTTGCAAAGTTGCAAGAGAAGAAGACGCAGATCATCAAATTATCGATGCAAGACAAGGACGGCGCTGAATCTGATGCGAACTTGGATGTAAGTTTCTACACCTTTCCACTCTTCCCAGAACACAACCTGACCTCAAGCAGAGTTTTAAGTTTGCCATTGATCCTAACGAGTGGGGGGTTGTATCATAAACATGTCTTGTCCAATTAAGCACCCCATAGAGATTTTGAAATATGCATCTCGTCCTCCTTCGTGTCACTACTTAGCTAGTATCTCTCGTCTCACATTAAGAATCAACGTCCGTTTTTTCAGATCAGTTAGTGCCCAGCTGTATGAAACCCTAAGCTTGTTCCAGAGTCCCCATCGCAAGCATGAATTGCCCCGAGTAATACAGAATCCAAACAGCATAGTCCATCCAGACTTGGTGTGAAGATGATTCAGGTACAAGAAATCTTCCTGATGCCAAAATTGTATCAGATACCGTAAACATAACAGCTCCCAGCGCGACCTTATAGTTTCTGATCGTCAAGGCCGAAAATATCATGCCCAGAATTGCACAGGTGTAGAGAAGAATTGGTAAGCGAAGCTCGCTGTTGACCCTCGGAATCAATAGCGTCAACATCGTAGGTCCAAGTAAGAGAGCTGATATGACGATGGCGACGCGTGATTGTTCTTCAAGAACCAGCCTCTTTGCACCGGTCTCAAAGAAAAGCGCGATGTAGAAAAGATGCGATGTTAGGAAGCTTCCAAGGCCTGCTAGAAATGCTGGTTCAGAGTTCCAAGCAAGGAAAGCATCGCCCAACGATCCGAAGCTCAACGCAGCTAGAAGATACGTCGGTCCATCGACGATCTTGACGAGGACCGCGAGTAGAGACACTGCGAGGGTTTTGGTCATCATGCGCGAGTAACTCGGACTCGCACGAGCTTTAACGCCATAGAGGATAGCTGCAGTGAGGGAACTGGCGACAAGATAATTTTCTGGCAGCATCGTGTGTAGTTGGTGTGAGAATGGGTAGTCGAGGCGTGCTTTCAAATGCGAAGTCGTGAATTTATGGTCATAACTGGAGTTGACCTCGGTACTCACTAGACTCACACGTGACAACCCATTAGACGACCTGCCTGTCTAGGCTACTTCTGTCACTCTGATGTTCTTTTCTAGGTAAATACAGCATTTTAGAGGTACTTATGTGAGGTCCGAAGTGGCCTCAAATTATTTTCAGGCGTGGATATGGGGTTTGTTGTCTGGCTGGATTTCTTTTATTTAGAGAGAGGCCGTATAATAAAGCTAAGAAACAAGCTAGGGTGAGATAAAGTTATATGTTTCCTGCTGTGAATTTCTCTTCAAATTATTCTTGCCGCTATTAGATTAATATGTTCATAGACCACTGAATCATAAGCCAGCCCTGAGTGTCGCAGGATCATATCGTTGAAGTGTAGTCAGACTGTCACTGCTGACTTTGGCAGTCAGTGATGAGATTCATTAATTCCGTTCAAATCAGCGTCCCTTATAGGACATTGTCAAATTGAATTACAAAGGGCACACAAGTATAAATTCATTATGCCCTTCCCAGGAAACTTCTCCAAAACCCAATACAAAACAGCAGCCTTACTATCACACTCTTCTCCATACAAAAAATGAGCGACACAAAACGATGGATCCATGTTTTCTTGCACAAGAAAGATCACGCTTCAAATGCGGAAGCGAACTTGTTGAAACTTAGAGAGGTCAGCGACTGGTGTTGGTATTATGAACTCCATGAAGGTGGATGCGTCCTTCAAATGAAGGCCCGAATTCCCAATGCTATCGACGACTCACTTGTCGACGCTGCGAAGCTGCTGAGGAAGCTTGGAGCTTCAGGGGACTGGATATTATCTCACCACGTGGTGGCGTCGAACGCCTTTTATTCTTCTGAAATAGATAACAGGAAGACGTTGGCTTGCTAAACAAGGTTATTGCGGTAAATCCATTTCCTCTTTATTACCTAAAATCAAGGTCCCGAGTTTTCATTCCTCCTCAGCCTAGCGAGGCATCTTGCTAGGCAGAGCGGGGTACTACCAGCAGAGTTAGCAAATAGTAATAAATTGCATCTTGAGAAATTAGACCAGGAAATTCAGGAGACCAAAACATAAAAACAGGCTGGGTCCTGCTCTATACGTCATATTACTTGGTACAGCCCCGAAATGTGGCTGTGCGTTGCCATCTAGCAATAAGTGTAACAAGGCACAAACACAGGCAGAAATGCACTGTCTCAGCTGAAAACCAGCCCGTTTCTGATTGTCCAATCACATCGGCCTCTCGCGCTCATAGCAGTTGTTCTCCTCTCTTCTTCAGAGACTGAGCTTTCGATTAATGATATTACACATTGACTCTGGACCACCTTGAGAGCATGGTCGCGTAGCGGCAAACGGGAAAGCCATGTTTCTGTATAGAGGTCAGTCTTTGAGAGGGGTCGGAGGCGTTTTCCGACCCCAGCCTCGATCAATGCACCAGCCGCATCATCGTCCATCCCATCAATGGCATTCGACCCAGACTGGTCGAAAACAGAATAGCACACGTCGCCTAATATCGACGGCTGGGAGAACACTATGGATACTTGTTGGCGTTTTGGCTTGGGGCCAGGTTTGCATCTCGTATGTATACGAGCCTCTCAGAGACAATGGTGCTTTCACAAACCTTGCCCAATCGACCATCTTCCGAACCATACCAGCAAAGCTAGCGCGACCGGCTGAAAGAGTGCAAAATAAGATGTACCAACCGATCACTGGCGATAGAGAAATACGGCTCCTTATCTTGGAGCCGGGCGCACGCGAGGACGTATTAGAATGTGAGCTGGTCAACGCTGAACTATCCTGGAGGACCAGGTTCGAGGCTCTATCGTACGCTTGGGGAGACGATACTACTAAACACGAGCTCAAATGTTCTGGACACAATATTGGTGTAATGGCTAACCTTCATGACGCCCTGTTGGACTTGCGACTTCCAACGCAGAGGCGTGTTCTATGGATTGACGCCCTCTGTATCAATCAGGCCGATAACGACGAAAAGTCTAAACAAATCAGACTTATGCACGAGATCTACTCCCAGGCTCAAGAAGTTCTCATCTATCTGGGAAGATCAGATGTCTCGGTGCATGGTGCGATTGAATCAATGCGTTGGCTCGACTGGAAGTTGATGCCTCTCTACGTTCGGCAATTCCTACTCAGTTCAAACATTGGCATGGCAAGCTTTTTTGTCGAGAGGTGGGTGAGAATGAAGCCTATCAACCATCAAGACTTTAGTTGGGACCCGATCATCAATTTGCTGCGCCGTCCATGGTTTCAACGAACATGGGTCATCCAAGAGGCTGTCATACCGAAGCATGCAAAGGTTATTTGTGGAGATCAGTCCATCGCCTGGGCGAAGGTTCTCCGAATTGTGGACGCAATCAGGTACTATCAATCCTCAGTAAAGAGAGTGCCTGGGTACCATTTGATCTACGAAACAATATCCAGTGTAGACTTGATGCGATCGGCTCGAGACAATCGACATCCCAGGATTTATATATTAGGTCAGCGGTGGTACCGCCCTCTCTTGACTGAGCGCCCAATGGAGGGACAGGAAGATTCTAAGCTTCTTGGCCTTGTCTTGATGAGCCGCAAATACAAGTGTACACAGCCTCACGACAAGATCTTCGGTATGCTCGGCGTTACGGCAGAGGACACGAGTAGCAAGCTCTTAGAACCAAATTACGAAATCTCGGAATTCGACGCTTACCGAAATTTTGTACTCTGGGAGATACGCCATAACAAAAGCTTGCGTGTCCTTGGAACGAGCTCACAAAAGAGCAGTCGACAGCGCACATCCCCATCGTGGGTTCCAGACTTCAATAGACTTGATTCTATTACGGGATTAACCGGGTCCCCCTTCAGTGGTTCCTACGTTGATGCCAGTGCAGGAATGCCAATGGAGGTGCGAGAATCAAATGATAGCACCACTCTGCATATCAGGGGGAGCATAGTCGACACGATCCACACTGTTGGCAAGAAATCGTTCACAGACAGATCCACCAGACTCAGTAAACGACAAAGAAGTGACGAGCAACTCTCGGTCTATGACCAGCTCCAGGTGAACAGAGGTATGATCGAAGAGGCGAGAGATATTTGGCTAGAAGCCACGAAAGGGCTAGCGCGAGGCCTTGGACCTGGCCCTGGAGATCGTATTTTTGATACCAACGTGATTGATGGTAGACCATTACCTGATAGGTCCATCTCTCCAGGTTGGGAGCCATTTTTACGAGTTCTCTTCGGCGACGCCTCAGTTGGGAGCAAGTCTTCCATGTTCATCAAAGAGATCACGACGTCTTTTCTTCGCCTGACCCTTGCGGAAGACCAGTTACCGGAGGAGTATACCAAAAGCGAGGAGGTATTTGCAATCAAAGCGCTTGGATACTTTGCAGCAATAGCGCGGTCGCGACGGTTTGCACGAACAGACATGGGGTCAGCTGGCTATGTGCCCATGAGGGCAAGGAGAGGAGACCTGGTAGTGGTTCTGTATGGGTCTAAAGTACCGTTCGTGGTTAGGGAGAAGGGCGATGGTAGATATTGCTTGGTAGGGGAGTGCTATATGGACGGGATCATGCGTGGTGAGGGAATTAGGTTTGCAAAATACGAGAATAGAGATATAGAATTGACATTAGTATAATAGAGATGCAATGCCGCTATCGGCCCTTCAGCTGAGCAGGCTTTTATCTCGCTTCACCTTGTTCTACTTTATGAACCTGGACTAATAGCTATATCTCTCCATAACATACCAAATCAGTACCCATAAACATACAAAATTGAGTCTACGGCTGCGCTATACGCAACAGTCTCGTATTAATGGCATGATGATTCACCCTCGAGTCTAGACTTTGAGCGATGAATGTGTCTTGCAAGGCCCTCCATGGTTTATCGGCCACTAAGATAGCGCCCATAATTTCCACCATTTATCAGACACCAGTGACACCCGATTGCCTTTGATCGGTTATCACAAAGGATCTCACATCAAGATCTCGATTGTGCCAGCAAAAACAAAACGCCAATCTCTAATCCTTGTGGCCGACGCCTTTGGCGAGACAAGTTCACAAGCAATCATCCAAGACTTCGGATCAGTGGATGTTTTGAAGTGGATAATTGGTCTCCGTGAAGATCTTCATCACGCTAAAGGTCCACGTCCAAGCTGACGGGGAAACCCCTGACGCTTATGCAGGCCCTTGCTCACGGGCTTGAATTAACTTTTCTGTGCTCAGACTTCTACAAGCAGATGCGCGAGATTCGAGACGGCTTGTAATTAACATCTTACGATGATTGTGACTTGACCTGCAGAAGACAGGGGATCAAAGCGGAATATCGACGCCACGCAGGCTGCGACGGACGAGACCGCAGGCTAGATCGTTCACTAATCCAGGTTGGAATTAGGGCCAGATGCCCTGTAATTTAGTTGGCCCGCTGTGGCTTTTTTCGCGGGCACGGGCGGGAGGGGCCGGTAAATGCCATTCCTTCATTCCAAGCTTCGGCAGATGGACACGTTCACTTTAACAGAGCACGATAGAGATTGAGAGATTGAGCAAGGAGAAGAATGACTGGTGATGCAGTCGCGTTTTTTTAATTAATAACTACATACAATATCCAAGAAGCCTTCCCAGTTAAAAGGTGAAGATAAAAGAGGGAATCACTTGTAAATCACCAAACTCCCATCCCATAAGTAAATAAATCCGTAAATCAGATTAAATTGCCAGTCAAATCATTTAGCCATGGAGATTCCGTTTCCTGCCTCGAGGGTATCATTGGAGTCAATTGAGCATCGTCGGTCCTTGACAAACTTGGGCCACGTGTTGGTCAGCACAAGATACTTGATGTGCTTCTCCGAGTCGTCGAAAATAGTAGCATCGAAGCCCTCGGGGATGTCACCCCAGTACATAGCCTTGTCGCTCATGTATCCAGTGTCAGCGACAGAATCAGCGGCCATTATGCCTGTCTCGGAGCCGTGTGACGATGCAGCTGAGGACTTGACTTTGGTGGGTGTTGTCACCATCTGGAATCCCTCGAATGGCAACGCCGGGTCAACCTGCTTCTTGTCGCCGTAGAGAATGCGCGCAGAAGTCTCAAAGACACCCTCCAATACTTTTTGTTGTTGCGACGACAGGTTAATCTGGAATTCTGCGTCGCGAGAGCTGATGAAGCCAGTGTAGATGCGAAGAGCGCTGTTAAATCTCTCGCGGACGAGTTCTTGCACCGATGGCTCCTTGATCTTCTCCGGGTCGCGCACAGCAGGCGGTAATGAAGACTTCCACTCAGCGACAGCTCGTAGAAAAGCGATGTTCTCTCCAGAGAAATCACGGAGGGCTGAGAATTGCTGAAGGGGTTCAGGGTTACGCTCAAGAACATACTCGAGAGCTTCCATGGTGAGGATACTCTCACCGGAGGCGCTGCTCTTGACAGAGCCGTCCTTTGACCAGGACGTCAGAGCGGACGCGGCAACAGTAGTAGATCCAGTAGCGACAGATCGAGCACCATTGGTCCCAGTGCCTTTGTTGAGCTGCCATTGAGCGATGGAGTCGAGGGTCTCTTGGCGGAGGTTCTGGTGCTGGAGGACTTCCCAGCAGGGCCAGAAGATGGTGAAGATCTCGATGGCCATGATGGAGATGGCGAGCCTATTGTGCGACAGTGAGCGGGGATGTTCTTAATGGGGACACATTGCTGAGGTAGGTGGCTTACCATTGAGGAGGAATCCAGTAGTAATTGATGGGTGCCATGGCAGGCACATACAAGGCGATAAGCCACATAGGAGTGGCATGGAGGCTGTGTGTCTCGGTCAGTTTGTGGTGCTGGCCCTGGCCAAGGGATAACTCACTTAGCAATGCAGCATGCGACGGTTTGGACCCTCCATCCCTGGGTGTCATTGACACCGCGGGCCTGCCAGAGGATGTAAGGGGCGACGATCCATGCCCAAAGGAACTGCCAGAATACAGAGGGCCACCTTGCAAGAGAGAGTCAGTACATGTCGCGATGAGAGGGGGAGTATGCTTACCATTCCCAGCCCTTTCCGACCTGAGACTTTCGGTACTCCTCGGAGCCAGGATGAACCTCTGTGCCGGGAACACCCCATGAGGGATGGAACTTCTTAGATAAGCACCACATGATGATGGTGAGGATGAACTGCATATGTTAGTATTGTCGTATGTATATGTGGTGTGTTCCATACCTGGACTACCATTCCCAGTCCAACCGTAATGAGAATCTTCTTGGAGTAATCAAGCGCCTGAAAGCGTCCAAGCAACGTACCACGTCGAACGCGACTCTTGGAAGGCGACTTTTCGTCTGAAGCAAACAGTTCCTTCTGCTGCTTGGCGACATGTAGGAAACGGCTGTTGGAAGCGTGGAACAAGGCGATGCCGAAGGGGAAATACAAGCTCATGATCCAGAACTCGCCCTCCGGCGTGAATAGCGGGAAGTAGACATATCCGGTCTGAATGGCTCCCCAGTAAATATGAAGAAGGACGATGGCGGCGAAGGAAAGCGGGAGGTCTCGGATTCTCAGCATGGGCATGTCGCGGCGTCTCCAGAGGAAGACCATGCCGCCCGCGACGATGAACGTCCAGACGAAGGTCCAGATGATCCAGAAGATGCCGAGGCCATCGAATCTGGCCTCGGGTTTTTCGGTTTCGGCCATTGCAGCGGGTTAAAGAAAAAGGTGTAGTGTCGATGGTCTCGAGGAGTTAAATTGGGGAATAAATAGGGAAATATCTTTTATTGTATGTAAGGAACGTGGTTTTGGAAAGGAATGTGTCGGTCGGGTCTCCGCAACACATAAACGGTCGAGAAGGCAGAGAGCAAAATGAACGCACAGAGCGGAGATGACGACGTATTATAGTAATACGTTTATTGACTGTGATTCCCCAAGCGTCCAGACGCTAAACAGGGATTGAGAAATCTCTTGCAGTGAAAGCGAGCAAGCGAGTAGTGAAAATGGGAAGAAGATCGAAGAGAGTGATGCAGCAAGGGACACGCCCCCCAGATAATGGGCCATGTTCTCCCTTGCGCACACCCAGACCTGACCTGAGCTTGGGCTCGGGAAAGCCAGGTTAGTGCCGTCTAAGCTCCCGGCCTCCGGTGATCTTGGCCCGTCTTGGGGTAGGGCTGCCCCTCCCCCTGTGAGATCCAACCCGCAGCTCGGGATAAATTCACGAGAAAGAGATGCCCACTTCGCTCAGACTGACAGCGAAAACTAAGGGATATTGGATATGGGGGTCGTGAACAGACCGGTTCGCAAGATGAAATTACACGTCGACGTAGGTCGACGTCTGTCTGATGTTTTTGCCATGATTTGATCCTGGGGTATTTTTTGCTTCTTTGCGTAAGGGCGATTTGAGACATTGACGACCATGGCAAGGATCATCCTGTGTGACCAACATTTGATTCATCGTCAACGCCACGACGATGATCCAAACGCCCTTGCATCGCAATGCTCAGCATCCGTTCAGCCACGAGTGCAACCTTTTTTTTTTTTCACTGACATCACCTGTCCACGTTCTCTTTTCTCGATTGACTGTGATATCTTCTCGGAGCGCCATGATTATGATTGCTGACCGAGTTGACGCCACAGTGAGAAAAACTGCAGTTAAGTTTGCTAGTGAAACGCAGCACGAAAAGCTTGTGCCCCCCCAAGGCTCGTACTGTATGCCCAAACGGCGGCGCGCATCTCGCAACGGCTGGGGACTTTAATGTCTTGTATCGCGAGTCGGGCCGTGTAAATGGGATTAAAACGGTTGGGGAGCAGTTGCACCGCCGTTTTCTATCGTCGCCATCCCTTGCGTCTGGTGGTTCCCTTGCAGTGATGAGCATGTGCTGGAGGTAGGGAGACACAAAAACAGTGAGACGCATGCTTTACGGAGTACTGGGGTTTGTATCCACTGTGATTTAGGTTTGGTTACCGTTTGGTTCCTGGCGCTTTGCGTTTGAGTTGCGACGGCGCTGAGTTTCTTTTCTTTTTTTTCTCGCAAGCTGCAATCACTGTAACTTTTCTCGCGTGTTTTTGCTTTAACAAAAGAAACGAAAGAGGATTCCTTGTGTGATGGTGTTGCATTGTCACCAGGGAGTATCCATCCCCGGCGTCACCCCCACTCAAGCGCGATAAACGAAGAGCTGAAGTCGATCTTGAGTGCCATCCCATCCCATCACGTACGTCGCATCCTGCCATCACCATCACATTACCTTGCATCAATTGGTTTGGGTTGGTTGCATCGTTGGTGGAGGTTAGTCCAGCCAGCCTCAATTGCGACACACGGTGACTTCCGTCCAACCGCAAAGACCGTTTCCATAATACGTGACATTATTGCAAGAGGCGCACGTTTAGCGCCCAGCAAAGAAAGGCGCAGGAGGCATTGTGAGAGGGCAGACCTGCACTGCTGACAAGTGTGAGCGAGGCCTCAAATCTGATCGGTTGTAGATCTCAATAACCCGAGCAAGATGCAAATCGCGGGCCCTTGAAATGACGGCCCAGAACCAGGGCCCGACGAGAATAGGCTGGGCATCAAAGCAGAAATGATCGGCCCAACCTTGTCGTCATAAGCGACGCTGCATCGTTTACCGGTTCTTTGGATATGGCCTCTCCACCTCAGCCAACTCCGAAGCAGTGCAGTGCACGAGATGATTGTGCAACGA